ATTTTCGTTGGAAAGTTTTTAAAGTGAATCCTCTGTTTTTTTTTTAACAAAAATGTAAACAACAGCCGCATATGTCCTGCTCCAAACCACTCATCCCGAAAAATAACTCTGAAAAATAACTCTGAACCATGCCTATCATGTTTCGTTATTATTACTAACATAAGTCAATGTGACAGTTTTGAATACTTAAAAAATGCAACACAATTTTCCCTTTCCTAAGCAATACTTACGTTTGTCCAGAAATGCAGGCAGTCACGAAAATTCTTCAAATCGCCAAGTTGATTTCGCTTTCACTGAAATTGGCCAAAATCGTCAAATCCATGAACACTCACTCGGTTTGACAAAATTTCGTCAACTATGCCATTTTCGATACTACGTGCATTTCTGAACGTAAGTGATACTTGTTGCAATGTACTTCGTGGCGTGCTACCGGTGTTTGCTTGTCATTGGCCTTGAATGGCCTCGGAGTATAGCATGTTGTTAGTGATATTGTCATCGGCATGGAAAAGGCTGGAGATTGTCAACAACTGATCAATGAACAGAAAATTACGTAGTAGCGAAGACCTACCGCTAACCAACAAAGTAGTCATTTTTAAGTAAATGATTTTAAATTTTATTTTTCAACCCTATCTACGTATCTCCTCAACTGTAAAATGAACGCAGTCATAGCTACTCTTTCTGAGATTAGCATTTGGTCAGGGGTAAGTTGATACTCTACCAACATACCCCATGGGCGTCTGTACAGATAAAGATTGCTGTTTATTCTTCCGATGCGCTTCGTTGTCTTCTTTGTGAAGGATTAGCGGGTTCTCACGGACTGTGAGGCCGCCAAAACGCCAATTATTTTCACTGAATGAATTCAGCACCTACTCAGAGGATAAAATTCAATTCGAAGTAAAGATTCCTCCGCTAGGAATCTTTGTCTTCGTCTTCATCTGTTTCCAGTGATATAAGCTCCATATCTTGTACAGTAATGTCTTGTTCTACAACATTTAAGTCCTGGGACTCAGATCGCGTTTCATTTCCAATCGCTTGAATCCTCTCACTATCCTGTAAGGTTATTCTTGCGAATTCATTTGATGCGTCGGCGACCGAAACCCTCGATCGAGCCCTGCGTCTAAATGCTGCTGATCCGAGCGTCGACAAAATAAGATCTTGTACAAACAGGCTTCGATCTGCACGCTCGCGTTCCAAGGCTTCCTGTTCAGATTCTGACAGCGCCGGTTCGTTAGCTCTGAAAAGTACCAATTAAAGATTTGATGCTTAATAATTCAAAGTCAGAGAGAACTAACGGTTTCCCAGATTTGTTCTCCACAGTATTGTGTGCATGCGTGAAAGAGTCAACGGTTCTTTCCCGGCATTCTGCTGTGCATTGCAAACTTAATAAACTTGAAACTTGAAAAACTTGAAACTTGCATTTCTATGTTAAGGGGTTTGCACAACCCATTTCGCTAGAGAGTTCAATGGACGTTTACCTACTCGTACCTATGCTTCGTCTCGTTCTTTCTCAAAAAATTGCTTGTTTAGCATACAATGAGATATGTTGAAACAGCTCTGGTATCAAACGCTTCGGACGAAATTAGCTAGTTTCTAGGTTGATTTAGGACACAATGGCCCTGAGAAGTCGCCTAACGGCAGAATCAAAGTTAGGCAAGCCCATATCGTTTCCCAGAGAAGACATCGGTGGGTGAATTCTAGTAATTGAATTAATGTACCAGCTGATTAGAGAGAAAGGTTATGACATTTCGCGAAAGCAGATTAAACGTACAGCTTTAAAAATTTGTCTTGAAGGTAGCATTTCTTGACCTTCAGAATTGATAACATCGAGAGTGTCAACATTGATGGCTGGGGTGAACTGAATCTTCGGGCACTAACACCGACTTTCACGCTGCTGTCTTTAGTTGATCAATGCAAACCAAAAGCTACGCTTCCAAAATTTTAGCTGAAGTTCCTCAAATGCCATTGCATTTTAGAAGTTTTAAAATGCTACACGAATAGAAACTGTTTGGACGAAAAAAGGGAAGACCGCCAGTGAGGGGAGAACTGAAGAAACGTGTTCAACATAAACTAACTTGAGATTGAAACTAAACAGAATACAAACAAGTTCACAGACAAACAAATGTGTTCCATGCTCTTACCTAGAGAGAAGAAATGACGAAGACGCCGAACTACTGCTTTCTTGAGCACTAACCGTTGACGTAGCCGTGACACTACTACCAGCTGCAGCTGCAGCAGCAGCAGCTGCCGCCATTTGACGCCGAGCGGGAAGTCTCTCCAGCCGCTCTCTGGTCTGCTGCACTTGCTGCCTCTCCAATTGTAACTGCTGTTGTAGCAACTGAAGCTGGGACTGCATGGGAGGCTGAGGCTGTTGGGCAGCACGTCGAACGCCCGACAGCTGAGACAAAAGCTCAGCTATAGGGTCCATGCTTTCACGGGCAGAGGTGGAAGAGGACGACGAGGACGAAGCAAGCGCACTGTTCCCTGATCCTCCAAAGTGCATGTTGGCTGCTCGCGGCCTTGGGGGTCTCGGTCGACTACCACTCACCGCTGGGTGAAATAAACGTCTGACGTGCCGGACAGGTGGGGGCTCGTCGTAGTAAGTCAGTTAAAGAACACACAGGTGATACATATTATCTAACTGTTCAAAATGAAACAGCCATTTTACTCAGCAAAATAAACATTACAACGAGTGGTGGGTCTAAATAAATTGAGCAATTCCTTCCCACCAACATCTCCAACGAAACGACAACAGACCACCTAAAGATCATTCAAGGCGCAGTTCGTCATCTTGTAGTTTTCACCAAGGAACAAAAATTCCCCAAAACCATTCTTATATTCCTTGAGAAAGAAACCCAAAATTGTTTGAACGTACTATCAAACATATAGCAGACACAAATTAAAAGGATATTAGAATATCAGGCCTACTAGGTGCCCTGTGCTCCAGTGTCAAATGCGCAGCAAAGTCATCGGTCACATGATTTGGGTCTCCACCTGGTAGGGCAGCACACACAGGACATACCTACATCAAACACAACACTCATTAAAACACAATTCTCTGCATAAATAAGATTTCCCTTTCCTTTGCAACAAAATGGTGTTTACTTTTTTCCTGTAAAAGAAATACACACCAATAGGAAAACCTTAAAAAAAGAACAGCCTTTAAAGGAAATGTGGCAAAACAGTGCTCTTCAATACTTATTAACTCCAACCTTGCACTCACTGGAAAATCTATTTCAGGTAGATTTCTTTCTTACAACTGTAATTACTTATTTGAACCGATTCTGAATTACCCATATAAGTTTGCCCTAAATAACTTGAACCGTTTCTGTCTGAATGTGATTACATATAAAGCTGTAGTCAGCACAAAAATGTACTGAAGTTCAAATTTAATTTAATTTGAAGCAGCCATTTCTTTGACATCGCATGAAACATGAAACATGTGAGTTAGCTCTATATTTTCCTTTACTTCTGTTCATTTGTTTACAGTCTCCTACCTCAACATCTACAAACACAAGAAGCCTTCCAAATTTTCCTAGAAGGTTCAAGTTATCTTTGATACACTGTACACTTACAAGGGGCAATGTAAGCAAACAACAACTACTGTTACCTTTCTAATTTCAGCACACCCTACAATTCATTACTAAGGTTTAGAGTTGAACAAATTCCACTAATAATTATGAGTAAATGTTTAATTTGAAAACACAAGAATTAATCCCTATTTAAGCACCTCTTCAATACTTTTCCTATTTACTGTCAAACTTGAGAAACCATTACAACCAGAAATAGGTCTTGAATGTTATGGTTTTAATGGAAAGACAGTGGGATACAAAATAACTACACTGCAAGGACCACTAGTGATTAGATTATGGTTTTCTCGTGTGCCTCAATCTTCTGTGTAACTACTAAAAAAATTAATAAGTATTCCAGAAATACTTTATGTGCCAAATACTTACCACCTCAATGGAGGCATCACTATGTTCTGATGCTACGTGTTCCTGTAAGGCAGACTCTGTAAAACCCATTTTACCACAATAAGGGCAAGTAAAAGACTGTGGCTGGTCTGCAGTAAATGCTTCACCTCCATAATAGAGTTCTGTTCATCAAGAAAACAAGTTTAATTTGCTTCCCACATGGAAAACATTTCTTAATCTTAAGTTACAAACAAATATTAAGGTCCAAGTAGATAATTACCTAATCTGTGAGAATATGCTTGAAAGGTATACTTGCATCACTTAAATGTGTATGTACATATACAAGGAACACACAAAGTTCACTGATGCACTTTCTGAAATTCTAGAGCTCATTTGAGATTCTAAAAATTCTTTGGAAAACTGTTTATATTAAGCAAGAAGAGTGGTTGAACAACTGGAGATAAAGTGGCTGACCAAAAATGTGGGTCATGCCAAACTAAAGAAGTCAGCAGACAAATTTGGGTAAAATCACCGTTGAAATACAAAGTAATTTCACTCTGTTAAACCCAAAGGGTAAAAAATCCCGAATCAGTGTAATGTATACAATCAAAGTTCTGGCAGCATCCTTACCAAAATCTGTTCTAGTAAGAATACATTGCATTGGATGATCTGCTGTGTGCCTTGTAGTTGTTGCTCCATTTTCATAACATGTTGCACAAAGGTCATAATCATAGCAAATTAAACACTTGAATCGCCTCCCACGGAAATTTCCTATGTTGCACGAGTCACAACTGACACCTGTTAAATAGAATAAAAGAGAAATTAGTACATTTCTTCATGGTAGACAAATAATGCGAGAAACAAAAGGAAATTAAGGCATTAAAGCTGTACTGTCAAGTAGTTTAGACTAAGGGTTCTGGGGTATGCTTATTCCAGAAATTTTGAAATTAATGTGTGGCAAGGCAAAATTCACCATTTCCAGTTAATAATTAGTGTACAAAATACCAATCCTTTCCTTAAAAATATCAACTGTCCCAATCTAAAATTTTGTCTCATTCAGGTTTAGACACCATCTGGGTTCATGTGGAAGCCTACAACCCAATTTACTATGCTAATGGCAGAATTCAAGGATTCTGCTTTAATAGATTGTAACTATATGTTTAATATAGCAGCCACAGTGACTAGATCCATCACTGCCTTAGTTATCTTGTTAACTCATGGCAGATGTTTTTCAAAGAACATCAACATTTTGAAGAGTGATGGTGATCAGTGATAGACTAAAAGAATATTGATAACTTTCAATATATAGAAATGGAAAATGCCTATAATGACACAGGAAAACATGATAACCAAACTGAGAGGGGAGAGATAAGTACTTACATGTAATCACCACAATGACAAAAATTGAACCAACATGAACTCAAAGAAGAACAAACAAATTATTTCATGACTAGATGATTCCACAGCTCAAAAAGTCTTTATGAAAAGATTTAAGATAAAGAGCAACCTTTGAGAAAGTTTTAAAAAGCCATTCATTATTGACTAAAGACTACATAACTGTTATCACTGGAAAAAGACAACACTATAACATTTGCTGTTACATAGTCATCTAAAATTGGATGCCATGTTAGAATTGACATAGTCACCTAAAATTGTCCAAACCCAAATTCATGAAACAAACTAGGTAGTTTAAACTTATTAACTCTTTACATAAGTTAAATTCTTTGCCAATACATTGCTGAAAATACATACAGTATTAAACAATAACACGGTCAATGATCATTCCTTCAACAAATCAATGAAAATGTGTTAGGCTTCTGAATTGATTAGGAAAATTCTACAAGAACCTCTTCCACAGAACCTTTTCAGGGTGTTTTGAAAACGTTCTCTTATCATTTGGTGACACTGCCAAAAATGCTTAAGAAAGCAAAAATTGAAACTTGGGCCAATATCTCCTACAATGATTTGATTTCCATTTCAAGCACCCTTGTTCCAATAAGCACTCCCTCAAGACACTCAAGCATCTGTATTTTTATAATGTGCCCCAAATCTTTTTCAAGTGAAAGAAATACTAGAGTATATTCCCTTCCATTTTTTTTGCAAATATTCATTGTACATTTGTTATTTTTATGGTTTCTGATATTGTTCCTTTTTAAATAAATATCAAGGATTTGTTTTGTACAACCTGCTATTTTCGCAAAAAAGAAAAAGCACCCTGTACCCCTTTAAGGTGCCCTTCCTAGATGTAGCATACATAACTAAGCCCCCCAGGCACTAAATCAAATAATTACAGTAACTACCATGTTTCCTCCAATAAACCCCAGGTCCTTATTTAACATTTTGGCTAAAAAGGGGTGCTAACATGAAGGAGGGTACTTAATTGAGGAGAGCACTTATTAGTTTTCCCTTCAATGAATTGTACCTTTAATTTGTCTAAAATCCTAAATATAGATAAACAAAAATAGGCACTCAATGGGTACACTACTCTAAAATGCCTTTTGTTTTTACACTGGATCTCCATTATCCCCTTATGAGGCTCAAATATTCTCTAACAAGGCTCATTTCTTGATAAGTGGACTTTCTTAAGCACCACTTTTAGTTAAAAAGGTTCCTTCGATACAAGGCAAACCCATAGAGGGTTCATTTTGCAGAGCTAAAGGTGATGTTGGCAGAAGCAATCAAGGGTGATGTGATTCATAAAACCAGTTGTACATTCATGACATTTTACCGACTGGAAAAAAAGCTACCCAATCTAGGCATAGCTCTAAGTAAAAGGGTCATTGAATGCTGTGATACAGGGAACGATTGTGCAACTAAAATCAAAACTACCACTTCCCTGATGAAATTGAGCTTGACTCTTAGAAAAGTACCCACATGCAAACAATTGTGAAAGTCAAAGTGGCTGTGGGTCTCTGAACTTGGAAAATGAATTATGAAGGGTGAAAGACCAAGGCCAATGAGTTGAATTCCTATTTTGAACCTCTTGGTCCACATAAAGCACATTGTCTAAAAATTACATTTGCTTACTTGGCCCAATGGATCGCCCTTCCCTCTGCAAGCAAAAAGGTCGAGAAATTGACTCTTGGTGATAGTTTTTTTCTTATTCCTTCAAAATGGCTAACACATTTTTTGCAGCACTGGTGATTCAAAATTGTATACTGTCAACTGTTGGACCAAATTTTCAATTCTTAATTTCTCCTTAGATCATTGCACAGATCTAAATTATAATAGCTCAAAGATTAAGTGAATGTGTGCAGTAGGGTGCAGGTCACAGGTCTGTCATGGAGAAAACAATACTCACAAAATGAAAGAACATAAATTCTGAAATAAAGCAGAGAGCTAACCACAGAATATAGCATAAAAGGACATTACACCATTTGACAACTAAAACAATCTTCTCTAGGTATTTAACTAATACCCACATTTTGATAATCAGAACATTACCATGGAAATTTCACTTGTTTAACCCTTACAACGTAGCTAGGTTCTAAATTCTAATCATGAGTTAGAAAAGGAGTCATAAGAAATCTCTCTGCCTTACCTGGTAAATACAATACCATAATTATAACATTATCCCAGATATTTGTATATTTTTCTGTCACAGAATCCATTGTTATGAAATGCATGACCAGTTTCTTTCTCTTGTGGTATATGACATACAGACAAAATTGCTTTGTTTTTAACCTAGAATAGCAGTAGTACTTAGGATACTGATTTCAACCCACATCTCGACAGTGAAAAAAATCTTATTTTTGAATCAGCTAGTGAGCAATTCATACTGATAATTAAACAAGTTTTTAGTCAAGTTCATTTGCAACTTCTTAACCATAAATATTGTATAACTGTTGGGTAATTTGCCCTTTCCTAGCCACCAAAGAAGCCTATGAAATATACACAATACAATTGGAAACAATTTTGGTGATAAATACTTAGTAAAAAAGGAACATATAAATCTGAGCTGATAGAACAAGTAAAACCACACATACACAGCCTTGCCAGTGTCCCTTAAAAAAGTCATTTGCTAAAATTAATTTGCTGCCATTAGTCATACACAAATAAGCTCTTGGCCTTCCTCACTACTTTCCCTTTCAACCAGTAGTTTTGAATCTAATGCATCATTCTTCTTAAAAAAAAGGCAGGAAAGCTACAGAGAAACTAACCAAATTAATTTTAGTCCCTCTGTATCCTCTTGATTATTAGCTGACCAGAAAGTGGTTGTACTGAGGAATTAATTTTTTATAGAACATTTACACACAATTCCCAACGTACAATTTTCAGTAAAACGACAAGGATAGCAGTCTTGAGGTGATGAAAATTAACCTTAAAGCAACAGCTATGTAACTTATGTACTAGGACGCAGTGAAATATTTAAATGTATAGGTAATATCATAAAGTGACTGCACCAGTTTATTACTCACGTCGAATACAAAGAAGTATAAGAAAGAATATTGTATTTAATGTGTGCCATACTTTGCCACTAAAAGGAGAGGTCTCTCAGTTTCGACGCCGCGCGTTGAAAAGAACCCAAGCAAACATGCTCATTTACACCTTTCGAACGTGTAAGTGAACGTAACGGAACTATGGATGCAACTCTAGAAAACGACCACTCTTAGAGACTGTGGCTGAGATAAACACAACTTGAAACACTGTGGCATCAGTGACATAAAGAAATTTAAGAGGAAAACTGCTTTCCAGAAGGGAAGCCACAATTTCCAAATCTAAAAGAGAAAACAAACTTACCCTCATGCCGAGACATAGCAACTTCCCTGTACTTCAATAAGAGTCGAATCGAATTTGCGCTGATGCAAGGGCCTATTGATACAACTTTTCCTGACAGTGGCAAAAAGCATTGGACAATCGTTGAATGTTCTTCCTAAATTCTGGGAACGGTCCCAAACAGTCGAATTTTAGGCCACTTTACTTCTCATTTCCACCATTGGAGACTTCAATGATTCTAAGAGCCCTCTCCCGGTTTCACTGGGCATGAGCAGTAACTGGATTCCCAGCATTCTCAGCTCCTTAGGCTGGTGACTGGGGTCTACGTTAGCGCTACACGGGCTACACGAGCTACACGAGCAACAGCAAGTATCGTTCGAAGTATCGGTTGAGTATCTCGAGGGATCTTAGAGTTGTCTCAGGACGGAAACAGAAGAGCCCGTATCGTACAATTACAGTTATCTAAAGGCGTCAAAAAAATTGCAAAAAAATATGCAATTGTGTGCTCGAGAGGCGCTGTGACTACTGCTGAAGGTTATAGCTAGTGGTGTCTCGGGTGCTAATGACCTCCTCACCCTTTAAGCCTTTTTTTTTTTCTGTCACATTAAGTAACACACAGTGTGGAGGTCAACATGACAATCTGGTGATTGCCCTCTGTTTGAAACAGTGATACTCTCACCTCCTTTGAAAAATCCAGGCCATGCTATGTTGACGAGTGATCACCAATTTTCAAAGTAATGAAGAATGTTGGCTATGTGAACCTCCATTGGGTAGCCCATGCTTGATGCATGTCAATTCTAACAAGGCATCCAAGCTTTTGGGTAGATTTTTTGTTTGTTTTTTCTATTTGTTCTTAAGTCTCTTCTGGAGTTACAAGACAAAACAAACAAACAAAGATTGCAGTTTTGTTCCTCATGCCTCAAAGTCATGCTAGAATCTTAATTCTTTACATGTGGGCTATTTTTTAACCAGCCGTTTGTAATGATTCAAGTTTGAATAGTTATTAATTGCAGGTGTTTCTTGTAGAAGTGGTTACCTACATTACTAGGCAAATATGTGTAAGTATGGTCTTTGTTCTTTCAAAGGTCATCAGGTACAAAATAAAGCTAAAAAATTTGGACATGCAGAACCAATTAATGATTTTAATGGACTGGTACACCCTGATTCAAGTGAAAGAACAAGACAGAATGGAAAGGATAACAGTAACTTTGAAGGAGCTCTTCCTTCTGCTGTAATAAGGGATGGTGTAAACCAATATGTGTAGTGCCGATAAGCATGTCTGGACTTTTTGTGGGCAATGATAGTGATGTGTCCATCCAGTCCTCTCCAAATTACTGTATATAGTAAGTAGCACTATTTTCCACACCATTATGAAAACATTGTTGATCCTTGTAATCTGATTGGCTCTCATTGGTGATTTATTCATGAATTGCACCAATTTGCCTCTATGCTTTCTTTCTCCTAGTCAATGAAACCAATTGGACAGCTTTACTAAAACACAACAACCAATCAGATTTCAAGGCTTGTTTAAGGAAACCAATCAAATTGTAGGAAATGAAAGACAACTCTTGCAACTTCTGACAAACTAGCTAAATACTGGATAAATAAAATATTTGCACAGAATAAAAAAGCTGTATTAGTAATAGTTTGTCATCTTTAATTATGACCTCTGCTCAGGTTGACAAAATGTCAGTCACTACTACTGATTCTAATACAATTCTTCTAAGGACCCTAAATCAGAAGACCACACAACATGATCAATGCTCCTGAGTTCAAAATATTAACTGCATTATCTAATTGTTAAGTACAAGCTCAGCATCTTCATTGTGATTTCATGAGCTTATCTGATTTGTATCTTCCGTATTAGTATCCATGACGTTTCTCTTATTTCTTACATATGTAAGATATCTACTTTGACCATAATGTCTGACAAGGCCTACATTTTGGCAAAAAGCAGCTTAACATACCACAATAATCATTTCTACTACTACTTCTTGGGGGTACATATCATCAGAATTGAAAAACTCCTCTTTCGGCTTACTAAAATGTCCAATTATTTCAAAACAAAAATTCAGGTCAACCAACTCCATGAGAGCACAAAAGTTGACATTTGACATCTTAGAAAGCTGCAGCTATTTTTAAACTATCACCAAGAACAAGTTCCCAAAATATCCTCCTTTCATAATACAATACGGATCTCTGATGTATTTGTATTCCATGTCTTATAAATAAAAGCAGACTCCATACATAGTACATTTGTAGAATCCTATGTGTATAGGTTTCTGGACAACAAATCAACACTACTGGGGAGACAGGAGACTAAATAGAGACCTCTAAGTAACACTTTGATGGCCTAATAAAAGGAATTATGCTATGCTGAACTTCCTTAAACTACAGAAGTTTGTGTATCCAACAATTAAACCATACTATAGAAAACATTTTAACACTAGAAAGATAAAATAGCATAGTAAAGCATTGTTTTTTTCAGAATCTAGTGCTATCTTATAATACCCTCACTAGTGCATCACCACAGTTTCTTTAGAAACTTGCCTTTATATTATATACAATGTCAATCTAAGCTGCACCACAAAATACTGACAGCCGTACTTCTAAATATAAATTTAGTGGACTATCTGTCAAAATTTCCAAATAAAAAAATCTGCATCACCAATACGACCAAGGTGGTTGCCTGGTATAAAGATGTGGACTTGTAGTGATGTTGAGTGGAATTGATATAACTGCTGCTTCCATTCCTGCTTCTTCAATTCCACGCTTGATGTGATACCTGGCAATTTAACAAACACTGTGTGAGCCCACCACTGCATGTAGTCTTAATGAAAAACTGAGCTAATTAATATTCAGATGTAAAAGACCACCAAATAAAAATGAAAGTCAGCATTAGCATCCTTTTAAAGGTGAGTGTAAGTCTTGTAAATTACACCTTGGTTATATGGAGAAAAATTATAAGTAAGTGTTAACAGTGCCTTAAAAATGAAAGCTGAGTTTTCGCAAATGATGTCTTACACAACTACAACTGTGCTGCTAAAATAAGGAGCTCTTCAAACTAAAAATGCTAGTACACATGAAAGGTAGGATAACTGGTTAAATTCTTGAGAAGGTCAGCTGACGGAATGGGTACGGAAAGAAACTACTGGGTCACAGGAGAGCCAGGCTGCAACAACCACATAGTGATAGCTTTGCTTTGCACCAAATACTCACTGTTAGTTCAAAATCTCTCCTCATTGCAGTCCTTCTTTCTTATTTCAAATTTAAACTGGCTCTAACTTATCAAAACAGATTTATTGAAACTCTGAAAAAAGAGGACTCTTAAATATATGGTTATAATGACAAATGAAAATGTCACTAAGCTCTTGGAATTACTGGAAAATAGTTAAATCATTTAAATCCTCTTTCAAACAAATAATCTAAAATTAAAAAAAATAACATTGTGGTAAGCTAAATATTTCACTTGTGAATGACAGTAATGACATCAATAAAATGCAGTACCCATCAGATCCCAAGATGAATCCAGCAGGAATACTGACTTCTCTTGTTGTTCCATCATGGATCATGTCCACTAAAGATTCTGCATTGTCAAACTGTAAATTGTCTGATATAAATACAGCAATAGCTCCATGATGTTCCACTGTCTTGGTTTTGGAGACAAAGGAACAACCCCTAGAGTATAAGGTTACTCATGTTTTTACAGGCGTCAGATATGCATTAGTCTCCATGCAAAGAGATATTGTAATAAGCAGGGGGGCAGGCACATCACTTTACTCCAGACTTGGTGGCCTCAAAGGATTAGTTGGAGGGGAGTTTGGAGAACTTGCAGTAAATGCTACTCACATGTAGACAAATATACAACTCATTAAGTGCTAAATGCAGGCTATGTATTCTCCATTTACTAAGCATTGGTTTCTCAATATCAACTCTGATTGGCTACAAAGATAGAAATAAGTCTGGCACTCCTTTGGTAACACTATACCTATAAATGATAGTCCCAAACATGTAGAAGTGTTGTCAGATGTTGCAGGAAATAGCACATTAGTAAACCTGATTATCTCACCATCATGTTTAACCCTTTGATTATCAAACACATTCTCATTGTCAGCGTCTCAGGAAATTGATAGAGAACAATGTGGAGAACATGTATACTGATGTTAGATGTAAAGAGTCAACCCTGTCCAATAAATTTGTTAAGTCTGCACTCACTCACCCTCTTTCAACTAAGGCTATTGACCCCCACAGAGCCTTACCATTGTCAACTGAATGACAAGCATCAATAGGATCAGCAGCAACAAGGTTTACAGTGCCTAACTCTAATTCCTGAAAAGAAACAGAAAAAGATGAAAACCAGTGAACATTAGGAATTATTGATATCAGGGTCAATTTGTACATCATCAAAGTGCCCATCAACCAGCAGTTACTATGAAGCACAAGAACGTTCTTTAAACCTCTAATTCCCAAGATCTGATTATTAATTCTCTCCTCTTGCTGCTACACAATTCCTTGTAAATTAGTTACGAGAATTTGGTCCAAGATCACGATAAAATTCCTGATAAGTTTGAGTATTCTCATCAACCGTTTGCTAGAAAACAAGTGGATATCAAAGGGAGAAGGTAAACGTTTGTCACTTCTGGGAGTTAAGGGGCTAAAGGCGTTTTTTGAAAAGATATTGATTGACGATCAGCTCTCTACAGTGATTCATACCTGTACAGAGAATGCCTTTAAACCACTACATGGACCTTTACAAAAACTAACCCAAGACAACTTTATTACAAGGCAAATTAAAGTAGGGCTCGAACCGTATGCAAGGAAGTTGAAAGGGAAAACGTAGAAAGTGAAGGAGGTTTAGGACGTTACATTTCTGATTAAACCGGTGGCACAGGTGAAAACAAGCTCAGACTCTCTTGGGAACGTGATAAATAAAATGACTGCGTCCGCATTTGGGCTGACTCAGCTAGTAATTAAGATTTTATAATTAAGAAATAGTTCGTTGACATCAATTATTGAATTACTTACAAATTTGGTTCCGAAGTTTTTCGCTGGTTTAACCTTGTAGATATAACTTATGTTCTTTGGTTGTAAGATTTCAAAATAAAGAAGGTCATTGCTATCGAAAAGCATGAAGTCTGTAGCAGAGAATAGACGGACTCGTGGGCCTTCAGCTGCAAGGTGAAACATATACATCATTAAGTATTGTGTTGCTGAGCCAATAAAACAAGCAGTGCTGAATATTCCATGGATTTTACCTGAAGAATAGTCCCATAACAAAAAAAGCACAGCCATAATGAGGCATGATATCGTTCTACGGATATGGATCTCCATAATTTCGTTCATCACGCAAACACATCAAGTTGTAACGGTGAGTCACTATTTTGTGACCGCTTAGAATGCTGGGATAAGCCTTTCGCTCTTGTGATAGAATGGGAACAAACTGTCCCAGGAAAAAATTGGAACTTATGTAAGTTTAAAGATAAAGAAAGGGAGAAAGTCTCTCAAAGAACTGTGTTCAGAGGGAAGGATCACAAGATAATTTGGTTTTAATACTTGAGTTGATCAAGTAAAGTAGCCACCGTGGAGAGTTTCCGAAGCTAACGTTTCAAGTCCTATACATGTGTGATTTATGTACAGGGAGATTGAGCTACGCTATTAGTGGGAACACAGTAATGTGAAAAAGACAAGGAGAAAATAGCCAAATTAAAAGCTTTCGTTGATACGGCAGAGAGTAAGAGGACCCCTTAGACCGCCGATTTGAAAGATTAACTTTAGTTCTAGAGATTCGCGGCTTTCCGAACAGCCTAGATGTAAGGAAAGGTCGCAGAATGCCATATTTTTTAAAAAAATGATTGGGAGAATAAAGTGTCTTGCGACTGGCTTAGATGCATCTTTGTCATTCTTTTCTACGTCACGATGGTCTTCTTGGAATCGATCACCCAGTCGTCTTCCTGTTTCTTCCCCTTTTCGGGGAAAAAGTTTTCAAAAAGTTTGTAGATCAACTGTTTAATTCTTCAAGACAGTCGCCAATAGAAAACTAAGACGAGCCTAAAGTAATGTTTTTGAAACAAATCGAGATCGAGAAACAAAAACGCGATACTCAGACATCTTAACACCACACTTGGTATAACGCATATTCATCGCTGAGAGAGCAATTATGCTCTCAATCTTATTTATGATATATTTTCTATGATCCCAGTAACTCTTAAAAAATACTAAAAAATTAGAATATATACAAAGATATAAAACAACAAGCAAAACGACACACACACACACACACACACACACACACACACTCACACACAAAGAAACCGGGGTTGTTCCAAGCAAGCCAGTATTCCTTTTTTATTAAATGTAGGGTCAAGTGCTAACTTTTTTTTTCTCTAAATGTCTTTAACTCCGATAGCACGAAATAACAGCGAGCTGATGCATTTGATAAATAATTTAATATCTTGTAAATATCTACACAGTTCTGAGCCATGAGGAATGTCGTCGTTAATAGATGCTGAAAAAAAAAACAGCTTATCTCGCTGCAAACTAAAATGCATTAGAGGTATTAATAATCCTTTTCTTCAACTTTCCATCCAGACTTTCTTCCATCCTCGTAAAGCTGTTTCAAAACTTTTCTAAACTCTCCTTTTGAAGACAATTCTTCGTATTTCCTGTACAGTTGTAAGGCTGTTTTGGCGTCTTCAGTACTATCATGAGTTTCGGACTGGATTGTTAACCCTGCAGTAAACATGACAAATAAAATGTTGAGGACAATTATAAATTCGAAGCTAGTAGAATTACAAAATTGGCTTGTATCCAGTTGAGTAATGGAGTAAAGGAATCTTTTATTCGTTCTGTCTTGGAGCGTGGGGCAAAGCGTGGGACAAAGAGAGTCTGCGTCCTCCAGGCGGAGTCAAACCTCAGACCTTGGGATCCCGCGCTATGTTGCTCTACCACTGTGCAACTGAGAACTCAATAATGAACTAAATCGCCGTGGTACGATCAACCAATAAATGAATTGATAAATATTTCAATCAATCAACTGGTTACTCACTCAATCAATAAATCAATCGTTAAACCAAAGTCAGTCAGTTGGTCGTATAAGTCAAACAATAAAAGACATCAGGCAACAAAGTTTTACAGCATTCATAAATCTACCTAGAAAATACCAGGCCAAAAATCGCAAGGAAATGAATCGTTGACGTGGCAGATGAAAGAGTTCCACAGTGTCAAATACTTGCTCTTTTGGAACCTAGAAAGTACAACAACTCGTTTATAGAACACAAATTTACCTACTTGGTAAAAGACGACGACGAAGAAGAAGAAGAACAGCAACAACATAACAACAGCAACTATGACCACAACATTTATCAGTAAACCAAAAGCAAAAAAAAAAGATAGACGTAAAAAGATGTTAATAAATAAGAACACCATCAGTAACAAAACTTAGTTTTGGCTAGGTTTAGTATGGCAGTGTATAGGTAAACGGGTCATGATTTTGTCGCGCTGTAAAACAACATCATATCCTCTCTATACTCATAACGTACCAATATGTTTATGACTCGGAAATCTTTCTTCAGGCCATGACCAACAAACTTCACTTTTCTTGCGACTAAAGCCCTCAGCTTGCGATAAGTAGTTTTAAGTGTGGTGAGATGTTTGGAAGACATTGTTGCGTCCAAGTCCCCTGGTTTTATACCTGAAAACTTGGTTAGGTAATCAACAACCTGAAAGGCAAAGATCGAATCATCATAAAGTCCATTTTAAACCTCCTATTTTCTTAGCTCCTTTAAACATGTGCGAGGAACAGCGACAAATAGGAAACAATCAAGCGACCTTACTCCATGCCAAACCTTTCTGGCCGGACGCCTGCATAGACTGCGATTCTTGTTCTTCACACTCTTCGCGACATGACGCATCACGCCATGCCGTGGAAGACAAACTAACTGAGGATTTTAGGAGTAAGCCTGAATAGATAGCGAATCGTGTTCTTCACGCTTTTTGCGTGACGTCAGGCCATTCATGTCGTGGGTTTATGTCAGGGAAGAAACTCTTATTACAAATCACTAAGCTTTAGCAAGAAAATGTCAACTAGACAATCGTCAAATAACTGTTTTCCAGTAAGCTAAAGTTTCAAGGTGATGTAGCCCTATGTTTAGATGGCAATAGCTTGAAATCAATATCCCAATATCTGCAAGAAATGAGACTAACCTGTTCTGTGGTTGAAATGTAGTCATCAATAAATGGTACACCAGCCAATTGCCCATTTCTGCAGAAAAAATTAAAATATGAGTAACACGAAAATTCAAGATAGAACAGAACGAGCACTTTTCGTTAAAATGCTCAATAGGGATCAGCCACCATGCAGCTGATATGTAAACTCCACAAAAAGAGGTAGGTAGGGTCGTAAATTAAATCAACACTACGTAAGGTACCTTTACAAGAATGTCACATCACTGATCAGTGTATGTTAGTATGGACAATCCAAAGTAGTCTTTTGAGACTCTAATTCTAATTGCTGTTCTTCAATGCATGCAATGGGAATATACGCGAAGGTAACAAGACGTAACGACTATGGCATTCTTACCCTCGGACGACGGTAACACGCGCTACACTCATCTGACTTGGTTTTATGGTTGACCTGGTGCCATCACTTCTTATCTCTGCTTCCTCCTAAAAAATTAACACGCTGCTAAATAAGGTTCTGCTTGAGTACCCACATGTGCACATACCCCGCCCCCCCAACCTGTCAATGCGTCAGGAAAATTGGATTCGATCAGTGACGAACTCACTGCTTTCCTAGTGATAGCAAAAACGCAGGGAATTACACAGATTTTAGTTTTTCAACCACGGTAGAACTTCCCCACTGACTTCAAAAGTTAAGGACCTTAACAACAACAAGTGAGGACTGCAGTCACACTTGGGTTACGAAATTTTCAATGTGGATTTTTCAAAGCATTCTGAGCATTTATTCAAATTGATTGCAACGGGCAGGTTTTTACGAAGTAGTTAACAAATGATTGGTGTCAATCGGCTTTCGAACAACCCAACTGCAGAGATTGAAATAAATAAATAAATAAATGTGTTCACAATGACTGTAAATAATATAAAGACAACTTCAAGCCCTTCAAAGACCTTGAGCGGTACAAGAATCCCACAGATCTGTTTCCAAGAATTATACAGAATGGTTCACACCTGATTCAGTGTTACAAATTCTGCGTCTAGCCCCACAAGATCTCCCTCTTTCGGCAGCTCATCAGGTCCCAGGGGGGTGAAATCACGGGACACGCTGCCTCTTCTGACAAGGGACACGTCCTGATACAAAACGCTGTCATCGATTCTTTGACAGACTGTTGTGACAAGGGAAAATATAAATAAGTTGAAGTGAATCACATCAAACAAACTGAATCATATCTACTACTTACTTGCAGTTTCATGACGACCATTTATGTCTCTCCTTGTAAAAACAACAGCACATGGTAACTTCCAATCTAACGAAAAATGAACTGCATCGTTCTGCAGAAATATAAATACCACGTCATTTTTATGGAGGCTAGGCCACAGAAGGTCAAAGTCGCTATGGCTGGTCTCCACGTCAAAACGCCTCGCGTGTGTTGCTTCCAAAGCAAGTCGCTGTTACTCCCTCTATCACTCCGATCATTGTTGCGGTACCAAAAATTCGTGCTTAATTAAGGGTTATTCTCTCACGAAGCGAATTGTCGCTGAGACTTGCCCCGTGACTTGTCCCAACGACGTGTCGCCCTGCGTTTTCCGGCCCGTAAGACAATCCAATAATTGCTTCTCAGAATACGTTCATGAAAAGAGAATAAGCGACATATCTACGTATTTTTTTTATCCGCAGATGACACTATTTGTACGATGTATTCTTTAAATCGTATTCAACTGAAATATATTACTTGTCATCAATATCATTAAACTAAAAAGCTGTAGCTTACTGGTGATATAGGAGTGATGGCGAAATCATTAAATAAGTACCACTGACTGCATGTCACTCCCTAGAAAAAAGAAAAAAAGAAAAAAAAGAACAGGAACATTGATGCTGGTTCTCCTAACCCTAAACCCTAAGCAACTTACTAGGATTTCATGCAGAAAAAAAAGTATTTTTTTGTTCTTAAAAAGAGTTCGCACAAAATGTTTCAGTCCAAACGTGAAAAAAGATTTATCACTACAACTAGGGATTATTTGAGACTCGCCCGAACCTCTTTACGACTGTGGTAGGTATTACCAACATGAATGTGAGCCACCAGGTTTCCACCCGATTTGAAGTCCTGCACATGGCCCACAGTTGCTAACAGATCGTACACGACCTCATTTTCCGAACATCTTACTTTCTGATTCTGAAAAAGTAAAAATTCAAACAAAAGAAAGAGAGAAATACATAAACTTGTAGAAGAAGATGAAGGGTACACACCTTTTGATTGGCTTTTACTTATTATATAAAACAAATAGATTTCACGTGCAACTGTTCAGTAATAGATCGCAAAAAGCGTCAAAATATGGTGAGAACACCAGTTACACCAACACAAACCCCCATTCAACGAAGCTTCTTGAAAAGCTTTATCAAACAAATAGAATTATAAAATAATTCAAATAGTACGTGCGCTCTGATTGGCCATAAAACCATTTTACATGAGCGTATGTAAACACGGTTTTCGTTCCTCTTTCATTAGTTATTTTATAAAAGAAATGTAAAATGGTTTCCGTGTTTACGTAGCCTGATGTAAACACTTGGGGGGTTGGGAGAACACTCGATAAGCTGGAAATCACTCCGCTTCGTGTCGTGGTTTCCTACGCTTATCTCGTGTTCTCCCAACCTCCCGCGTGTTTACGTCAGGCTATGTAAACACGGAAACCATTTTACATTTCTTCAGTACAAAACCAGCATCAGAAACTCATATATTTGAGTTTAAACAGCTAATCTGGTGGAAGAAGGAGAGGAGATTTTATCAAAAAGACTTGTCAAGGTTCAGTTAACCTTTCCCCGGCTTGCATTTTGTTTGACAAAGGTTGGTGGCTATCATCAAGTATTGAGAGTAACAGAAGACAAAAAATTGCTTGGTGCATGAGAGGCTGAGAAGAGTGCAGAGGATTGATCTTTTCATTGTGTAAGATGCCACAATATCGTAACTTTGGTTTTCTTAGAGTAAAATAAATAATAACACGAAGAATTTACACCTTGAAAGTAGATGTACCTCATCAATCTTGGTCACTTGCATTTTACCGGAGTCAAACGATATCATTATCGAGAGTGGAACCCAACCATTAAGTCTTTCTTCATCGGGAACCTCCACCCGCCTAGTGAAAAATAAACTTAATCACTCGTAGAACAGGACATCAGTGAAATGGCAAGGAACAAAAGAACTGCACTTCTTCTCCCGTCTGGAACTGAACCGTTTTGAACCCCACTAAAGAGTGACACCGCACAGTGAAAAGACACTCCAGTCAGTAAAATAAGAAAGATCAGTCAATGCACCGTTCAGAATACTCTCAAATAGGTGCAACGAAATAGGCTGAATTTCAAATTAAAGCAAAACCATTTCGGTCAACAGAGTTCTTGCTGAAACAGCACTTTCGTATATCACAAAGTTTTTCACTGTTTAATGCCACGTTGCGCCTCGAACATCTCAATCTTACAATTTCAACACACACATGAGAAGGTGGTATAAGATTCAGAGTTAATGGGCGACACAAAGTTTTCTATTGTCTTAGGGGGACTGCTAGCGGTCATAAATAACACCGACAAGCCCACAATTAAGGAAAATGGGCAGTTTGAAAAACTTCCTGTTTTCTGTACCTTTTACTTCGCTATCCCGCCGTCTGTCGGTAGCTTCTGACAACTCATAATTAATCCTCCTATAAATTACTATGTTTTATAGCAAGATTTTATGTCCGCCCACTTATTCTATGTTTGACTGCACATACCCACTTTCCGATGCAACATCTCTATCGTGTCTAAACTTGCAGTCTGGTCTGGAGCACGTGTTGCCATAACGACAAAAACGGCCGGAAGATGGAAGGGAAGTGGACTTCTCCTCGGGCTTTGGCGGATCTAGTAACTTGGAGAAATGCTTTTATTTTCATACTTTAATATGCTTTTGAAGTTAACCGAGATCCACGTGTTGTGCAAAGTTGAGTTTGGGTGCTTCGATAATTCAAGTTACGAACATACGATTTCGGTGACATTTGCAAAGGATAGAGGAATTTAACTCATTTGATTTCATTGTGGATGATTATGCTCACAAGGAACCTAAGGGAACAATCGCTGTCTCCTCTCTGCTCTAGCATTTTTTTGGTGAATCCCTGTAAAAGGATCTTCCCGTCAACGATAACGCTTTGTAGACGACCACTGTCACTTTCGGAGTTGTTTATCAGAAAACAGCACGAGACCAATTCGCATTACTCTACTTCAATATCAGGGGTTACCCGTTGGGTTAGTAGAGGTCATCCACGAATGACTTCATATGACTTAGTCTTAAAGCGCGTTTAAAGTAGCCGATTAATTTCTACATTTCAATGTTGTGGCTGTACAACGACTTGGCTTCCAATATGTCCAACGGTCTCTTAGGTTTACACTTCTTTGGGACTAGCCAGGTTGTCTCTTACTGGGTTCAACTGCATTTACCTGTTGCTGTATTTTCCAAAATTCAACTTCTTTGACATGTTCCATACCGCAGTTTAGAGCCAAGATGTCTGGTAGATTTTTAACTTCGCGACTTTGAACCTATATCGAAGAAAGTTTGAGACAAGGCAACGTTTCCTGTTAGTTACTTCACAACGTACATTTTAGTTAAAAAGTGAGTTAAACGCATCCAGACTGTATTTTATCTTCATCAAAAAATGTATTGAGAAACAAAATATGATTATAAAATGTACTACAACTGCAAATGTATGGAAGCATACTACACGATGCTGATCACTGAGAGACATCAAGCAACAAAACAGATTCCACTTGCTTAAAAGCTTACAGTTCTAGGTATCTGCATTCTTTTACACAATTACCCACACATGTGTGTCAAGTAAAACCTACTGTGGGTTGATATCTTGAGCACTGATCACACCAAGCCTGCATACTCTGTTCACGGCTCAAACTCGACGATATCACTGACTCGAAGCTCACTGGACCCTGTTGCTTTTCTGGGCAGACGATAAAAGGAACATTATTACTTTGTTTTCAAATACTCAAATAAATTAAAATTTTAAAATTACAGTTATGTTTATGTTAAAAGTAAAATCAAAATTAAAGTCAAACTTAAGAATAAAATCTCAAATAGAAGAAAATTACGTTATCAAGATAATAAAACAGGCAAGGGCATTAACCAGGTGTTCGAAACTGAAGCAGATCTGTGTATTGAAATAACGTAACGTATCACGATGAATTTTCATCAAAAAATTTAGTAAAAATAAATCAGTGAAAATTAACCAGGCATCGTTACTGTGGCTTATTTTGTAATAATTAATAAGAAATAGAGAGGAACCACGTTGAAGCGTACTAAAAGCATTGAAATAGCGAGGAACAACGTTGACGCTGACATTGTTGCAATTTAGATATGTTTCTGTCGAGCAGGCTTTCTGTTGGGAGAAGACAAGGTAATGTTTGACATCAGAGCTGCCCTCAAATGCGCTTGTCTATAATTTCAGTCGATTTGAATGAAGCTCAGCGCCATCTTACCTTCACTCATTTCAGGGTATTCTAAGTTGAACAGCAATGTGGTTGAATCTCTTTTGGACTCTTTACCACAGCGACACCGACTAAGTAGCTGAACATTTGATCCAAACAGTCGCTGAATTAAAGACATCTGATGAGGTTTGCCAGTCCTATATAACAGTAGCAAAATAAGAAGGAAATCATTTGTACGCATAGGAATATATTGATTAAAAAATAGTGAGAGGAAAAATTGTCAGCAGCGGGTTAGTCGAAGTGGACGATTTCACACTAGCCAATTTGTAGAGAAAAGGTGAAATTCAATTCTGTGATAATTCTACAGCATTTTAGTTAGTTAGTGCATTTTTTTGTCTCGTTTGTGTCCAAAAATTACGCAATATAGTCCGTTAAGACACACCCGTCAACCAATGGGTTTCCAACAATTTACAAAAACGAACAAAGCTATCGAAACATTTCATATATTTAACATTCTCGTACTCACGTAGTCTGTATATCGTCCTTTTCTCCATCCGATACGTTAGGTGGTTCAAGAGTGTCCTGTTGAGAGAGGAATAAAAAACGCACAACCTTAACTTGAACCAAGGATATTTCTAAATATTTACCATTTTGATTATAGGAATTAAGGCAATCTTGGTGAATATGTTATTACAACGTGACCGCGTAAACGGACTTTGTTCCGCAAACGAACTGCAATACACTTAGGTTTTTTACCATTATCAATTTAGTTGATAACGTAAATTGGCCACCGTAAAGGGTTTCAAAGCTGAAGTCTTGAGCGTTAGCCCTTCGTCAGACCGGATGACGAAGGGCTAACGCTCTTTACGGTGGCCAATTTACATTATCAACTCAAATGATAATTCTAAATTACCCTGTTATACTCTCCCACCGACACAGCACCACAGTTTCTTCAGAAACTCACACCCTTTATGCAATACACCTACCTGATGCATCTGTTGAAGAACAAATCTAAACCAGCTTTGTATCAAGCGAGGAAAGTTAGCATTTCCAAAGGACTCATCGACATCGTTCAGGACTAAACCCAACGCTGCTGCCTCAGGAATGGTACGAAAAGCTCGGAGAAAGTTATTGGCCTACGAGCCGACAAGAACACGGTTAGCTCCAATAAAACTCAGCTAGAATGTATATTTATGACTAAGGAAAAGATTTAACAGACAACTTTTTCCACAATTCTGGGAAAGTGATACCTAAAGCCACAAAAGGAAATAGATTTTTTTTCTGTAAAACATTGTCAGACATCACATCAAAAGGGAAAACAATGTTGAAATGGTTGCAGTGCCACAACATATACACAATGAATTATGGTAACGAAGTACCGATCTCCTCATTTTTCTCGTGCTGGAAGAAGACCAAGCCTATCTTGCTAAAATGCCACTGAGTTGAAGATTAATATAAATACTCTCTCTCCCGGTCATGGAGCAAAGATGCAGTTGCAAACGACTTGTCTCACCTGGCAGGTTTGTCCAGAGGACATGTCCAGCATGTGAAATAAGAAACCAAGTTCACACGCCATACAGAATTCTCGATGGCACAAATGGTTTTGCATTCCCACTCTAAGCGGTTCAATGAAATAAAAGAGCTAAAGAGGAAAAAAAGTAGAAGTAACGCACTTAGTGCCTGAGTGACGAACAAGTCCAAGAGGTGAGTACCAATAATCAAATCTTAGTTCACTTGTACTCGTTTATATCCACTCTAACAAGAAAAACTACTGAGGCGTCGATAGCTCTCGAGGACAACTGAATAAAACTGTCTGACTGACAACCGCTGACTGGCAGAAAACTGACTGAATGACTGACTAACTGACTAAGTTAGGCAAATAAACACCACTGAACCGTATTATTGAAGTATAATTTCAAAAACTTGACCTACGCATCATTTACAAACCATGTGAATCTCTCCGTGGTATCCGCGCATTCTAGAGTTACCCATCTGATATTCCTTTATCTTAAAGATTTACCTTTCTCAGTGATGTAAAATAGTTCTCGTAGGCCACAAGAAGACTTCAGACAATGTGAAATATCACTATGCCGAATGTCTGCAACTGTTTTAGTTTTTTTACCTGGAGCATAGCGTTACAGTAAGCATTTGGAATGTGCGTCTCCAAACCAGCAAATGATGTCCTGTTGTAGTGCTTGAAATCAAAGTCTTCAACGCCTGACATGACATAATAGGAAAGATTACATTTGAACGAGACAGAATACTTAATCACACTGATCATGAGCTTTACCATCATGTATGAAAAGGATAATGGCCTGTCCTATTTTCCAATTGTTTATCATTTGCTATATTTAATAATAATAATAATAATAATAATAATAATAATGATATTAATAATAATGATGATTATTTAAAAACGATAAAAACGAACAAAAAAAAAAGACAATAAAAAGGAGACAAAAAAAGAACACTATTAATGGGCATGTAACTCACCAAGTTTTGAGTATTTGATCTCTACTCTTCTGTAGTGCTTTGGTATCACATTTCCAGGATCATCATCTGAAGCCAATCAGTAGAAGTAAAAGTGTAAGGTTAAAACAGTGACAGTGATAACGACAAGAAAGTCGTGTTTCATGCTAAGAGTTTCTACAGACATCCACTTTGATTTAAAACAAAGTTTCTCTAATTACTAATTAAAAGTTAGATTATCGAAAAATATATTATAATTTTTTTAATTTACATCTAATAGTCATGCAAAATTTAACAACCACACAAGGCCTACTCCTGGCTTTATTTTATTTCGTTTTCAACCTTTCACAGTTAGGCCAGTCATTGCACTTATAATCTATCGCAGAATTGATAGCGGGTAGGGCAGTCAATCTGATTACATGTAGGACTTTCTAGCAAAGCATGCAGCAAAGGCACACCAATACTAAACCACTTGGATACAACTACAACTGGAGGTCGAAGATGAATTAATACATACTGAAGTTACCATGAGGAATGGAAACGGGAAAAAAAAACTGTGGTATTCAAAGCTTCTCCTACCCAACATCACATCATATGCCTGCAAAGGAGAAAGGGTATGCCTTGTCCCTTTTTCCTTTTTGTGAAGCCTTGAGCAACCAAGGCTGTGTGACATCCTCACTCTTTCCAACAAACACATAATCCCCATCTGGAAACTTTTCTGGTCCTTTCATGATATTAAAAGGGATAGATGAGGAATAGGAAGTTTCGACCCATTGCTAGTTTACTCCCTACCACCTTTGCAAATACGCCTCCTAAAGTGAAGCGGGTTCGCCTGCACCCTTTACTGGCCTGCAAGGTTGCCCAGACCTTTACTAGCCTGTGAGTTCCCCTCACTTTTACTCGCCTGCGAGTTCTGTCAAAATCATGAAATGTTTTGAGCAACATGTTTACTTTAGAATCAGTTTTAGCTCCTTAAGTAGCCATTTTAGTTTAGATTGTTCATGAAATTAACTCTTTAAATTTGCTTCGGATACTAACATAAAATAGTGTCAAGCCAGCAAGATAAAGACCAGAGTAATGTAGTGGCTTTGGATCACTCGTGCAGTAACACGGCTACTAATTTGCATACTTGTCGAACTTTGTTATGATTTCGCTCTGAAATTTCATATTCATTTGATCAAAATTCTTTACAATTTCAGCAGAATACATTCTGCTGTAAGGATACGAGTTGAAAGACTTTGGGGAGAACTGGTAAAGGTGAAAACTACAGGGGGGGCAAACTTGCAAAGGTGATAATGGGCGGAGTTGTAATGGGGCAAGACCTCCAGATATCCTGATTGTCACAATACCTCTGTTCATGGGTGAATCTGGCACACTGTTTTCTTCCTCTTGGGAATTCAATGATAAATCTCTAAGTGGGTATGCTACCTACAATGATACAAGGTGACAAAACTGACAAATAACAAAGAGATTATCACCTAACATCATACTGTAAAAATTCAAATTAGCATAAAAAATACCTGATTACGTTTTCTGCTTCCGGGGTTAGGTGCATAACCAATGAAATGCCTGACAACCATTGTGCGGAGAATTTCAGGTTCAATTGGTGGAGTAGGCCTGTTACAAAATGAAGACAAGGAAATTTTGATGGTCTCACTTCAATAAGTAAGGAGTTTACAGCTTAGATGGGTAAATTTCAGTTTTAAAATAATAATAATAATAAAAAAAACTCTACAGACCAATTTTTTAAGAGTTGCAAAAATCCCACAAAAAGTTTAGGCCAACAGCAATCCAGCCACATTAAGCTTAGAACAAATCTGGCTGTCCTGACATTTTAATCTGAAATGTTAATCTTGTAAATAAAAGGCAGAGTCTGAAGCATTCTGTACCAAACTTAATGGAACTGATGGCAATATAACAATAGCTAACAAGCTTTTCTTAATAACTCAGCAACATATTTCTTATCAATCAAATTGACGTCACAGACACACCTGAAAGTAATGAGAGCAAACTAAGAGAAGGGAGAGGAGGAGGGAAAGGAAGCCTCATTGGAACATAGAACTTTCACTGCCCTAATTCATTGAAAATCATGGACACCAAATACATTTTAAATAGTTGGTTAAACACCCAACCAGTACCTGTCTCCAAACACCATATTTTCTGCTGGCCAGTCAGAAAGTGGTGGACCACTGTAGAGAAAAAATGTTGTCACGTGAGTGTTGTGAACCCTAGTATCTTCTTAATAATGGTGTTGACTCCTTGGTATAGATAAGTTTTACAGGAAACAGGGGAGAAAAATTGTAGATCACTGAGGGTAACATTTGCTAAATATGACAGACCCTTAAACCATGCTTTATTATGTTCATGGCATGTTCATTCACATTTTTACCAGGTCTCAAGAGACCATTTTGACAAGTAAATTGAGCTAATTTCTCTATGAGGTCATTGCAATGTTAAATCCAAGATCTCAATAGTTAACTCTGATGTTGATCAAAGTGCATGTTTTGGGGCAGTAATATACATGAACACAAGAGTAGTTTGAATCAAACTAAGACTATAGCAAGACACAAAAGAAAACTGGTGTCTTTGTATAATTGTTATTTATAAATGAAAGTATCCATTGTGATTCCCTAGTTTAAAGAGTTTGAGTTTCAATTCCTTTGACTCAAGACTACGCACCCATGCACATAACACTTTAAAACCAAAAAGATCCCAAACTGCAACAAACACAACAACTCACTTTGGCATAGGAAGAGGAAAAGTGGAGAGTGGAATAGAATAATCATCGATGGCCAAAGGATGAAGATGAGGAATCTGCCACACAAACAACTCCATACTATGAGTTAAAACCTACATTAAATAGCAGCAACAAGCAGTCTTTTTTCTTTTATACCTTATTCAATATATATGACAATGCAATTAACAATATATTCAATATATAAGGTATGCAATTTTGGTGAATATGGGGTTCTGTTGAAAAATTGAGACACACTGCAAAACTTACACTTGGTTAGAAATTGAAATGTGAGACAACAACAGTCTAAAATCTGTCAAACATATTGGATTAAGGAAAATGAAATGTCAATCAAAATGTATGAAGGACAATTAATGTGTGAGAGACCAATGAATGAAGCACTGCAAGCAAATGTACATGAAGAGACATTATTCTGTTTTCTCATTCTGACTACAGTACATGACTAAAATAATGGAAGCGGTCTCTTGCACTTACAGGAGCAGCAAATTCTGTTTCCCTTGAGTACATGTTAAACAAAATGTCTTTTTCCTGAGTGTCCCCCCAGAGATGTGTATTTCCTGGTGTTAGAGTAAACAAGGAAAACTTGTATTAGAACAGAATACAATTTCAGAAATACTCTACACATCATTCTAACTGCTTACTAACACTTAATCACAACATCTCCAGGCTTATGCTTGGGCAATCAATGAAAGAGACAAATTTTCATCTAAGAAAACAGTGGAGCATGTCAATTAAGAAATATTTGATGGAATGTTTATCTTGCTTTGACTACACAGTTCACACCATAACTATAAAACATTACAACTTGTAGCATAACTGCTGAACACAGGTTGCCAGATTGGTGATGTTTCACCATCAATTTTTTTTTCCTGATTGCCAATATTAATGGCAATTAAAACAGTGGCAGCTCAGAGCTCTGTGATGCTTATTTCTCACATGGGGTCTAAAATGCACAAGCTACCTCCTGCATCTCCAAATACCATGGTCTGACATGTTGCAGAAATGTCAAAAGTGGTGCATAAAGAGCCATGAGTGTTAACGTGGTAAACCATCATTGATGACTGCGTCACAAGACCACCTGGTTCATGAAGCTGAAATTGTCCATTCTAAAATAAATTTAGACAATGAAAGGTTCAGTACATAATGTACCTAAGCATGACAATAGTAAGAACTGTTGTTTGTGAACTTACAAAAAATTCTGGAAGGAGAGTACTTTAAGTGAGAAATGTTAATGAACAAGAAAAACTGATTAAATGAAACTCAAAGGCTAGTGCAGAAAAAGCATTTCATAAAACTTTTTATCAAATTTAAGGATGGTGATCATCATCAATGCCATGTTTTGCTTGTTTAACATTATCATCGCTTTTGTCCATTTCACGAAAGGTGTTTTTTATATCTGTTACAATTTACTATGATGGACATTGCCTGTAAAAGAAACAACTTCAGAGAAGTTCACCTTTATGCATTTTGGCATTTATTTAAGATATTTCATAGACAGTGTTATTCAGAAACATAATTGAAGATCAAAACACAAATAAAACAAGCTGTTCAATTGCAGCACCTTTTGCTTTGCTTTTTTACTTTTAATTATTTCTTTTGGCAATTACTTCATCTATGTTATGCCAATTACAAAATAATGAATTACATTTTATTTCAAACACTTAAAGTGCACAAAACTAAACAATTTTAACATAGTGGGCCAGATAACCCCTGCAAGAGTTTCTTTTTCAGAGCCCTTGCTTAGTGCCTCTGAGCCAAAAAACTTTCTTCAACCTACCTAACTTAGGTAGAAACCTATGACTCAACTAAAAATTGAACAGACCTGAGAAACCACTGCTACTCTTGATGTAAATGCTGGAACAAACTTCAATATCAATGGATCGATGGCAACCTTAAAAGTGAAATTGACACATATTTAATAGCATGCATACAGTCAAACTTTCACACTGACATCAATGGATCAATGGCAACCTTAACAGTGAAATAGAAATAATATTCAATCGCATGCAAACAAACTTTCACAGTAACATCAGGATTGGAAACAAGTTATAATAAGCCACAATTTAATTCTTGTTGATTGGATGTTTTAAACTTTTTAATGGGGAAGTCAAGGTATTGATGTAGAAAAGGATTCTCATTAGGTGTGTGCAGGTATTTTAGTTGAGGGAATGGATGAAAAAGATGCATTGAAAAACATTTTATTGGAAACTGCAACTGATCACACCAATTGAAGACATTGCTGGGTTTGACATTGTTCAATGTTCTCCCAGGCAACATGCTTCCATGCAAATCAACTTCTTTTTAAAGAGGTAGTCATTTAACAAAATTTCAATTTCCTAGTTACTCATATCTTACTTGATGAGGTCAAGGTAACATTCAATCCTATGGTGCAGTTTTACAGGTGAGGGTATTACTGAAAAGGATTGACTAATGTCAGCTACAGTCACAACAAAAATCCCTGTGTATGGAGTTGGATATTTTCTAAGCTGAACATTTCAAGCATACATTCAAGTGATTTCAAAATAATAGTAAATCATCTGCATATAAGATATTTTACCTGTAGTGGAATAGCTCTCAGTGTTCTAAGATCATACACCATGAGAAATCTGTCTATTGCTAAATGTCCCATTCTAACAAGAAAAAATTGAATAAGAAATTATCATAGGATTTTTTCTTACAGCAAGACAACCTAGAGTAACAATTTAAGTGTTAGAGTATATGAAATAACAGACATATATCACACCTAGAGCAGAACCCACAAGTAACCAAAAGGTTTCCTGATACGTCAAAATCTGACAGGGTTCCTGTGTGTGCTTCTAACACATGCTCAGACTTCAGAGAGGAGGGATCCCTTAGCCGCACCTGTTAAACAAAGACAAAAAGTGTAAATTTTAAATCCTGATTTCTTATTTCTCACATGCAGTATCATCCTTGTACAAATTTAAAAGTATTTCTGACATTGCCATGAGTTTTCCTCACACCATAAAGTTTTATGTTCTCTTTAATATTTGCCCTATGATTAACTATATGAGTAAGGTTTAGAACAGACCTTGCCAGATGTATCACCACAACAGAGGTAACGATTAGACTGTTTCATCACAACAGTACCAGGATCAACTTCAATCTAATAAAAAAAAAAGAGTATTGTCTTCAATAGGTAAGGAAAAGCATGCTAGTAACACTATTCTTTCAATCAAACAAATTTAAGAAAATCCATCAGATACTCAAAAGGTTTTTATCATGATGACACTTTGTGCAAAATGGCACATTTAACAGTGAAATGAATAAAAGCCTGTTCTAACTCATTACCGTTTTACTAATGACTCCTTTTCTCAAGTCAACATCTAACATCAATCCCTGGTGACCAGCAACCCATAAGTGTGTCTCATCTTTTTGAAACATACACTGCATGTCTGACAGATCAGACCCACTGCAGATATTTAAATACATTCAGATTAGAATAAAACAAGTCACAGCTTTACTAAAAAATAAGAATGATGAATAACAAACAGAGGTTCTAAACCTATTTTGGTATCATACATGTACAGCAGTTGTGTCCCTTGGAAGGGAGTAAACAGATTAGTTTTGCTTTTGTGTTAAACATCATTGTTTTCAAGGGAAAAGGTCAGAGGTAACACACGTATTCAGCAGAAACCCAAGGGACCCTCATCAGTATCTACATAAAAAAAGGAGAAATGAAAGCAAGAGGTAGACAGAACTGTATAAATTCCACATGTAATTCAAACTTCCACCAGCCAAGCCAGTTAAGTCTGACTTATTTAGTAATTAAACCCTCAAGTGTCCACATATTTCACATAAATGAAGCTGTTGGTAACTGATCATGAGTAAATTTCCTTACAATTTTCTTGATAGCACAAAAATTCAAGGTCATTGACTCTCTCTGGCTCTCTTAATCAGTCTGCATTAATACAGTTATTTTCAATCACAAAGGTAGAATTCATTATTGCTCACCTCAGGTTAAAGATTCTGAGTCCAGAACGAGCTGAGAAGCATAATTTGTTACTAGACAGAGACAGTATCCCATGATCATTGACTAACATGTGACGGATTTCTCCATGATGAACTTTAAATGATGTGTACTTTTGAAGTTCTGGTCCAAAATAAGAGCTCAAGTAACCCTTCATGAAAAATAAGGTTTGAAATTAAGAGCTATGCTGAGTTAAACCACAATATTAACAATAGTTTTACAGGATATTTAAGACAATCAGGCCTGTGGTCCCTATGTTTTTTATTTCAACTAGATGCAACTATGAAGATGCCTATAAGTTATCAAAATTCTGGAACAATAATGGAAAACTTTATAAATGAATGCTATTTGGCCACCTGCAATGACCGTTGTCAGAATTGGAATAAAACCCATATCAGAATCTTTGCATACAGCCTTCCTTGCCTTCTGCAGTCATGAAGATGACTTGCTGTGGTAAAACTAACTACAAATGGAACAAAGATGATGATGCTCAATTAATGTAAGTTTCTAGACTGAGTTTTACACTTTTTTGACAGCTGCCACAATACGTGGAATAAAACAATAACGTAAGAAAATTGATTTAAGTAATAATCGACGCATCCCACAAAATCATTCATCTTAAAAACGACAAAAAATAGGCACTTCTTTCAGGTATTGTACATGGTTTTTATGGAGTTTTGATAGTTTTTAGATCACGGTTTTACTAAAAAGTATAATTGCTGGAAGCTAGCACTCATTATTTTTCCCCATTCAAATCAGAGGTTTCCTCACCGACTGATTCCCCGTCCAAACCAATTCTTCAAGAGAATCAAATAGGACGGATGTAATACCAGAATGGTCCCTTCCATTGTTAAAAACACTGCGAATTTCTTGATACTCCTCTCGAACTGCGCCATGATTGAGGTCCATCTTTATCAAAACAACAATTGATCAGCGGCTATTCTACATGTGCAGGTAAAACTACAGTGTAAATCCAATCTCGAGTCGACCATTTGGCGACTATACCGCTGACAAGGAGCCAAAATGATCCTGGGCTCGAGCTTGGTGTAAATCACATTGCAGCAACGACCCAACGAGCCCGCGGTGAATAGGACACGAGGTAAACAGAACGAGCCGAACTAGTACAATAACTGGTTGATCATGAATTATTTTACACATGTCCGTACACCCAAGCTGATAATCTAGCGATCTTTGTGGTGGGTTAATTTTTAATTCTCAGTAGAACGTGAGATACAAAATTGTAAACTGTCTGAGAAACAATCTCAGGCAAGGTTGCCATGGCTAAATCTGTGTCCGTTCTACCTCTCTAGCTGTTCATTTGTGTCTTAAGGATTCTGGTTGGCTGATCTTCGCGATATCACATTGTCCATTGTCGTCAGAAATTCGCAAATTTGTCTCAAATAAGTCTGCTTACACAGTAACTCACACTCAAATAGTTCGGGCGAGTTAACGTTCATTAAGCTGGATGTTTCTCGATCTTATTGTTATTCGAGTCATTTGAATTGGGCTGGTACTTTTATAAGAAATCTTACGCGGTACATCCAATCCAGCAGGAAAAAGACGTTTGCGCCTTGCAGTGACAGTCGGAGAACCTTCTAATACCTCCCCCCCTGATAAGTTTGTTATGGATGTGGGCCTTCTTCCTAGAGATCCGTACATTAACATTAGGCTAAACCAAAAACAGTAGGAGGTTTGCTTGGGTTATCTCTGGCAAATTAACCCTTAAACTTCCATAAGTGACCAGGACAGAAGTTCTCCTTACAAAATCAATACAGTATCAACCAGATAAGTGATGAGAATAAAGAAAAAATTAATTTGGGGATAATTAGTTGATCTAGTACTAAATTTTCTGAACTAACATCATAAGAATTGTATGGTTGACAGTAAGGAGAATTACAAATTTGATCAGGGAGTTAAACAATTAAACAAAACTTGAGAAGGAAAGCCACATGAAATTATTGCATACGCACTCTCTTTGTTATGCCTTTTTGGAGTTTTTTTTTTCCGAGTCCTTCAACAACTTCTTTCATTTTAGAATAGATTGATCATACACTCAAAGAACCAAAAGGATGACAGCAGAGTTAGCCATACCAGGGCAAGTCAACTTGGATGCTCCAAGATGGGATCAGTCCACTTTTTGGGGACGTTTCAAGCATTTTTTTGCAATTACAGACTGGAGGAAAGCTCTTTATAGCAATTCACAGCTAGATAAAGCAAAGGAAACTGTGGAAGATTACAGGTACACATATGTCAAAATGTTAGCAAATAAGATATCTAGGGAGTTATTTTCAATGACTGTTAAATTTTGAATGGTATTTGCACAGCATAGCCAAAAGACCTGGCAGTTTTTTACCTCTAACCCAGTTTGATTGAGATATGTTTTCTGTGCCAGGGACTGGCAACATATGACTTGATCATCAAATTTTATATATAGATGAGGGATAAATTATTTATGAACTCAAAATTAATTGCTTTGACCCTTTAAATCTAGTTTTAGAAAAAGTAACAAACAAATAAATTACCATACATGTATTTATTACCAGTTTGACTTAATTGACTCATGCTTGATGTTTACAAATAACTTACAGACAAGGTAAGACAAACAAAGTGTCTGTTGAAGAGCTGTGGTATGCAAAACATTTGGTGGACTCTGCATTCCATCCAGATACTGGTGAGCGAATGAATTTCATGGGTCGTATGTCCTTCCAGGTACCTGGTGGAATGGCAATAACAGGGGCCATGTTGCAGTGGTACAGGTCAGTAAAATGCTTTTAGTCATGTAGGAGGCCATCACATTCAAATCTGCACCATCATTGCCTCTCTATCCCCCCCCCTCCATCACACAAGAGAAGCCTCTGGAATGACAAACCTGCTTTTGCCATGCCCTATCCATATACTCAGAATAGGTTCTTGCCATACCCTCATCTTTACCTGCAAGTCCAAAATTCAATAGAACTTTTTGAGCAGAAACTGTGATTTTACATAAAAAAAAAAGAAAACTGTTTGAGGTCCTTTTACATTATTATTGAAATTTATGATTTTTGACAGGACTGTCCCTGCTGTTGTGTTCTGGCAGTGGATCAATCAATCATTCAATGCCTTAGTAAACTACACAAATAGGAATGCTAAATCAACAGTCACAGGAAAGTAAGTGGATGTGTTAATTGGTAAATAATGACATCCTATTTATCAAGCTCAGTATCAATACATGTATTATCCACTCTCCATGTTCTCTATACATTTCCTTTGGTCCTGGCAAGGAGAATTTGAAAGCCTCTTAAGGTGTTAATCATTTCCTTCACTCTCGTGATCTTGATTAAAAAATTCAGCTGTATTATTGTAAGGGGAATTTTGATGCTGGTCACTCTAAAGGTTTAATTAAAAGGTTAAAAATTTCATTCTGAGGTTCTGTGGCTCAATGTTTTTCATTTGTTCCTTGTGGTGATTTAAATTTATTTGGATAGTGTACCTTTCAGATTAGTTTATTTGGATTTGTTTCTCACAGTCTGAGATAATTAAATGTATAGCTGTTTGCAGAAAGGCTGTCAGAAAAAAGTGCATAAGACAAATTGTGAAAGGTAATCTGGGTTTCCAGTAATCAATGAATATTAATATGTGGAACTAGTAAATATGGACAAAGGGATTAATGAATAGGGGATATATAACTACATGCATGTGAATAGGAGAGGAACAAAACAATGGAATATTACGTTGTAAACATTTTTTCTTTAGGTCACTTCAAATTCGTTCATGTTGAGTTTACATTGTTTTTGTCATTGTTAGGGTCAGTTCATTCTTCTTTTTGTTTTCATCAAGTTTAGAATAATTTGAAAGTCAGTCTTGTGAACAAAATAAATTTATCAAAACTGCTGTGTCCAGGCCTCTTCCTTATGGTGATGTTTCCTCAAATTTTCCCAAAACCCTGAGGTCATGCAAGGAAACAAGACTTGAAAACTACCCACAGTACTTTTTGGGGTTGTCCCATGCACTTTTGTTTTTCTGACAACCTTTTTGCAAACAGCTGTAAAGACAATATACAAACTCTGCCCGTAGTTTGATGGGTTTTTATTCATTAATTTGAATTAATAAACTTGTCCACTAGTCCTTTAAAAAGCTTTTCTGCTTTTAAAGACAGATTGGTATTGCCTATGTATCAGCAACATCAAGTGCTGTGGCTGTATCTGTAGGACTCAATTCTCTCGTAAAGGTAAGGGAAATGAAATGCAACATTCAACTTAAAAGTCAATATTCTAGTGAGAAATTGTAATGATACCGCTTTGACCACTGATTGATTGAAACCAATTTATTGATTGACTGGATATGTTTTAGAAACAGTCCAGGTATTTTCTTTAGCCTTCTAGTTCACTAAGAAAAGAAAACTGCACTATCATAATTATTCATTTCCATAATGTTTGTTGTGTAGCCTATCACATGAGTTACAAATCAGATCTATAAATCATACTGGATACTGTCTATTTACTGTACTTGTTCCAAATACCATTTTGCCTCCTGCTGTGGTAGATAATTGACCTGCTTGCCACTTACAAATCACCATAATTGCTATTTTCATTAAACTCATACAGTTACTGCTTATTATTTATTGGTCACCAAAGAGACTAAATGTAAATATTTAGAAGATATTTTCAGTCATTGCTGACTAATACATACTGGTTGTTATCCAGTCAGCGCCTCCTCTCCTCGCCCGATGGGTTCCCTTTACAGCAGTTGCTGCTGCCAATTGTGTAAACATTCCTCTAACAAGGCAAAGGTAAGCAACAACCAAATCATGCAAGGAAGTCTTTAAAACAGTTAATAGCTAATATATACCATGGTAAAAAGTTATCTTGAGGATGGTGCCAGCCTGTCAAATATGAAACTCAAATGCTCAAATCTCCTGGGTAGGTTTGTGGCTGTGCTGTAGAAACATCTGGTCCACTCTTCGTACAACTTGCAGTTGCAGGTTTTTCATTAATAAGGGACATTCCATATTTTCAGTGTAGTTCAATTAGAAAAAAACAATAGTGTTATTTTGATTGATAGATTGATAAGTAATTGTATTACACAATGTCAGTGTGCCAGAATGTCCAAATTTTCTGCTCCATCATATCTCAATTTTATTTGCAGAGAAATTTTAGATGGTATTTTAGTATTTGATGAAAACAACAACCCAATAGGAAAGTCAAAGAAGGCTGCTGTGAAAGGAATAACACAAGTTGTCATCTCCAGAATTACAATGGCTGCACCTGGAATGAGTGAGTTTCATTTGTGTTATTTACAGTCAATGTGACAAACATTGATTTATGATTTTATTCAGGAGAATCTCTATGTAAGTTAAAGGGTAAGCCCATATATACCCTTCAACCTTGAGCTTGTAAGTTTTCTCAGAGTCTCATATATGCTGGAATGAAATGATGAGAAATTTCTCATTGAGCCTAATTTCCTCAAAAAAGACCTATAAAGCCTGGAAATTTGTTGAAAGTTTCTGGATAAATAGAACAATACTGTATACCTTTGTTCTTGATGTGTGGCATAAATTTCTGCACAGAAAATATTTTTTGAGATATTCTGCCACATGTGATCAATGTAATGCTCAACAAGCTATTACAAATAAATGCACTTCTGAACCATCTTAACCAGAAACTAATTTTAAATATCAAGTAATATTACTCACCACTTGTTTTTTTCTGTTTTGTTTCTTTTTTTTACATGTATATTTTAATTATTAAGTTATTATACCAGTGCTGATGGAAAAAATTGAAAAATACCACTTTATGCAGGTTTGTGAATTAATTTTTTAACTCCATTGAAATTATCAATGTCTCCAATGATTATAAGATTGCTATTTAGTACCTGGTTGCTAAGGAACCTTAACTTAATCTGGTGCTGAATAAACTCTGACAATTCATCAAGGATACAATTTGAGGGCAGGAGATTGATAATTTACAAAGGCTCCTCATGATTCAAAAACGTTGTGCCAGAGTAATTTTAAATGCAGGCACTGAAAGATCAGTCGGCCTTTTTAAGAGATTTGTTTGGATTCCCATTAGTGACATAATAGAGCAAAGGAAATTGTGTATTATACATAACATTATCCATGAGAAATGTCCTGATTACTTTAATCATTATATTCATTATGTTAAAAAGAGACATCGTTCCACAACTCAGGTGTCAACTAATATGGACTTATCCACACCTTTCTTTAGCACTATGACTGGCAAATGTTCATTCCTTGCAAGTGGCACTAGATTATGGAACAACCTAGACAGTGCCACTAGGGGTCTCACTTCCCTTTGTAAATTTAAAAATCAACTATATAAGAAATATATAGATTGGAACTCCAGAGTTGACAATTTTACTATAAGCAGAAATTTTTAATTAATTTTTAATTTTTAACTGTATTTTTACTTTGTATTTTTGCTATTTGAATTTGAAGTTTTAGTGGACCACAATGAGAACTACTGGTTCTACCAGTAATTGTGTTATCCAATGAAGTCATTATTATTATTATTATTAAAAGTAAAGGGAGGAAATCTTTCCCCCTTGCCCATCCTTTGAAACTCTCTGCCAGATTGCTGCTAATTTTCTCTCTGCTATTAATTTTTTTTTGCTTGACTCCACGGTCTAAGGTTTTAGTGTCTAGTATGAAATAGAGGTGGATAGAGAGTCTTGTATATCCATATTATCCTCTAGTTTGGTAATTATGTTTTATTGCAAGCTAATTTACAGTAGTGTTCCAGATTTCTAGGTTTTCTTTGTTTGTCTCCCCATTATAACTTGCTCATTAGCCATGTTCTTTAGGCTAGGAGGTTCCTCTTTTTTTTTTGGCAATAGTATTCAATCATTGCTTCCTCTTACAGAATTGCCCCTTGTATGGGAATTTGGGATTTTTCTTAGAAGATAAAACTATCACCATCAAACCACAATGCCTTATCAACATTCCAATACTTTACTCTAAAGAGAAGTATACACCATTTTGTTTGTTTGTTTTTTTTATGTCTTGTACACCATTTGAAAGTAGAAAAGAATGATGACACTGACAGTGTATGAAGTTTCTTTTAAAGCTATCAGATCTGAAATCAGATTTAACACTAACCCTGGGTTATCTTAACCCAGTTATGAACAACAGGGCCCTGGCCTCTGGCCTGTTACTTAAAAAAGTCTCACTTGATCCTCTTTCAATCTCTTGGTGACCTGCTTGGACACTTAAAAGCTATACGAAAGACATTCAGAACTCAAATATTGACTATTTTTTGCTGTAATCAATGGAGAGCATGTGAGCATGTGCCTGTGAACTGCATATGTGGTTTGCATGTGTGGCTAGGTTACTGAGTTGTTTTCAGAATATCAACATCCTGAGTTGAATTATAAGCACACTTGTAGACAATTTACAAATGGGTAACATGGTAAGAAGGTAATTATTATTAATAATTATACTATTAATTTTTTTAAGGGGGTGGAAATGAAAATTTAACATGTGGTTTCTGGAGCATTGTGTTCTGTTGACAGAGCCTGCTCCTATTTATCTGTTCATATGTGGTACTGATTAGAACTGCATGAAGATCTGATGAATTAAATTCCTAAGGTTTTTCAGAAATATTCTACTCTACAAAGGAATGCTTGAAAAAATTTTGTTTGAAGTTCTGATATAAATTTGAGTTTCATTTTAGCTTTCTGTTCTGAATTTTTCTTGTTTAACAGCGTATCAAGCCTATGCATGGTCCTATTCAGATGTTGCTGTGTGGTGTGAGGTGATCAATCTTTCTATAGATCATTTCAGATTGTTTCTAATCTGAAGTGATACTGTGATTTATTTTTTAACTCAGTAGTACACTTCAAAACTGTTTTCACTACAGAACTAAATTATTTTAGAAAAAGCTTTCTTTTGGATGGGTCACAAAGAATTCTCTAATCAGTGCCCCATGGGCTCATCACAGCAATGATTTTACAAAGTTAATTAATGTTATGACTGCTGCAGAAGAGGAATACAGGAGATTCTGCAGTTTATTTTAAGTCTTGTTGGGTCACACCTCACCTTCAATTAATCTCATCAGTAGTAGTCTCAATATTTACAAGTGTGAAAAGCCAATGGGCAAATCATGACATTGAAATAGCATAATTGAAGAATGGAACACATTGGAAAACATTGGCTCTTTTCATCAGAATGTAGTTAGAATCCATGCTTATTTCTTTTTCTAGAATTTTCATGTTTCACATGGAGTTATTGGGTTCTTACAGAAACTTGAATTCTTGAGAAAAGTTTGGAAGTTGAGTAAAAGTATCGAAAAAAGTATTAAAAAAAGAGATTTCAAGTCTTAAGAAGTGAAAAGAATCTGTTAGGTGTGTTTCTAAGCTGCTTAATCACTGTACCACAGTCTTTACAGTACCACCCTGGATTATTCAATGCAAACCTTTTCTTTAATTCACTTTAAATGGATTAATTAAATTCATGTTTCTACATTTTTCAGTTTGTGCTTCATGGTACCAGCTGCCTGTTCACTATTCCCACAGAGGTGGTAAGTATACAAACATGACATCATAGCCACATGTAATTGTTAGGTCCACATTAATGTTTAACATCACACTGGAAATAGAGGTGTTAAGAAAGTCTAATTTGATGTACTGTAGAACTGTTGTCAGTCAGGTATTAATGGTGTATGTGGAAAGCATGCCATTTTTATGGTATGTTTATGTGAGGTTTTCCTCTTTTATCATATAGAATACTGGTGCACTTGTATTTTATGTGGTCTATTCTTGTAAATTATCTTTAATTTTCAAATTCTCTTTAATTCTTGTCTTAGTTCCATGCCAGTAGAAAAGCTAGAAGTGGAGTTGCAGGAGGTGATAAGGAAGCGTGAAGGACCAGCTATAAAAACAGTCTTCTTCAACAAGGGACTTTAATTTTTCAATGTTTTCCTAGAGCTGCCTAAAATAAGAAATGTTATTCCAATACAATTATTAATAAATAAACACTAGTCCAACTTATAGTTCTTAGGGTCATTCAAATATCTTGTTATTTCTGGCAAAATGACTGGTACTAACAATTTCTTTAAGTGGCAAATTACATTATGGTGGGGGCTGCTATTGTGTTGTCAAAGCTGTAACAAAATGATAGGGTCTGGTGGCAAATTGATGTTTGAAGTGAGTGGTGGGTCAATGTAATTATATTTTTATAAGAAGTAGATTTACCTAATTAACACCCATTTAAACCCTTTACATCCTAACATCAGTATACACATTCTCCATTCAGTTCTCCATACATTTGATGATGTACTAATAAGGAGAATTAGATTAAAAGTCAAGAGCTTCTTTAGTTGGTGATCCTTCCCTTTTTTCTCGTGACATTAATGTATGATTCAGGGGTTATAATGTAAGGAGAAATTAGATGCCAGTCACTATGAGGGGTCAAAGTTTTCAGTTTTTGGCAGAGACTTATGACAACAATTTCATTCATGCTTATCAGCCCACTATTTAAAAATCTATGTATCTAGAATAGCTTCTTCATTTAATTATTTTTACTTACCATCAAACCATGCAACCTTCTAAGTTCTTTTCTTCAAATAATTTTGGCATGTTTCATTTATTATATGATTTTTGACCAACATGATGACTACAAATGGTGTTTCATTGTGTGGGAATAAACTGTAAGAAATGGATTTGTCCCATTTTCTTGTACTTGCTTGAGTGCTGAGAGAAGTGGTGTTGGAGTGCATTATTACCCAGTGGCCAAAAACACCTGATTTTTAAAGCCACATCCAGAGCTAAGGAAAGATGTGTCATCGGATAGTACTCTCCCAAACCCTCTCTTTGCTCTAATGTGGGATACTGTACCTTTGACAAAGGTGTCAAAATGATGAGAGGACATAGTACACTGGCATGTTATCAAGGAAGAGAAGAAATACTCAGTCCTCTCATACATCCAGTGGCTGGATGTTTGTCAGCAGTTATACGTTTCTTTACTATGTAAACTTTACATCCTACTTGGCTAGTTTTCTCTCAAAGTTTCCCTTTACAGTACTAGGATTGAAATGTATTTTCAGGCTAGAATAACATGATGATTATAGAATCAGACCTGATCTACTTGACACTCAAGTCTATTTAAAGAGATAACCCCAACCCCCACCTCTATCAACCCCCTTCTGAATAAACCAGGTGATAGCTGAAATTTGATTTTTAAAAACTTGGCACTTTCTAAGACTAAATAGTCTCCATGCTAATAAAGGACTGAATAACTTGCCTGTATTATTTATGTCTACTGAGTCAAAAATACCTACAAGAAACATCACACCATTTTAACAAAACACTCCGCATTTATTGTGTAAGAGTTACATAAAGCCTAGTCAAGTGCTAATTTACATGATTCTCTAGGGACAAGAAAGAGATTACCACTGAAAGTATTTCACCCAAGAATTAATAAGATGAAAGATCAAAAGCTGTTATCTAACAAGAAAGTACACTCTAACTAACAGAATTCAAGAAAGTACACTCCAACTAACAGAATTCAATCCAGAGAACCACCTAGTATGAGTAAAATGAACTGTGTTACACTGTAACTTGACTGTCTTGCAGGTTCATACAAAGTGTGATCCAAATCGAAATAACAGAATATTTTCCTTTCACAACTTATGGAGCATGATCCAAATGGAAATAATACATTCTCATAACTAAAAAGGACTTTCAAGAGATTCTTTGATAGTTTACACCTGCATGACCAGTATTTGTTTAAATATAACTTAAGGCTAAATTTTTTCCAAAGGGTTATGCCCATTAATTAATATATGAAACCCTCAGAATATAGAAGAGATGAAATTAAAACACCCTCTAAAAACTTCTAGTGCATAATTGCTAAAATATGTTTCATCACCCAAATATATTACATGCTGATGCAGCAAGAAGCCTTGTTACAGCTGTAAAGTTGTGAATTTCTATCCTTTTCAGAAGGGTATATTTCCAACCCAAAAAATAGATGAGGTGACAGAAATGACTTACAAAATAACTTACTATTCTGTTTTAAAAGTCATGACCAATAATAACATTATTTTAAAAAATTGTTAGCACTTGCAAAAGAAGTTTAAACTGCTACTAAGTGCAAATTTGGAAGTTAACAATTTTATTACATAACTTTAGTCCTACAAGTAACAAATAAATTATAACCCATTTGCTAACTCACACACAACCCTGCAATGAAAGACACCCACAACAAATTAATGACGTGTATTTCAAAGTAATAATTGCATGTGGACCCATTCATGTCTACACATGATGTCACTACTAACAGTGCTTAACACTTCTCCAGTCTAATGCTGTCATTAGTTGACATATCTTATTGAAGCAGTCACTCACACAGTTTCTATGACTGAAACAGACCCCCACTAAGCCCTGAACTTGACACACAGTTACACATGCAGACAAATCTATTTTCAACAGACTTTTTCTGATCTATACCGCGCTAAGCACATTCCACTCTTACTAGCTAATCACAAGAAATTGATCAATACCAAGTAATCATAAAAATGAGTGATTGCATCATTAAAATCAGTAGAAGAATTTCTCATTGTTTAGTATTAGTTGGCAATGTGTGGCACAAGTATTATACTTACACCAGAAAAACATGCCTCTGTTAGCATTCTACAAGTTACTTTGTACCTAATCATGTAAAATCTACAAGCTCACACTCTTCATGAATCAAATGTTTGACCAATCCCAATCAAAGTTAAAAAATTCCCACGATATCGGTGGTTTGGAAATTACTATCAGTTAATGAAAAAAAAAAAAATCTTGTGCATCTATTTGTAGTTGATGATCATCAGTTATCATTGATTACATTAAAATATTCAGTGCTTTGCTTCTATTGATTTTTCTGTTGATAGGAAATCATTACCTGGTATATATATATATATATATTTAATGAAACTATTTCTAACATTCAAAGTTAAACAGATAATTACAAAAATTAAAATTTAGATCAAGGACAACAATCATCAAATTATAGCCTCTCCCTAAATTTGATTACTTGAACATTTGATGAAGAGCACTAACTCCATTGGAAACAACAAAACTTTTCATGGAGCAAACTAACTCTCAAGGTAGATAGAATATCATACCAGAAAACCACTTTCACTTAAACTGATGTTGATAGATTCTCAATAACTATTACCCACACATATTGGCTACCTGACCCTTAAGTTGTTGCTATCACTAAGAAACAATGACACCAAAATTTCCAGCTGTCCACATTACAAAGTGTTGCATTTAAGTCAGCCAAATAATTATGGCTACAGCAAGGGCTAGAGAACAGTACAGATTCAAACCCACAGAGGTGGTGAGAATGCATCTGAGAAGCAAACTACAATGACTATAAATTTGAATTAAGTAATGCCACACTGTTGCAAGCTTAAGATCCCAACCATGTTACATTCTTGCAGAAATAATAGGATGCTTCATCATAAGGCATCTACTTGAACCATACGCCGTCCCACATAAACTCTGAAAAATAAAACATGCCGAAAAAATCAAGCAAAGTTTTTGCTTTATATTTGTTCATTTTTCCACAATTGTTTACCTATAGTGATTAAGATCATAAAGCCCCTGGTAGATAGTATTAAACTTCACTGTGAGGTGCGGAGAGTGGGGAGTGCATGGGCTTCATTAAGAGTAGAAACAGGGAGGGAGGGCATCTGGAGTTATCACTTGGGCATACTTTATGGAGGGCTTAAGGAGCCTTGCCCCCCAAGGTGGTCCAAAGGTGTGCTCTCCCTGGAAATTTGGAAATTCTTTAGTTATAGAAATGGAATTTCCTTAATTTTAAGAAAAACTAGGAGGCCTCGTCTGCCAAAAGGTTACTATTATTTTACATACAAAAATCTCCAACATAATTGATATAATGTATTTTAATAGCGAAGGCAAAGTACACAAATTCAAACATGCACTCTTGAAGGGCTCAGATCTTTTCTCAACAACTTTGTTCTAACCTTAATATCCTTAACATAACCTTACCCGATTCCAAATGCAATCAGATGAGATAATAAAACAGCAGGTACAACAACATAGAAATTAATCTTCATTAATTCTGCGCTGTGGAAAGAAAACATAACACTAGAAATATTTTATCTTAATTAATCAATTCATTATAAACAAATTTCATATTGATTTGCCATCCACTACCAAGCAGAGTCTGTCAAGAAATATACAATATTATTCAAAAGAACAACTTGGTTTAACAATATACATACTTATTGCCTTAAAAAGTAATGTACAGTCTGTCACTATAGTAGAAAAATATTTGATCCCCCAATAAATTATAAGGGGGAATAGGAATAGCTAGGAATTTCGTTGAATTTCGTCGATAGGTGTTTGCATTACTTTTGCACAATACTGTAGTCTCTTCTGTTATTGCATGAGAAGCCACCGCATTTTTGTATTTTATCTAAATGAATAACCACACCCATTTTTCTAGGTCTATAGTTAAGTTGGCATGTATATATTAACTAACGCATGGTTAAGAGGCCAAAAAAGCATTTTTTTACTCTTTCTTCCTAGATTTTCCCCTCTTACAAAAAGCCAATTCTTGACTACCATAACAATTTTCTCTAAAAACAGCAGCTGATGACAGAGGTACTTAATGTGGCTGAGCCATATTTTCTGAATTAAAAGTCAAATGGTTTGTTACCTTCTCATGACTTTAGTGCCTCTGATACTCAATTTTGCCCTACGTGGCTTCGATTTACATCTGGGATGTTGCATCTTCCATTCCCTTATTTAATCAAACAAACCAACAGATTATGCAGGCATAACACAGACACAGGAACAGTCAGAAATGAATCCTACGTACCATGGAAACTCACCAATTTGGGTATCACTTATTCCTAAAGTTTTTTATCATCAGCTTTGTATGTGATTGTTTAAAGAGTTCACATGTGTTATAATAGAATTGGTCCATGCTTTTCGCAGTGCACATATTGAGGTATGACACACTGGAAGTTTGATGAGCACTCAAGAAGCAAGAATTGCACTTTCCCGCTTATCAAGTAACTCTTGTGCTTCTCTCAAACCCTCAAAACTTCTTACATTCATTTATGCCTCAACAAAGCACATTAAGTTTGAACTAATTCCTCAGTTTTTATCTTCCTGACTGTCAAAGTTTCCAAAGAACCAGTTACCACTCCTCATATGGATTGTGAATTCAATCTCTGATTATACTAACAGACACCTACTTCTGTGGTTGCACTTCAATTCTGCTTGACCACTCCCAAATCCAATCTGTGTTTTGCTCTTGTGGAAGGATTGGATCACCCTATGATCAATTAACATGAATATGTTTTTTACTGGCTGTTAAACTGTTAGTATAACATCAGTTCAAGGATTTATATGTGATTCGTCCTTCAATAAAGATCGAGGCTTAGAAAAAAAGTGATCATCATAAAAACAGTAATATCTAACACCTCTCTAGATAGCACAATCTTATTAGTCTATATGGGTTCAATTGCTTTATGGCCTCGTAATAGAAAAAAGGTTTTTGGACGAAGCTTCTATTTCATTACAATGCGGAAAATCTGACGGTATTGTCAAAAATGCCTTACATACTGTGTCAAAATTATATCTTATTTCGTCCAAAGTGATTTTTCTCCTGTAAATCCAAATAATGAGTGACATCGCGTTTAGAATTTTAAACACAGGTACATGTTTATGTGACACGAACGTGAGGAATGGTACAGACCTCTCATGTGAATCTTTATCGCGACTACATTGCTAAGGTCCAAAATAATCATAGCGATTGAAACCAAATTCACCCCCGTTTAGTAATACCACTTTAAACGTCTTAAATAAACTCAGTCAATCTTTCCCTAGAACAAAAAGTGGTTTTGTAACGATGATCGCAAGCTCAAAATCAATATGTGAATGAGCTGAAGATCAGTAATATCGTGCAAACATGCATGAGACGACAACAATTCCACGTACCGTCCGTAGGTTCCCTTGAGGACATTGCTCCCTTGGTGAACCAGACGGGCTTTTTTCGCCACTAAAAAAGTTAAGTAAAAAAATAACAGTTATCATAACCTTGCCTAAGGCAAACATGCTTAAGGTTAACAACCTCTACGTCAAACGAACTATGTGCCGATGAGATGATGCCCATCTCTCTGTAAAAAGTAGAACATTCAGATCCTGCACCTTGAGCTTTGTTTCGACAATTGTTCTTGTACCGCTTCAGCAAGAAGATCTTCCATCGCTCCATCTTCCGAAATAACTGGAGAATGCTGAGCTCCATTGCCATTTCTAAACGAGCCATCGAGCTTTACCCAAGAGCCTTTAAAATATAGACAGTCAAGATTAGGAACGCCGACATATGATATTGATGTTATGACGCAGTCCTAACTTGCGTTCGTTAAAACGCATTATACGTTGAGAATCCTTACCATTCAAAGACTCAGTGGAGCTATGACTGCCACCATTGACATTATTTGCCATAGTTTTTAACTCATAGAATAAACCTGTAAATGAAACAACAAATACGACCGAAAAGGCCACAGGAATCTTCCCCAAGACGACCTTAAACTCTGCCTTTGTTTTGATGGCTAACCTGAAACTGTTCGGTCTATATTTACATTCTCTTTGATTAGCCAATGAAAAGGCCCATTTATTGTCACATGACTAAAGCCGGCGCAACAACAATCGGAAGTAGATTTCCCTGGGTACGTCATGTATGGGAAATTATTATATGTGAAGTATAGGACATAATATACATGATATGTTCAGAGAAATGCGCGCGCCATGATTGGTCAGAACGAGTTCTTTATATTTCCATAAAGCACGCACCTTACGTCACATGAGCGCACTGTTGAGATATAATGCACGTAGCCTACGTCATCGGTACGAACGCGCTCAATTCACGATACATTTTATAAAAGAAATAAGAATACTTGTTCCTCGAGCATTGTTGAGTTATATAAGCACTTAGGAATTTTTGGGAACTCTTTGGTATCTTGAAAAGTTTGGTGAAATCCCGTTGTTAATCAGTATCCTTTTCTAATGAAATTACTTAGAATTTAACGAAGAGTAGTAGAAATCGAAAATGATGACGGTTCATGTAGGAGGTGAGATGGCAATTTCACAGGATTTTCACGGGAGGGATGAGAGGATTTCGCGTTCCTGTGTAATAGCACCCCCCACCCCTTCACCCCCTCTTCTCCATCAAGCGTCACGAAAGTTACTATGCATTGAAGTGGTGAATTCATCCATTAATGCTACATGCCATCTACACGCATTTTATTTTCCTTAAAGTGTGAATATTTGCACCTCAATCGAAGTGCAGGCAGATTTGGATACCATTTTCGCCGTAAGTCTGAGCTAGTGAACGCTAAACTGTATGTTTACTTGTTGTCATGCAAGGACGAAGCACAAAGACGTGAACTCAGTCCACAAGAATGTGTTTAAACACTCTTAAGTAAAATTCTTTGATGGTGTGCGAAGAGACCGAAACGGTAACTCCAGATTCCCAGGGGAAAGCATTTCTGCAAACTGAAAATGAATAAAAGTCAATCGTGGAAGGATATTGCACCTGAAGGTGAGAAAGTGGCTGATCTAGGGCGAACAAGTTCGCAGCCACCGCATACACCACAAGCCACGACAAATGAGCACAGTTTTGCTGCGGTAAATTCATCTTCAAAGTCAAGCATGGATGAAATGCGACGGAGGATTGTTCAACTTAACAAGGAATTGGAACAAGAGAGAACCCTTGTAAAAAATCTGAGAAGAGACAAGGTATTGGAGGTCAGACAAGCACGAGACGAAGAACAGCGAAAAGCGATCGCCATGCAAACCGAATTAAGGTCGAAACTTCACAAAGAAAAGGTAAATGAGCTAACGGCTTTGAAAGAACAAGTTCGTAAAGAAAAAGAGAAGGAGATATTGTTGATAATAAGACAAAAGGATGAGATTTTAAGAACTGCTCAACAAGCTTGGGCAAAGGAGAAAGACGAACTTAAATCGAAGATTCGTAATGAACTTCGTGGCGAAACGCGGGAAGACAGCAAACGTGAATTTGAAAAGGAACGCTGTAGAATGGAGCAGGAAATTGCAGATCTCTATCGACAGAAACGTGACTTGGAAGAAACACTTAAGCTTGTTCAGGATGCTGATAAAAGAAAAATAGAAGATATTCGAAGAATACACCACGAACATGAAGCAGAACTAGATAAATTCAAGAGAAATTCATGGCAAGAGAGCAGACAGCAAGTAAGTTATTGCCAAAGTTCAATTTATATTTATAATTGCCTCCCTTTAAATTTATATTGTGAGATTTCCGGGCTTGAATTCTTTGTTTTGCTGAATGATGCCGACACTTAAGACATCAATGACCCCCATATTTTGGATTGTGAGTTCCGCTTGTAGCTGTTTCGCTAACTAGACTAAAAGGATAATGTTCCGCTTGACATCGTTTGTTTACACGTGAAGATAATTCAAGCTTGTGTCCCGTTGCTGTTTTATCCAGCTTGGAGTTTATTTGAGGAAGTGATTTTTAATTGCTTGTATGATATATTGTGAGTATAAATTATTCAAATCCTGTTTTTAAAATAGACAAAGATAAGGTGTTTTAAATTTATTTGAATTTTGAGCTAATTCAAACACACCTGACAGGAATTAAGTAAAAACTATTAACTGAGTCGCTATCTTCATTTCTTCAAAGGTTAGAGATTTTTTTGATATTTTTTCCCAACAAATAATTTTCCATCATGTCATGAATTCAAATACACGAAACTGTGTTACACGCATTTTGAAGGAGAGCAGAGAAGTGTTCGATTTCAAAACAGATATCACTTTACATGTACATTTCATGGATGCTGTTATCCAGTTTTGTTTTGTTTTTATTTTCCTTTTAATTTTAGACATAGGGTAAAGTCTTTTGATTATTTCATAAATAGTAAGTAAGTATTGTGTTTTTGTATCAATGGTAAATATACCAAGAAAAAAACTAAACTTCAAGAAAGAAAATGGGAGTGTTCCATTTCTGAGCACTTTTGATATGGTTTTGTATGGGCATATCAAGGGTATAAATTCATGGTAAGTGTCATTGATTAGTCCAGGAGCTATGAATAACCGGTTGCATGAATGGGTAAATAGCCATATAATCTTAGCTTGCTATTCACACATTGCTTCCACTCAAAGAGCTCAAACATGAGTCATCATCATGCTAAAACAACATGCATATAAATTTGTTATAGTGTAAGGTTAGCTGGAATGGACTGACACTGCACCCCAGATGAGACATTGACTCATCAGAACTTGGACAACCAAATATCCAAGAAGTAATCTGACATCAGATATTAACTATCTTGCAGATGGCAGAAATTCGTCAGTTGCTTAACATAATTGAACAACTTGAAAAGAAGCTTGGATTAGAAGCTGGGCATTCCATGAGACTTAGACTGGAAAAGGACAACTTAAATGACTTGTTAAAAAAATCCACAACATTTGATACTTGGGACAGAATGATGTCAAGTGGAAAGAGTGAGCAGGCAACCCCTCCAGGAACTCCTGTATGTATCTCTTGTTCCTTTACTTTTTCCTTTTTCCTTTTTATGTTTTTGAAGGCTATTTATTTATTGGCCCCAAACCCATTAACTAGTTTTTGTTCAAGAAATGGTTAAATTTCTCTGAAAATGGATCTAACAGGTACAGCTGGAACATTTGATGCAGTTTTGTGTCATGAAATATAAGTGTTAACAATCAAAATTATGTATGATAAAAAAATCTGGGCACAAGTTAGTTATTCACAACAAGCCTGTCCTTCAATATACTCAAGAATCATTAAGCAAGCTTCATCAAATTTCTATGTTTGTCAGTGAATTTTACATTTATCTTTTGTCTTGAAAGTTTTAAGAGACAGACATGGTTCAGTTATTTTTACCTGACTTGGAATGCGTGACTCCCGTGCATTAATTTTACCAATGAGTGAAATTGAGGGAGGTTTTCCTGCAGTCTGGACAGTGTCATTGATTAAATTCATATATAAATAAAACATGAACTTTAGAGAATTGTTTGTTCAAGAAAGGAAACCACAAAATTTCATCATTAATTCATTTAATATATGCAAACGAAAAGCATTTGCTTGGAGCTATCTGGAGTGACTGTAAATGTTATCTGACGATATTTATAATTGTGGTAACAGAAGTCTTAAAAAATGGTACAGAATATCCTAGATTTTTTTAATTAGAACACTCTGTTGTTTGTCAAAAAAATATCAAATGTGTATAGCTGAAGCCTTTCTATTGACTCACAAATTGAAATGTTAATGTTAACTTGCATGCTCACCCTACACCACTTATAAATTTATCCTTAGGATTCTAAAGGCAGCAGTCAAGAATTTAGAATGCTGCAAAGAAAGAATGTGGAACTTAGTTCTTTGGTTCGCAAACTGGATGAAAAAAATCAACAACTGGCTACTAGAAATGCTGAATTGGTAAGTTTTAAACACCAGTCAAATTATGACTTGTCATGTGTGAACAACCTGCTTCTAGATCTGTCAACATCTATTCTTTCTAGATTCTGAACTTTTCCTCCATAGAAAAATGGCTCACTATGCTAATTAAATAGTATATAGTAAATCTGAAGAATTATTGTAAGTTAGTGAGTACACATACATTTGTTAGCTTCTTCATATTATAAAACATTAACAAAACAGTACAAGAATTATAATAAGGTTTGATAAAGAGTAAGACATAAATTGACTTTCTGTAGTTACAAGATTGACTCACATCAATGTTATAAAATATTGTTATCCCAAGGAAATTGCTTACTATAGAATATAATTTATTTGGTTGCATTCTATTTATTTTTGCAATAGAGGTATTAGGATTCATGTTTCAAATACATGTAATTCTTGGGATTATGATTTTTTTAGGAATGTACCAAAGGAAATAATAACATTACTGTGTAATAAGATGCTCTGACATGAAGAGATCAGCCAATTATGGTTGAAATCCAAACCATTTTTGAGTTAATTTTTGAGATCTTTTTAAATTCACATAGTGTGCCACAAGAGAGGCTAGATATAATTGACTTTGTCTAAATTTGCAAATGATGTGATGGTGTCCTTCTTGGAGACAAATCAAGATCTATAGCTCACAATATGCTTGATGCCAAATACTATCAAATAATATTTGATATTAAAAGGATTAAATGTTATGCCAAACTTAATTTTCAGAATAGGGTTCCTGATAGAACAGATTCTTTTAGTGTAATATTTAATTGACTATAACTTGACAAAATGAAGGGCTTGTCCAAGGTGGTGCTCTCACTGTATTTTCCAAAGGAGCCATTAGCATTCAGCTGGTATTTATCTGGCAACTACAAATATAAAACCACTGAACCAAACTACTAAAGCCAAATTATCTTTTTATACCCTCCTCCTCCTCCCCCCCAATCAACCAATGCAGCACCACAGTTTCTTTGTATCCTTACAACTTCTATTACAATTAACATGATCACCTAGAACTCACTGATCCAAATGCTGGAAGCAAGCATTAATCATTAATTGCTTAATTGTGTGAGATAACATGATCAGCTAATTTTGGTTTGATGACCCCAGTAACAGAACTGCTTGGCACAGTTAAGTTTCTCACACAAGATGTCAAGAATTTCTTGATATAATTTAGTAAGATTTACAAACAGTTATCAAAAGGTAATTAAATATTTTCTCAATGAAGGTACAGTAGTCTTCTAAATATGAATTTATCACTGCTTAATATCTGTACGTTGTTAGCTGGCTGAGTTGGAGAAACTTGAAAAGGACAATCGAGAAAAAAACAGAAAGCTTGAAAGGAAGAATACAGATTTAGCACAAACAAACAAGAGGCTTGAAAGTCGGAACAAACTGTTACTCGATGAAGTTAACTCTTGGGTAAGTTGTTTATATCAAGAGTGAAATACAGTTTATGTTCCATTTGCTCAGTTGAAAGGTGAATCAATTAAATTCAAATATATGTGACATAAATTCACTTTTACTTATCAAAATAATAGTCTATTAACTCCTCAGAACTGATTTTTAATTGTCCCTTCTAGCTGCTACACATTTCTTTGTAAATTAGTTGTTAGAATTTGGTGTTAGAACAAGATAAAAACTTCTACCTGACAAGTTTGAGCATTCTTATTACCTGTCTATTGATAATGTAAGGATATTTTAAGGAGAAGTTTCATGTTAGTCACTTGTGGGAGTTAAAAGAAAGCTTACTTAGTGACAAGTTCAGTGGTAATTTAAGGAATCATTGACAGAATTAGTATCATTTATGCTGCATTGTTGTGGTGAGTAGAGAAGTATAACCAAGTTCTAATGGGTCACTATTTATAGTCTCGAAAGTTTGTATACTTTAGCAATATATTATTTTTTATGACCCTTTCATTATGTGTCATTTGACTTGAAAACCTGATTCTTTTCTTATTCATTATCATGCCACAGAAAAAGACTTTAACAAAAAAGAAGGAGAATACTGTAAAACGAAGGGGGCCAGCAAATAAAGAGGTAAATGAGGCTTTAATGTGCATGCATTACTTATACACACTGCAGTCACTGTGGTACTATGTTTCCAGTACAAAAATAACTTTTAGTCTGAGATATACATGTAGACATTTTAACCATGTGAAGGTTAAACATTATGCATTTATAAAATTGGTAATGGGAACTGGCGTCTACATTAGACAACTGTGTATAATACTATGGCAAAAATGAAAATGTTAAAACATCATTTGCATGTTCTCAGAGATGTGGGATGAGTGTGGCAAAGGGCTCATACATAACACATGATTAAGGCCAAGATTATTATTTGATGTGTGAATTTTGCCTGACCCATTAATATTTTTTTTCATTTACTTTTCCCTGAAATCTTGTACGAAAGTAGCAAGATTTGAAGTTTTCCCTTTTATATGCATGATGCATGAAGTTTGGGAACTTTTAACGCATATAAAGCAAATTCAGTTTTTGCATTGTGTAGTGCTAACAGAGTTGACAGTATTACCCACTTGTAATTACATGTGCCAATGACTTGACAAGAGCAAGAAGCTGACAAAGCAGCAAAATGAGTGCGCATGATATAGTAACACATGATAAGTGATATGTATGCAGAGGAATGGGAACAGCAACATAGTGTTACTGTAACACTATAAGGCAAAATGGCAGCATGTTTAAAAATTCCCTTGATTGTTTGTTTTCATTTTGCGGGGATAAGCTTAAACCTAAACAGATAAGGTTGCCGTTTTCAAGAGAGTTTCCGAGGAACCTCCTCCATCACATATCTCACTCATCAAAAAAAGATCTTGCAGTTACAGGTGCAAATTTAGCAACTTAAGTAGAACATCCATAACATGGCTATAAAGTTTGCGGCACCTGTTATCCCTTTAGCGCTTCTTGACGTCTTGCCTCTTTATTGGGCAAAACCCCTAGAGAAAAAAATTTCTTTTTCTTGGCAGAAAAACCAGCATCAGTTTGTTTACAGAGGAAGAATAGTAGCCCTGAAGACTCAAATGGCTCAAGTAGCAGGGCATGCAGTGTACTCATTTTGCTGCTGTGTGTAAGCAGCCCATATGCATCTTGCATAACAAACAGTTTCATTCAGGAAAAATAAGATCTAACTTGAGTTTACTTTCTAATGGATGAAAACAACTTGTGCAGATAGAGGTACATCTGATACATCAATAATTACAATTGGTATTTCCATCAAAAGGATGAGCTTGGTGAGTTAAAGGCCCAAGTAAGAGAGCAGACAAGAACTATTGCAGACCTGAAGCAAAGCATGATGGAAAAAGACCGAAGGATTGAGCTCCTAAGAGGCAGAAAGAAAAAAAGCAAGCAGCAACCAGTAAGTCTATCATAAGAAATCAAACAGGTTGTACACATTAAGCTGTTAGGTTTATGAAACTTCAGGTAAAATGGTGACCATTGCACTCAACAAGTCAATTCTTTTCAGGTTAGCCTCATGTCACAACCCACAGATCTTTTCCCAGTGACTGATGACGATGCCTTATCAGTTCATTCTGACTTTAGTGAAGCTTCAGAAATGGTTAGTGCAGAAATAGTTTTTTTTTTCCTGAATTAAATGTCTCCCTGTACTTGTCATTTTCAGTAACTTGTTATCCATAATTATTTTTCTCGCAATTGTTTTAATTGTACTGTTGACAAATTTAATAAGGCAATGTAAATATTATTCCTACTGGGCAATAAGGTGTGAAATGACAATATAACATTGGGTGATTTACATAAAAATAACTGTTGGACAGAACTCAAATGTTTTAACGTATTGATAGCAGACCAAGGTAATGCATGTGTGCTATTATCATTTTGATAATTGTGTTTTTTACAACTTAATTCCTCAAGTATCTGTGTGCTGGTTCAGGGTTGAATACCTGTCAAGAAAACAATTTTCTAGCACAAGACAAAACATTCCTTTGTCTCTAAAACATATCTGTAAAGTCGAACCTAACCAATATATGTAATTATGTTATTACTTGTACTAGTAATAAGGTGCTCTGTAAAAATAATTTATTTTGAAAATATCAAGCAAAAGAGAATCTTAAAATATTAGTTGAGTTATGGTTATTTTCCACATTCTGTGCCTATAACACCTACACACATGCTCACACATGTAAGACATATCTACATTTGTTTCTTGTCAATCCATCCAATGAATTTAATGCAATTCCATTTGATTTTTCGCAGCTGTTATGACATTGTAAGTGAGTTTCACAGTACCAAACAAAATTTATAGAAGAGTAGCTCTCTTAATTTTGTTTTGATTGTAGATCATTTGAAGTATTATGCAATTATACAATTTTTATCAATCCTAAAACCTTCATATGGATCAGAAAACTGCATCATATGGCTCAAATCATACCCATATTTAAGTTATGAACTTAAAGGGCTTTGTTTGGTATAGACCTTTCTCAGTTCAATACCATTATGCAACTTGTACTTTTTATTGAAGTAAGTGATCTTGAGGTGGCATTTTTTCCTGAGTTCCTAGTTAACTGCTTTTAAATACAAAATAAAATGATTAATATTTTTCTCAATTGTTTTCAGTCATCTAGTGAAGATGTTGACAGCAAAAGAATAAAAAAGCTTGCAAAAGAGCTTCTAGCTTTAGAGCGAGCTTATGCCCTTCTCCAAGCTCAAGTAAGCAGTGCAGTGGATGTTGAAAGAGATGAGATGGTATGTTCATTTGGTTCAGGTATCACATTTTACACTTTTTTAAGTATGGCTCCTCATTATAATAGAACAATATTAATGTTTCAAAGTCTCTTATTTTTTTGAAAACTTCCCTTTTTTTGCATGATTGTAAAACTTATAAGCTATACTTGGCTTTGAAGCCCTTCTGCAATACTCCATAATCTTAGTAGTGAAGTAAATTTAAAACTCTGTAGCTGTAATTATCATAACCAGACAGATCCCAAAGATATGTTTAACATTATCAATATTTAAGATTTCAAGTATCTCCAACCAAAACAGTGTTCGTTTTTTATACAGGCAAAACAGCAGCTCCAGTCAGACTTGCTTGAAAGTCAAACAAGAATTCATGAACTTGAGAGAATGATAGACAGTGGACAGGTAAAGTACCATGCTTTCTGATTGTGATATGTGTATAATGGAGTGCTGTTGCTCGACCTTAAACACAGTTTTGTGTGAAGACACTAGTGACATGTCCGTTGGAGATCAGGGCCAGGTTGTTTTAAGCTGAAGATAACCCAGTGTTCGTGTGAAATTTGATTTTAAAAAAATTTTTGAGTTCAATTTTTTTGTCAACAATTTGATTTTTGGATGCTCTAAAAAGAATAGAGAAAATTACCCGAAAAAAGACTCTTGAATAGAGAAATAAAGTAACCTGGATTAAAATTTGACCCTGGCTTGGCGCTAATCGGCCTTCGAACAACTGGGCCCACGTTGTTGCAGCACAACAACTTTTTTAACAGGTAGCAGATTACGTTGTATGACAATAATAATGATAGTTATCGTTTTTTATGTAACAGCAAGGCTTTATATAATCAAGGGTAGTAGTTACATAGATTTTGTCATATTCATCTACATTAGAATTTGTTTATAGGGTTCTGGATTACAAGAAATATCCAATCTTCAAGAAGATAACAAGGCTTTGTATCAAAAGGTATCGTTAGTCAACTTTACATCAGTATTTTTGTGGTACCTGGATTTATTTTGTTGTTGTTGATATAAATGTTCTTGACTAGCCGACATCACGCGACATGTACGATCTTTCGACAAATTAAACAATATTTCTATTGAACACATTCCTGACTTAGTTCTTTTGTCCTATGTTATAGCTGGTGGCAGCAGAACAAGCCCGAGATAAGGCACAAAGTGAGCTGGATAAATACTCCGAGGTAATTAAAAGGACGTTAATTACAGCCTCAATTCAGCTCTCGTGTTTGTCTTGAATCTCAGTGTTATTGCATATATATTGTTTTGTTATTTCCAAGACTTAGAATGTGCTAAATACTTTGTGTATATCCAGGACATGCGAGAGTTACAGGATCAAAGAGATCTGCTGGAATTCGAACTGGAAGAAATGTCGCAGTTATCTGTAAGATTTTAAATATGAAGTCTTGTATATTACTAAACTAAGAAGTGCTTCTTAAATGAAACGAGAGTCAGAAAGACCTAAGCTTTGTGCTAGAATTTGCTTGCTAATAGCGATGCTGAATATTTTTTCTTCTCGGGGTGTCATCCTGGTTTTCTGATCATTTCTTAAGTTTAAGAAAACTTGAAAGATAGGAAGCAAATATAAGAAATGCACTCTATTACAAAAAACTTGCCTTGGTTTTGTTTTTACAATGTTTCGGTGGCGATTGACTAAAATTACAGAAAGAAAGAAGAGTTTTGTGGTACGATAAGTGGAGGTTTTTGGGAGGAAACGTCTGTAAAAATGACTGTGCAGGAAGAGAGACTTTAGGTATGATTTACCACTCTAACAACTTTTTAGACTGCAGGGTCAGAGGACTGGGATTCAAGAAAATCCAGAAATGGCCTTGAGTCATTTTCATCGCCAAGAATGCTGGTCAGTCATTTTGGACATCTTCATGTTCATCTAACAGCGTAGTGTTCCCATACTCAGTTACAAAATTTGCATTCAGCTATAAATTTAGAGAGTTTGTTATTGTTTTCTGTCACTTACTGATCTGATTTTCCTTGACGTAGAGTAATGATGCTGCTGTTCTTACGTTGGAGGACATTAAAGCCCTTCTTGAGGAACTGGGATCGGAAAAGGTATATTCGAGCCAAAGAATTACGGTTAGATCGCAGAACGGCTAGATCGCTCCAGCCTAAAGTTAGATCGCTCCACTCGAAAGCTAGATCGCTCCATCAAATAAGTGACTTCGCTCCCAACATAACTTACTTCGCTCCATGTAGAAAACTAAGGTAAAGGTAGCAAAACTAAGGTATCTAAATTGATAGTCCATTAAATGACGTGCATATCTTACCTAACAATCGATTAATATCGCTCGCGCGCGCTTGAAATAAGTCCGAGCTACGCAGAGAGAACAATTAAAGCCTCATGTAAGGGACTCACGAAGTGTAATCTACTTTATTAATTAATGATGGCGGATATCAGTTTCCTGACATCAAACAACAAAAAAGGCCACACTGGACAGCATTGGTATTTGAATGATCTTTTTCAATACACTTCAGACTATAACATCATAATTTATTCCATGATCATTTATTCCATCATTGATATACAAACATACATCGGTAGCTCGGTGGCTAATCTGAAGGACAGAGCGAGGACGATGTACTCGAATTATCGCAAGACACATCATCACCTATAAATTTTTAAGATCATTGGTAAGAAATACCTCACATTTCAACATGGAGCGAAGTGACGTATTTGATGGAGCGATCTAGCTTTCGAGTGGAGCGATCTAACTTTTGGTTAGAGCCATCTAACTGGGAGCGATCTAACCGAATACCGAGCCAAACGTGAGCTGGTATCCATTGTGAATATCGCAACTGCTCGAGACATACATTAGAAGGCAATCAACTATGTATATTTGTTGGCTTTCGTTGCTTAATTTTGTGACACCTTCTTGTAAATAATTGCATCGCAACTTTTCAAACCATACCAAAATTACAACTTTTTGGCCGCATACTAAGTGTAAAAGCTATAGTGAAATTTATCGTGACACTACGAACAGGTTTCATCCAAAAAATTGCACTTAAAGTAACTTCAGTGTGCCAATAGATATTTATTTGTTGGTATGGCCTTCTTTTGCCTGGACTCGTTTATATTTTGGATCAGCACTTTTACTGACTACACGTGCAACTGTACTTGGCTGATGAATTGGATTATTTTTAGGAAGATGTTTTGTCCCCAGTACAAAAAAGTGCTCTTAAACAAGCCAGAATCATGCTGGAATCAATGGATGAGGTATGAATTTTCTCTCGCCTACTCTTTTCCTCTTCCACAAAGGTATCGACGAACTACAAGGCAATAGGAATAACTTGGAAAATTCACTCTTAGCTTTAAGGTGCTCACAATCCTGAATATAAAGCTGCTATAATGCGTGTTTCATCTTCTATGAATTAGAAAATCCATCACATGGAGATTACTGAGATGGCATTGAGAGACAAAGTCCGGGACTTGGACTTGGGTGTAAGTTTATTACGTCTTTTTTTTCTCCATAAAAAATAAGAGTTACAATTGTATCTTTTTTTTCTGCGTCTTGGCAATACATTCGATTTGGTCCGGTTGTTTGGCTTCCTCGCCATTTTCAGTCCAGTTACGAATGTGCAGAATATGTTAACATAAGAAAATTTGAAACAATTTTGGTGCCTTTAAGTTTAGTGTTAGGCTTATGTCTGTGCATCGATTACGAAGCACGAAATTTTATGGTAACAAGAGTCCGCCATCACTTCCGGCAATTCTTCTTTTCGATAAAACCTGGCTCCAGAAACTGCAAAACTCCATGAAAAATTTCCTTTCTGATTTTTGATTTACACACAAAAAAAAACGAAAAATATGATGCCGTTTTTGCCGTTTTTCTCGCCTTTATGAAAACAAGTACCTTTTTTCGGTTGTGGTGGAGTATTTTAAGCATTCCTCTCTGGTGCTGCTGAAGTCAATTTTCTCAAGTTTCTTCCGCTCCTTGATCAGTAAGCTATCATTTTTGACATTTTTTGTGATATATTTAGTACAACAGTGAGTCCTTGAAGTCTGACCTTGATGAAACCAGAAGCCTTTCATTACTCACCTGTGATCGTGAGACACTTGCAGACTTGCAGTGGACTAAGGTGGATAACATTGAACTCTACCAAGAGCAACGAATGGAAGCAATGAAATATCTAAAGCACGCAAGAGTAGTAACAGAAGACACGTGTTGTATGACAGATTTGACCGGGGATGATTTAGTTAGTCTTGAAAGCATAAGCAGGAATTACCCTCACGACTTTCCAGATAGAGGAGAGACAAGTGGAAAGAGTGATAAAGATTGCATGACGGATCTTGCATGGTGGGAGTTAGGAGAAATGGGAGAAACCTATGTTCGTTCATTCGCACATGGAAAATGTAAAGGTGAGGTAGAAACTGTAGATAATGAAACAATGACAGACATAAATTGCCAAGATCTTGAGGAATTAGAAAGTAAGAAACAAGAAACAACGGCAGGTAGATCGAGTCGGGAGGATAGTGACACAATGGCGGAAATAAGTTGGGAAGAACTAGATCAACAGGAAAACGAAAAATCTAATTCTTCTTTACCAAGAGGGGTTAGCGAGAGCAACATGGACATGGGAAGTCATGGACATGAAGTAGGAATTGTTACCGACCTCAGTTTGGCAGAACTTGCCCTCATGGAAATTAAATACTTAGAATGTATCGAAAACCTTCACGAGGTCAAATCAGGTGTAGTTACGGAGAAGGACGAGATGACTGGGTTTTCATCCGTTGAATGGGTGGAAACTTTACCTGAAATTGTGCTGGACACATTTCCAGAAGATCTCGCTTGCACAAAAGATCAGTGCGAGATGACAGAGTTGAAATGCGATGACATAGAAAAGTTGAGTAACAAGTGTATTGACTATAAACATAGTCTTGAAGAACTGGAAAAGAGGATTGCTCTTTTTGACGTTGAGAAAAAAGAGGAGAGTTGTTCCACAGAGTTCACGTGGAATGATATTGATAGCTTACAAGAAAAATGTTACAGTTATAAGTGTATTATCAGTGAACTTGAAGACAAAATCTCCCTTTTTGAAGTCGAAAAGAAAGATAAAAGTAGTTCCACAGAGCTTTCTTTGCAAGATCTCGTAAACGCCAGATTCAGTGTCGATACAAAAGAAGTTGAAACTATAACAGATGAAAAAGATTTTTTGGACAACGAAGATTTACCAGAGATCGTATTCGAGACCTATCCAGAGGCGGAGACTAAAGGTGAGTGTGATACAACTCACGGAGTGTGGGATGAAGTTGTAGACCTTAAGAACACTTACAGAGATTACAGGGAGAACTTGGAAGATATGAAAAACAAACTTGCTCAGTTTCAAGTGGAGAAAGATGACAAAGAGAGCATAACTGATATAGCCATGCAAGATCTTGCTGATCTGGAAAGTTTGTACAAGGAACATTTGCATGATGTGGATTCAGATTCGAATTCCATATTAAGTCATGCTGAAAAAGAGTCGCGGCAATGCATGACAGAACTGACGTTTGTCGAGCTTTCGGAGCTTGAGGATTTTTACATTGAGAATGCTGCTCGTCAGGAGGAAAGTCTACCGATGGTAGAAAAATGGGAGCAAGAGAGCATGACAGACATTACACATGACGTCCTTCAGTACCTTGAGGAAGTAGAAAAGCTTTACAGACAAAAGACGAGAGCTGGTGCAGACGAAGAGGTAAGAAAAGAAGAGAAATACACTGCGACAGATCTGACAGTTTCGATTCTCGACCATTTGTTAGAAGGGGCAAATGGTCTCATGGAGTTCAGTACAGAGAAAATGGACAAGATGACCTCGACAGACGTAACCATTCCCGTCCTCGAGCCTCTACATCAAACTGAAAAACTTCACCAGAAGTATCCCAAAGTAGACAAGTGTGTAGCTACAGAGCTAACTTCTGATGGTATAGAATATTGGGAGCAAGAAGAGAAATTACACAGGGAACGTTTAAATGGTAGGGAAGAAAACAAAACAATCGCTGACATGGGAATCGAGCAGAGATATGATATGGAGATTAGTAGTTTGCGAGGAAAAAGCGAAGAACTTGAGAATGAAAAGAATTCAGTGGAAAGGTTAACTGTGGAGACAATGACATATCTTACCTTCTCGGATCTTAAGTGCTATGAAAACGTTGATGCAGTTAATGATGTGTGCTTTGCTGAGAAGCACAGTGTTGAAACCATGACTGATTTCACTCTGTCGGACCTAAAATACTTGGAGGCTGTGAAAGGGCCAAGAAATGAATGTACTCCTGATAGAAATGCGGAACCACAGGCCAACCGATATGGAGCCAAAAGTGTCCACAGTTTGACTGCTTCGTATCCACAGCTACTGGAAGGTGTTGAAGCCGCTCATAAGGTATGCCTTGTTGATGGGGAGGACAAATTATATTTGAGAATGGGAGACAAAGAAAGTGTGGGAGTAATGACAGATTTAACTGCGTCCGATTTGAAATACTTAAAAGATGTTGAAGCCGCTCATGAGGCATGTCTTGTTCATAAGCAAGAAGAATTAGATGCCAGAATTGTGGACAAAGAAAGCGTGGAAGTAATGACAGACCTAACTGCATCTGATTTGAACTACTTGGAAGATGTTGAAGCAGCGCATGAGGAATGCCTTGCTGATAAGCACGAAGAATTAGACATCAGAACTGTGGACAAAGAAAGCGTTGAAGTAATGACAGACTTGACTTCATCTGATTTGAACTACTTGGAAGATGTTGAAGCTGCTCATGAAGAATGTCTTGCTGATAAACACGAAGAATTAGACGTCAAAATTGTGGAGAAAGAAAGCGTGGAAGTAATGACAGACTTAACTGCATCTGATTTGAACTACTTGGAAGATGTTGAAGCAGCTCATGAGGAATCCCTTGCTGATAAACAGGAAGATTTAGATATCAGAATTGTGGACAAGGAAAGCGTGGAAGTAATGACAGACCTAACTGCATCCGATTTGAACTACTTGGAAGATGTTAAAGCAGCTCAGGAGGAATCCCTTGCTGATAAACACGAAGAATTAGACATCAGAACTGTGGACAAAGAAAGCGTTGAAGTAATGACAGACTTGACTTCATCTGATTTGACCTACTTGGAAGATGTTGAAGCAGCTCATGAGGAATGCCTTGCTGATAAACAGGAAGATTTAGATATCAGAATTGTGGACAAGGAAAGCGTGGAAGTAATGACAGACTTAACTGCGTCCGATTTGAACTACTTGGAAGATGTTAAAGCAGCTCATGAGGAATCCCTTGCTGATAAACACGAAGAATTACACGTCAGAATTGTAGACAAAGAAAGCGTTGAAGTAATGACAGACTTAACTGCATCCGATTTGAACTACTTGGAAGATGTTAAAGCAGCTCAGGAGGAATCCCTTGCTGATAAACACGACGGGCTTGAAGCTGCTACAGTGAAGAAAGAAAACGCAAATATTATGACAGACTTATCGGTTTTGGATCTACAACGTCTGGAGGATGTTGACTCTGCACACATGCAATGCTTGTTTTACATAGACAGAAAAGAACATAGGAGTGACCCTCCGCATACGAAGTTTCAAGTTCGCGGAAAACTGGAATCAGCTCCCACTGAAAACGAGGAAAGTAAAGCACCGAAGCGGAGACGGCGTTCAAGGTCTACCTCAGTGTCTGTTCATATGCAGAATAAGCACACCATGACCGAGTTGACAGCCAACATTCTCGAGTATTTTGAAGATATAGAAGTTCTTTACAAGAAAACGTTGGTGGAATACGACGACTTTAGAAAGTTACATTCTGTGGAGAAGGTTGAGAAGGACTCTATGACAGTTATCACAACTGAAGATTTGAAATATTTGAAAGACGAAAGTAGTATACGTCAAGAAACGGAAGAGAAGGAGGTCATGACTGAACTAGCGATTGACGATTTGGATTATTTAATGGGTGTAGAGAGTTCTTACAATAATCACGAGCTTGATAGAAGATCTGAGGACATGAATAGCGAGAGGAATGCAGAGACCATGACAAGTGTGACTTTGGCCTCCATGGAGTGTATGGAGGACGAGTATGAGATACTACAGCGGGAGCAACCACAGGAAAAAGACCCCTCTTGGGTTAGAATTGAACAAGAAGACAGCTCATCTGAACTACAGTACCTGGAAGAAGTAGAACTTTCTTGCAAAGAGGATTCTTTTGGGGCTGCAGAACTCGCTAGTTCAGAAGATGCAGGGGTAATGACGGACCTCACAACTGCCGATTTGGAATACTTAGAGGAAGCGGAAAATCTTTTGAAAAGTATTAATGACAATGGTAGTGAACTATCAGGAATGCTTGCACCCAAGGAGGACAAAGAAGTCATGACAAAATTGACAAATTCTGATATTGACCACCTTCACACGTTGGGAGAGTTCCATATTGATGGTACAATGGCACTTTCAAGTGATGGTGAAGTCGAGAAAGATGATAAGGGTACAGAAACGGAACTCACAGTAGCAGATATCCGAGATCTCGAAGATCAAGCGGGCAGTGGGTCTGAAAAGAGAGCTACGCCTTCGTTTCATGAATTTGTTCATGACAATTTCCAAGCTGAAACGCTCGTGAATTTGCAATCAGAGTTAGATTATCTACCTGTTTTGGACGAGCCTGAATTTATCATGGACGAGGACGAAGACTTAGATATCGAGGAGAATCAGTGTCGAGATGCTTGTGTCATGACCGAGCTAACATTTTCTGATTTGCAACAGTTTGGGATATATGACACCTGTGATGGTGTTGGTTTAATTCACTCACGTCGAGAACAGACTGATATTGGTATACAATGTACCCTGGAGGATTTAAGTTCGCTTTTGGAGGAGCTTAACAAGGAAGCAGAAGAGAAAGGGGCCGATGTTCCTTCGTGGTTTGTGACAGCCTTAAAGATGAGACAACCAGGAGGTTTGTGTTCTGTTTGTGTACCCATTCAAGTTCATGCATGCAGCTGATTCTACTGACTTTTCATGGAAGGAGCATGGCCCGGTAGCAGGGCAATACTGATCTGCCACAATCAAAGATCAGCATGTTTAAAGTGATCCAACTTATTACGTAAATACCTTTCTAACAAAAATGACATCATTTTCCCACGCATGAATTTACCTTGGTTTTAACGTGCATGTAAATAACTTCCCGGTATGGATGAACGTCGCATAAAATACAATTAACATTCAAGGATACGTCATGGTATTGTTGGACGTCAAGTATTGTAAAGTAGACGTGAAATTGCAAAGTAAACGCCAGGCATTGTTTGATAAAGGATAATTTTGAAATAAGCGTTTGATGTTAACGGTCTGAAAAGTGAATATGAACTCAGTGTGTTAAGCTTAGAGGGGTGTAATTGCCGTAATGGCCACTGATTTTACTTTCAAGTTTAAAAGTTTATTTATAAACGTTGCAGCGATTACGTATTAAAAGCCAGCGGTTACTGATAGTGCTTATGATACTAAGTTCCTTCTAAACCTTGATTTTTGGATATATAACAAGAACTCATGAACATACACAGTAATAGATAACTGTACACATGCTGATCGCTGCTACAGAAATCGAGGTAGTCCAAATATAGAGCTAATCCATTGAATAAATATAGACAACTTTAATTCACTAAATAAATAGTTACATGTGCTGTACATTTATAAAAATACCGTGACTCGCATCCTGGGGCCACGAGTGGTTTAAGCTTTTCTTAGTTAGAGGAAATCATTCATTTAAGCGATATTTCTGTCCTTGCTGCCTGCTTGTGCTTTAAGTAACTTAATCAAAGTACTAAATGCACTTTCAGCGTTTTACTGTCTTAACTTTATTGCACAAGGTAGCTTTTGAATTTTAGGGGTATAAATTTCAAATATCGAAAGCCATAAACACGTTTGTTTAAACCTGTAATGAAAATATTAATACATAACGTATTCTGTCTGGAATGGAATTGTCAAGCTTTTGACAAGAATTTTTTAATCTTGCAAAGCAATCAATTTGTCTCGCTTATTCGCTTTCGAACATTATTTTCCGACAGGTTTCAATCCCATACATCTTGTAGTGGGACAAACTGATGAGATAGATGCAATTCCAGCAGTCGAACTTCCGAACTCAGGAGTGACCCCCGAGCATGTCCCAGAGAGGGCACAAATGTCTAACATCCCCATCGACATGGCACGCGTCTCTGACGGTTTACATGAATGCTTTTCGTCCAACAGTGAAACAAATATACTGCATTCCGGTGCTTCTTTCAAAAACATTGGTGTTCAATGTGATCCTGTGGATGTCGACGCCATGTTGTCAGAGTTTAGAGGAATTCATCCACGTGACGTGGACATGCCATTGTTCGTGTCTGCTATTAACATGGCCCGGCAAGATACAGGTAACCTCTCCATTTCCGAAAAAAAACATAAGAAATGCAAATACATCGAATACCGTTCAAGTTATTTCTCAAAGTTACGCAATACTTTGGACCAAAAAATGATATGGAATGAAAGACAAAGGAGGAATTATGAAGAAGAAATAAAAAACCATCTTTGCACACGATTATATCAGATTGACGTGACAAAATCAAGCGAGAGATTGAGAGATAGAGTCAGAAGTCTCAGACATTTTTACTTACTATTTAACCCTTTAACTCCTAGATCAAATTTGTAATTCTCCTTTCTGTCAACCATACAATTCTTATCATGTCAGTTCAGGGAATTTAGTATTGAATCAACTTATTATCTCCAAATTAATTTTCATCACTTATCTGGTTGATATTGTATTAATATTGTAAGGAGAAATTCTGTCTTGGTCACCCATGGGAGTTAAAGGGTTAAGAATCTTTGATAACTTGACTTGTATTGAAAGTCAGGCCGATCTTATCAAAGGACATAATATGAGTCCCGTTCTAACGACATCTTCTATTTTATATACCAGTTCTCAGTTTCACTTTTTTGCAAATGAGATGTCTTGTCTAAATTGCTTTTTCACTGTAAACCAATTTGTTATACGGAGTTCTCCAATTTTTCTTAGGCTTTAATCCAGTGGAAGTAGTTGTGAAGAATCGCAGTGATTCCAATCCTGTACAAGATGAAGTGGCTACCGAACCTAATAACAGTTTCGCGGTAGAATTCTCCCGACTGCCACCTCCTCCTGAAAAGGCCACTTTCACCATCAGCTCACCGCCACCAGTCCAGTTTGCAGAAGACGAGCAGTCAGAATTTCCCGAAGGTATACAGTGTGTAAATCGCAGACCTTTCCTCTTTAATAACTTTGCGTTAAACTCACAGTGCGTCTAGTGTTATAGCTACAGAGTGCTACGTCTTGATGGGTGAAAAAGCCTTCTTGCTTACAGTCTCCTTCGCAGCTGTTGTTTGATCTCCTCACGCAACGCGCTGTCTCCCCCACCGAACAACGGCTACAAAGGAGACTATTTTATTATTCTATTATTTGCAGAAGGCTCTCCTCTGTCGGGATTTTACTTGGTATATGTCGTCAGTCAAGATGAGGTTTCAACAGGCTGTGTTTTGTGTATTTTACCTCATCAGTGTTTAGTTAGAAATTCCCCAAAAACACCTGTACTCTCAAACGTGTGCAACTACAGGTTTGGCCTCGTTAACTTTTTGTCTCACCAATTTGGGTACAAACGTTGGCAAACGGATACGATATGAAAGCATCATGCAGCAACAATGTTGTTTGTACCTGGTGGTGAAACATGAATGTCATCCTTGAAATCCCAGTGCGTATGGCTATTCAACGTTTTCGTTTGTTGTTTGCTTTCCTTTTTTTGTTGATTTTCGTGCTTGTAAACCAGGCCTATGTGTTTTCCGGTTCTCTTCTACACTGCCTGAGCCGAGCGTATACAATTTTCATAAAAACTGGCAAGACCTGCAAAAGGTGCACTGTTTTTGTGATCATGGGTGGAATCACATCGTAATTATAGGTCAGACTCAGCTCTTCTCGTTTGACCGTCTCTATCTTGCACGTGAGCAAACGTATAGAAATTGCTTATGTTTGAAGGCTTGGATATTTTAATAGCCTTAGTCCTACGGATAATTTTTTTTCTTGGGTGTGATTGTTGCAATATTTTTCCACAGCGGATAACCCTTTGTTATCATCTCAAAATGGAAGTGACAGCGTTTTCAACCAAACAGACGAAGCAATTAATTCCACCCAGGATGGCGAAGGCAGAGACGTGTTGACGGACATGCCTCCTGACAGTAGTGCTGTGAACCGGTTTGACAAGTTTTTGAAGGAAAGAAAGGATTCAGAGTTACTGAATCTGATGGCCATAAGGCAGGGAATAGATGACAGCGATGTAGAGGATACAGGAGACATCAAGGTTGGCTTTTTGATTATTGTTCTCACTGGTATCACATAGTATACAAATATTACTTGATAATCCTTGTTTTCACGGTCGTATTTGTTTGTGAATCAACAGTATCTTTCTTTCAGCGTAGGTTTAGCGATGATTTGTTTTCAGCTGTACGAACAACTGTGACGCTCCTATGATGGAAAAACTTCGATTATGCTCTCACACGAGTCCAATTTTATTCTTGGTACGAACTTAACATGGGAATACTCGCACCGCAATTTCAAAAGTACGTCAGAAGTTTCTTGCAAAATTTAACCATGTACCATTTCCCAAATATGCTCCCGTAAATTTACGCCGAAAAACCTGGGTTGTGAGGGAAAATGGCGTCAAAGACCATAAAGTTATATTTTGAAGTTGTGAAACAAAGCAAAAAATCTCATTCTACATACCAGTTAGCTAGAATCTCTCGATTTTGCTTTCTGGACGCGACTTATGTGGAATACTCTGATAATTAATGGTGGACAGTTTAAACAAGGAATAATTGTTAAATATGTCAGATTTGTTTTCGAAAATGGGGTTCAATAATTGGCAAGTTGCTTTTTCACCAAAAATATTGGATTTGCTTGAGAACAAGAGGAACACTTTTATTTTTAATGAAATACTTTGGAGTAAATTTCTTCAACAGAGAACCCTTATAACCATTATAGCTGAATCATCACAAGTAAGCTCTCGGTCCCGATGGTTGGGTCAATCCTGATCTATGGAGTGTTGATTTGAAACAGTGGGAAATCCTTTATGACATGTTGGAATCCACTGCTTTTTTCTTGTTGCAATAGTTTGACATTTGTAGATGTGTTTAAATTTGCAGAGCTTAAAAGAACTAGAAGAAGAAAACGAACTTCTCAGAAAACATCTGTTAATTTTGGAAAGCGGAAAGGTGAGTCAGTCAATCAAATAGTTATTCATTCGTTTATTCGTTCATTCCATTTGTTTGTTCGTTCGTTTATTTTTTTCTGTTCATTCATTCAATTTTTTTGTACATTATCCATTCATTTATTCTTTCAGTCAGTCAGTGTTTCCGTTCTGTTGGTCGGTTCGTCAGTAAGTCAGTCAGCCCTGACAATTAATCTGTCACTTGTTTGGTCCGTTTGTCATTCTGCAGTTTGATAGGTATTCAGAAAGTCAGTTAATTTGGTAGTCAGTCGGTTTATTGATCAATGTATAACCACTGTAACGAAATGTTTTCATACATGGACCTGAGATGCCTATTTAGGGAGGTAAATGAAGGCATCATTTAAAAACATTGCTCCAACAGGGTACTGAAGACCTCGAGGAAGAAAACAGGAATCTCTGGGAGAAACTGAAAGAGGTACAGGAATCAACTTTAGGTCACACTTTTACGCGTTCAGTTACTCTGCCAGTCATTAAATGGTCTATAGAATGTCTTGATTATTTCTCTATTGAAAATATTAGGTTTGCCACTCAACGACATACATGAATAACACGAGTATGAGAAAAACACATGCCTCTAAACCAACTAAAACTTTGAGCGTGGTATAGTTGGTTAAAAAGGAAACCAACTTTGTTGTTAGTTAATCTTATCTTTAACAGTTTACATTGCTTATCGTATCAAGGTCTGACAGATCTTGGGACTGTTCTTTGTTGTTTGGTTTGACTCTTATGGTAAAAATTTATTATGTTGCAGAAGACAGAGGAACTTGAAAAAAAGAGCGCCCATTTGAGGGAGAAAGTCCAGGTAAGTACACAGAAAGTAACCTTGAGGTTATTTCTTAAATCAACTAGTAGTTGTGCTCCGTCTTTCTTGAGAAAACCTGAATGTGACGACAACTTGCGCCTCCAGTTGGTAATATACTTGGAGAAATAGACCTCGTTAGTCAAAGAAGCATTTCTAAACAATTTTTTTTAATTTCCAAGGCATTTCTTATTTTTCTCATCGTCTTCAATTGTCTTTATCTCAACAGTAGTGACATGATAATTATAATAAGAATGACAGTAATGATGATAAACATGTTGACGATAATGGTGGTGATGATTACGATGAAAGTAGTATTTTGATAAAGACAAAGATCTTAATGATAATATTAATTGTTGATTAAAGCGATAACAATCATCTGTATGTACTAAATCAGTGGATAGCCTCGTAAGCGAGCTCTGGTTGGCTTCTCAAATGTCGACTATTCTTTTCTTTTCACCCCTGAGCAACTCGCGCGGGATTTGCGCCCGAAAATTGCGCCCGAATATATTGTAATAGTTGTAGGAATAAATGAGTTAAGATCATCTTTTGTCTAATATTATCTCACTGGTTAATTATATACTAAAACAACTATTCACCTCAGTGTCGTTGGCTAGCACCTCTACTTCGGCGTTGACTATCATCGACATCACGATCTTAATAATAATAACGGCATTGATAGACATTTATAATTTATTACCTGCTTTTGTTTATTTTGTCGTAGTCCTTGGAAGATAGAGAAGAGGAAAATGCATTGATCAAAGAGAAAATGAAAATTCTTGAGGAATTAGCAGTGAGTATGCTTGGGGCAAGATGTCATGGTTACGTTCACATATGAAGCTAATTGATGCTGTCTCTTTCACCGTTAGGATGTGAAGGATGTAGAGAAGGAGAACGACAAACTCAGGGAACAAGTCAAAGCTCTTGAAGAAGCTTCCATGGTAACATTTTATTTCAAACTCTCATTATGAATATTTCTTGTTCACTTGGAGTCGATAACGTTAAGTGGTCCCTAGTTAATTTTAGAATTGCTTAGATTTCAGATGCAGAGATAAAGAACACCAAAGAAGAAAATGAAGAGCTAAGGGAAAAGATGAAAACTCTTGAACAAACTATGGTAAGAAAAGAGCTTCAATTTTGGTCTTGTGTTAACACGTATGTCGCCAGGACACAATCCATTATTTAGGATTCCTGGAAAAGAGGCTTCCACTTAATTTTTCAAACTTTTCAGTTTTGAAGATCCACATGTAGACTATTATACACATAACATCGAGACATTAGACGTAAGACACCAGACAATGAGAGAATTGCTGTCGACCAATCTGTTGTTAGGGTCAGTTGTCTGAATCTTCGGCAAAAATAAGATGTAGTTATCCTGACCGTCAGTGGAATGTAGAAGTAAATATTTTAATCATAGAAATTTGCCCTTTGATATTTTTCCAGGATACTGAAGAGCTTCAAAGGGAGAATGATTACCTAAAGCAACAAGTAGAAATGCTATCAGCTGAACCCGAGGTGAAAGAGCGATCTTTCTATGCTTTCTTGGCTTGTAGATATAGTCGAGTGAGGAAATCGAGGCGATCTGGGGTGGAAAAAATAACTAGAGTTCTTCAATACTGAGTTTGTGAATGTAATGCAGCAGCCTGTCTGTTTCCACTTACTTACCTTTAATTTGTTTCAGAGAGTAAAAGAACTTGAGGGGGAGAACGAAACTCTCAACGAAAAAATCGAGGCTCTCAAGGCATCCGTAGTAAGTGATATCTGATATTGCAGATTATCAAGGACTGGTTTCCCAACAGTTCGCGACCTATACGTCCGACGTGTCATGGCGACTTGACAGTCGCCTTGTGTGTCCATAGGAGTGGCAGTGAAGAAGTTGAATGTCCGTGTGACTCGCTTGCACTCTTTGAATTGACCATCTTTCATGTTTTTAGGATGATGTGGTCTGTGAAAACACATTGTTAAAAGAGCAGATCGAGGACCTGGAACAAAATGATGTATGCAATTTTTTATTTTTAGTGTAATTGTTCATGTTATGGATAAGCAAGGTAGGAACCCTTTTTCAGTGGGGCAAAAAAATTGTTTTAATAACGAGTCATTCTATGAACTGGTTGGTTTGTCTGGGTACATAACGATTCGTAGATTTCTGCAAAGGCAGTAAGTGCACGATACTCTTAGATTGATTACTAATTATTTACACTTCATACAAAAACATTATGAAGTTGAGAAGTAAAAAGAGCCGTTTTCTTTTTCGACAAAAGTCTTATTGTTATCAACCTTTTCTGTTTCAGAAACTACATAAGCTGAAAGATGAAAACAAAATGCTCAAGGATAAATTACAGTTCTTGGAAGATGCTTCAGTCAGTATCATAGTTTGATGTCGGCTACAGTTCACACACTGAAAGAAAAAAACAGTTTGAATAACAACAGAAAAATTAAAGTCCAAGTAATAAAGACTAACACAGTTTTCTTTGCTGCTTAATCTCTTCATCGCTGCAGCTGTGGCTCACGAACAGAAAAATAATTTCTACCTCCTGTCGCTTTTTGACTTTCGACTTTTGTTAATTTCAGAATATTGCATATGTTCGAAGTAAAGATGCTGCTTTGAAAGGGCAGTTCGAAGTAACGGAGGAAATTGGAAAGAGAGAGAAAAAGAAGAAAATTATTTAAATGAGGAGCTCTCAGAAAAAGTACAGATGTTGGAAGAGTCTCTGGTCATTGTAAATGAGTTTCCAGCTTCATAAAATTCCTTGAAGCGAATTGTCCCTGCGTCTCTCGAGCATAAATACAGTAAATGCATTCTTATTTATTCTCAGACTTCAGAACGACTGGAAAACGAGCAACTCATGGACAAGATACAGGATCTGGAACATTCTACGGGGAGGGTAAGTACAGGTGGGGAACGCTTCACTAGTGAGGTGGGGTTATTAGAGAAGAAAACTGGTGCTTTCAGGAGAGTTTTGAAGGGATGGTGACTAGAATATGACACACAAAATTCTATTGTTATCCCGACTGTGGCTAGGAGCCAACTGATAATTAAGTTTATAACGATCTTTTTGTGGTTTATGTCGACGTTGTTGCGATATCGCTAATTGAGAGTGGAAAATTGTCACGGAGAGTTCGTATCCGCTGTGACAAGATTTAAGTAATTAAGTAAAGTGTCGTCAAGTTACAAAAGTGTCGAGTGTGCTACATTGACTGTGATATTGCTTTGATCTTTCAGGTTGTTGAAAGACTCGAAGAGGAAAATTCAGTGTTAAAAGAAAATATCAAAATTCTGGAAGACACGACTTCTGTGAGTCACGGGAACTTTCTTATAGTTTTCTTTTGAGTATATCCTCAGATTTCCGAGTTCGTAACCAGATCGTCAAATATGGCTGCTTTACTGACTTAACTAATTCACCCCAACAGAATAATTCTTTTCAACCTTGATGTTGGTTTTGCGCACATTTCTTAGTTCATAGTAAGTTTTTCTCTCAGATATCGATGATTTTTTATTTCCTTTCCAAGAACATGAAAACACTTGAAGACGAAAACATATTGCTGAGAGAAAGGATTGAAAGCCTGTACAGTACAAAGGTGTGTTAGTTTGAGTTGCAACCGATCTTCATGTCGGTCTGTTATCTCTATATATGTGGTTGCAGATCTTTTCTACCTCATGTCCTCCATCAACCCTTTTCAAAAGAGGAGACAATCCATTGAAGAGTTAAGCGAGAACTGAGTTCTTCTGAATATTTGTGTTGGTTACCGAATGTTTTTTATCAGATTCAAATGTGAAGTTACCTCTCTTCCAATTTTACTCGGAACAGGGGCCTAATGTAATTTTTATTTAGACCAAATTTTAATGGGACAGTATTCTGATGGGAGATATATAATTTGATTTTAAAAAAAAACTTGTCAAGATACTTTTAATGGAAATTGACTTAAGACGAATGTCAGGGGTACAATTTCAAAACATCTCGTACGAAATAACTTCTAGTAGATTTAGTAGAACTAATAAGCGTTATTGAAGTGAAGTTTGGGTAAAATAATGGAGAGGTTATTGCAAACCCTATCACTTTCAGCCGTTTACATTGGCCTTGCATTTTTCTTGTAAAACTCGGTCATCTGCAAAGAGGAATTCTGATATAAAATATAGCTGGTAGAAGCTTAAGAAAACTATACCCAGCCACCTTAAGAATAAGAAGAGGGGTTGGGGGACAAAATCAATGAACAACACTTAGTTTTTGACATTTGGTTCTTTTTAATGTATTATCCTTTTGTTTTCATTTTGTAGGCTAAGGGCTTGTCTGAGGAGGAATTCGAGACTCTTCAGAAAAAGATAGAACAGCTGAAGGAAGCAGATAAGGTAAAATCACGCGATACTTTGATAATGAATTGTTTTCAATTAAAATTCGTGGTGCTTTCAGTTGAAGCTCTTCAATCACATAGCTTTGATATTTAGCGGTTAACATTTTGGTGAATGTTCATTTCTTCTTTTTACTTTAAGCCTGCTTATGTCATGTTGAGCTGCAAAGTATGTCGAAACCTTTAATTTTTTTCACGAACATTTCGGCTTACGGTAGATATATGCTCTCTTGCATGGAAACAGCAGAATACCATTAGTCATTATGAGCCCGGCGCATCCACCTCACCTTTCTAGTGATTAAATCATGTTAAAGTTAACCCTTTAACTCTCAGGAATGACCAAGACAGAATTTCTCCTTACAATATCTGTACATTATCAAGCAGACAAGAGATGAGAATAAACAAAAATGTAAACTAGGGGATTACTAGTTAATCCAATACCAAATTCTTTGAATTACCATTATAGGAATTGGAATGGCAGACTGTAAGGACAATTGCTGATGCGATGTCGGAAGTTAAAGGGTTAACATGTTCTTTAGAGATTGGATAAAATCTCTTTCAGCAAAGAAAGTTTGCAAACTCGTGGAGCCTCAGCAGTTGAAACAATGAAAGTTCTAACGAGACACAAGATCCAGACTAATTAAATCTGAGGCAGTGTTTAGTCTAACTCACCTTCATTTTTCTTTTCGTAAAGCACAATTTGTTTGTATTTAATGATATCTAACAGTGACTGAAGTCGATTTTTAATTTTGTCATTTTACTTAGACAATTGCAGCGCTGAACGAATCCAATACAGCATTGAAAGCAAGAATAGATATTTTGCAGTCGGAGAAGGTAGGGTTTGCAATCTGATTGTATTTCAAGTAAGACTAAATGAAGCACAAATAACAATATTACACACTTTTCCTGGTGTTACAGGGCCGAATCACAGAAACATTTAACCTTTGCAGTATTTGTAGAGTTTTAGAAAGAGATAGAGCTGGGATACTTTTGATGTGGAACAGAATCTGCATTTTTAAGACATCGCACATAGAAACCACCCTCGCGTTCTTTTCACCAGCCAAAGAACAGATATGTTATATGTAGAAACACTTTTAATCTTTCCATTCTGCAAAGCCTGTTCTTTTTTCTACTTTCTCTATTTTGTTTTGTAGAAAAACGACCGAGACGTTTCTTCAGATATGGATCCCTCTGAACAACTAGGAAAGGTGTGGTCCAGAGTAAATTTCTTTCAAACCAAGTTCTGAAGGTAATTTAGTGTTAACAACTGGGTTGAAAACGTAAATTAGCCACCGTAAGGGGTAAAAAAGCTGACGTTTCGAGCGTTAGCCCTTCGTCAATCGCTCTGACGAAGGGCTAACGCTCGAAACGTCAGCTTTTTTACCCTTTACGGTGGCTAATTTACGTTTTCAACCCAGTTGTTAACGCTAAATTACCTGCTATACTCTCCCACCGACGCAGCACCACAGTTTCTTTAGAAACTTACCCCTTTATTCAAGTTCTGGAGGGATGAATACAAACTTGTGGCAGTCAAGTATTTTGCCCTTTCATTTGATCCCTTTTTGAGGACCTGTCCGCCATATTGAAGTTTCCATCCAACAACGATGCTTTCTAAACATTTTTGTAACTTACAAGTGTTGAGTGTAAGCGTAGTACTTTTATTATAAATTTTGTGCCAAAGATAAAGACATTTTGTGCTAAAGATAAAAAAATAAACAACCGAAAGGTAACAAGACCTCAGTACTTAAACTTAAATCGATGAAAATCAACTGTTTGTAAAACTAAGAAAAATAATTTTGTCTAGGTTCGACTGCTATTAGTGCAGGATTTTGGTTTAACTTCATCAGAGGTGGAAAGTGTTCTTGGGTCATGTGACCTTGAAAGTCACGTGTCGTCGGGAATGGCTACCCCGCGTGATGAATTGAACAATCTGGGTCATTATTTTGAACAGGTAATGTGTTAGTAATGTTTGGCTGCCAGGTGCCATTGATAAAAAGAACATCAAAGTAAACTTTAATACATATAGGGGTTAACAAAAAACTTTAAAAATTTATCTGAAGAATTCAGCTAGTGATCGCTGTCACTACAGAACTAGCAGTAAAGACAATATTTAAACTAAAGATACTAAAGAATAACTCAGACATCATTTTCTTGTAAAATTTCTAAATTTCAGTCATGCTCGCACTACTCTTATCTCACCAGTGTTGCTGCGCCCTCATTACACGCTCATGGTTATGGAAACGTCTGTTCTTTGATACTTATATTGAACACTAACGCTCCGCTGTGGCCATACCTATGTCGTCCTTTGAACCATCGTTTAGTCTTCGCCCTCTTCTCAGCATTAAGTAATTTCGTTATTATGCAATGTGTAGGCCTTGCGAGACGATCATATAATGGCTATCAAAGAATTAAGAAATTATTCAGGAAGTGACTAAAATAAGACAACCGTAAAGTAATGCCGCTATACCTTGCTTTAAAAGGCTGACGGACCACAGCAATCAGATGTTGGTGACACACCGTGCTCAGTGATCAAACCCATACAGCATATAACACGCATTCCAGGGGGAATTAATGAAGTCAACTCACCCATACCAGAGAACATAGCAAAAGTAAATCATAATTTGTTAACTGTCGATAGATAAAGATTCCTGTTCTGCTTGAAGAGATAAGTTATCCTAAACGTCATAAAATGTTGCATAATGTACGAAACTACAGTAATAAAGCCATATTACTCACCTGCAGTACAAGGACGATCCTTTAACATGAACTTTTGTATCCTGGAATAAGGTTAATCTTGCTCGAGAACTTGAACATAATTTGCCCTTAAACAAGGCATGTGTCATTTGATTTAAAATGTAACGAATTTCAATAACGTCTTTGCAATGCGTCTGCGTTAGTCGGTGCTATCCTGTGATTGTTTACTATTACGGGGCTTTTAACCTGACTTTGATGAAGTCAGGTTACTGAAGTATTAACATTATCAGTTCACTGAAGTATTGACAGGACCAGCTTCATCTGGTCTTTGATGGCCTGCTTTCTTTAGATATTGACCACATGCAGCAAAACTGTGGCATTTAATGCACCTAAAGAGTAACAATTTTGTAATCGTCTTCGTTCATGACACTTTTCAGGAGCTTGAAAATTTGAAACAAGAAAACAGAAGACTTTGCGAAGAACTGAAAGAACTAAGGAGAACAGTTCAGGTAGGAGTTTTGAATGTTCTAATATTCCCCCATCCCCCCCTCCCAATGTAATACAGGTAATTATGAAATGCCAACATTTCCCCTGCCGTTGCTTTTACGCACCCTCGCATCAACCATTGGCTGTAATGTGAGTGTTTGGGCCTGTAGACCAAATATCTGCTCTACCTGTAGCGTCTAAAAAAACGTTTGCGCTCCAGTTTCTCAGTTTCTCTGCGCGCGTTAAGCACTCCTATGTATGTGCTCAGTTCACAAGTCAGGATAATAATTCCCCATGATAACTGCTATCAATATTTTTATGAGCTACTAGTTTTTTTGTTATTACATTGTTGTAAATACTTCGAGAAAAAAAAGACTTTTTGTGACGACGGTTCTTCCGTGAGCTTTTGTGAAATTCTCTGAGTTAGTGAAACTAGAAACTAGCGAAAAAGTAGGCGTGCGTGAAATGGTGTTGCTCACCCGATCACAAGCCTTAGCGAAAGACTGGAACTGACCTGGAACGCTCTCGTCTTGCTGCTTTGGTTGCACCTGAAGTGTGTTTTATAAGCTGTCTCTGATTTAATAGTTAAAGATCGATCCCACAAACAGAGCATTTCAAGACCGCTGATAAATAGGCTTATTCACGTGCGGCAATGGAATGTCTCATAAATTTTCGTCTACATTCGTCGTCAAAGTCTAATAATAACTATCCCACGTAACGGACGGTTTTCTTGCACTTGGTGAATATGAGGGTAGCGGATCCCATTCTTCCAGCGGCTTCATCGCTTATTTTAGCCGCTCCGATTCCCAAAAATCTGACAAAACAGTCAGCCACACAGGATAGGTAATAACATCCATGTTTGTACATTTTCAGAAGTATTCCTTTCAATTCCCAAACTGTTTTTGTTCGATGATTACACCCGCAGTGGTATTATTCATTGTCCAGAACGACCTCCCATCAGTTGTGTACACATGTATTTCCTTCCGCTATAGCTGTTTTAAAACTTGGACAATAGTCTTCGTTATGATTAAAATTGTCTTTGTTTACTGATATTCATAACAGCGAATAAATTTGCCCTGCATAATTTAGTTCTGGATGATTATGCTAATGTTCGAGCCACAAACTAGCGTTGCAAGCGACCGAACATTTCATAAAATTTCACAGCGGAAACAACATAGTAGGTTTGGTATTCTTCCTAATTTAGTTTCTTTTCTTTTGTTCAGTTCTTGTTATTTTTACGACCCACTGATATTTCTTTAACTTGGTGATTTCATATAATTCAAAAGTCAAGGGATTGATCTGCAGCTAACAAAGGTCTTCAGCATGTTTACGTGCAACCTTAACATCAAAATGCAAAGTTTTCTCAGAAAGGTTTCCTACTTTGTAGTGGTATTCTGTTGGATGTTGCTTTCTTCCCTATCTTGTTCTGTTTATTCTGAAATCACATACTCATGAAGAATGAAGATGAGCGATCACCGTTCTTATATGACATAAACACAAGTATATTTGAACAGAACACCCAAGCCAAACAAACGCTGAGTTCATTTTACATTCAACTTCATGTAGGCTGGTTATTGTTTAGAAGCAGTTATAAAAAGCAATACTCTGTAAAGCCGATCCTAGAACCATGAGAAAGGATATCTCTGCATGAGAACTTCGCAAACACTTGAATGCTCTGTGAACAAAGCTCATACAAGTTATAGAATGTCTAACGTATTAAATGAGCAATTTTACCAGACTGTACCTGCAATGCAAGGAGTAGTATAGCTCCTTATTGTATGATAATTCGAGAAGTTTCCTATATGTCGTTATCTAAAATGTTGGTGCCCGTTTTCTTTAAAAAAAAAAACCGGGTCGAACGGCTCATTCGTTTTCTATTATTACAATTTCTTGAACAAATCTGTTAAAATATGGAAATGCAAAAAGGTGACAGAAGACGTTCGCGCTCTATAATGTAACACTGGATATATTTACCTGGTACTGATCTTCATTATAAAGTTTTACAACACTGGCTTGGGTTAGATACCGTAAAGAATTCTTATTACATTAACTATATAGAATTCGGTTTGCCTTAAGACTGACCCAAACTAGCCCTTCTACCGACTGAAAACTTGAGGACACCGAGAAAAAGTCACGTCCAGTATGACGGAGTACTGGTATATCATTAAAAAACAACCAAAATTCGTGATTTGAGGGAAAGTATCAACTTGGGTTAGCTGTAGGGCCATTGCCGGATCATTTTTCACTTTTTGGTAATCTTCTGTTGGGACCCGAGTGATTTAAATTTCTTTTTTTTTCCATATTAATGGAGGCCTATAAGCTAATCTCTAGTTGCACTTGATTTTTTTTTAATAACCATGCTTTTTATTATGTTTTCGTTTTCTGGCTTTTTGTTGGTTTATTTGTTTGATTTATTGGTTTTTTTTTAGTTTGTTTTTCGTTCATAACCTACCACCGATCCATCACACTGGACATTTTAATTTTTTTTCACCATAAAGCCCATGTCCACAGAATTTTGGGCATATGAAATACTAACTGGGGTCAACCTAGAAGCAAACCTTGTGCTAGTGCAGACTCTCTACCCAGGTTGCTTTAAAGAATTCATTTTTGTTGTGTTTCTGCTGATTAAACCGGAGCTGCGAATCAAACTGAGTACGTTGGTAAATGTTGTCCCCTTCCCTGCAAAAACTTATTTAAAGGCCACTATACGCAAGTTTTGCACTCTGTTAGGAGATAAAATATGCTCGGATATTTTCCTCGACCATTATCTGTTCCTCGAAGCCCTCAGTTTTCCTCGGGCTTGCTCTTACCGGAATAACTAATCACTCAACAGACCAAGTTCGGGGACAAACATCCTATGATATTTTTGTGCCACTGTTCATGTGAGATACCATAAAAATTGTTAAACAACAAAGGGATATTAGGGATTGTAATGAAGAAAGTGGGCACCTATGACTTAATTGCAGTATTTGATACAGTTCTCCCTTCTGTTCCCAGGACAGGCAAAACACTGAGAGATTAAACGAGGAAACACAGACCGATTGTGTGGAGTCCTCTGAGGACATAGCAGCCAGGAGTCTCAAAAACTCTCAATACGTGCTTAGTTCGATACCAGGCGATATCGAGGAGACCATTGCACCTCAGGTCCGCTCAACTGTTGCCACTGAAATACGCTACCTTGGCGACAGTCGTTTGGAGTTTGAGCCATCAACTCAAAGTCGTTACAAGAAAGGTGCAGTTTTCAGTGGGAAAGATGATCCAATGGACTATTCAGCGCTAATAAGAGACTTTGAAAATACAATGCCCAGTCATAACGAAAGTTCTGTCGACTCTGATGACCTCATTTCTGAACCAGAGCTTATGGTTTCCCAAAGGAATCTGGACACCCAAATGGATATTATCGACCAACGTATTCAAGATCTTCGTTATATGGAAGGGAAAGATTCAGTTCCTCTAGAGGAAGGTAGTAGAGACAGACCAGAATTAGGTGATCTTGTCACCTTTGGTTCGGACGATGAGGGAGATCTCCCTCCCCTCCCTGAATCCTCTCCACCACCCCTCCCGTCTGAACCACCACCAGATTTCACGGAGTCTCCGCCTCCCGTCCTTCATGGACTGGAAGTGTTGTTGAATAGTGACTCTTCTCCACCTAGAGATGCAGCTACTCTCCGGGCTTCATCTCGACAGCGCCTTCACTCAGAAAATAAACCCACCTCTGAGGTGTCGCAATCTTCTTCCCGAATGGAATCTCCTTTGCTTGTGGAGGAAACTACGTTGGTCCTTGAATCAGACCCTAGCGAGCTGGGTGGAATCTATCCGATCGAGGAGCCTACGTCGTTAACCGACTCATCTGACAGGCGGCCCACAAGTTTAGGATCTATAAAACCTGATGACCCTAAAACCAAGGCTCCTCTTCGGGTACTTCCAGGACCAAGAAGACTCCTTTTGCCGAAGCGTGAACTAGGACCATTAAACCAACCAGTGGTCTCATATGCAAATTCAAATGTGACTTCGTCGATGCAGCCCCAGAGGTTACGTGATGAGGAGGATGGAATCATTCCTCCTCGGGGATTTGTACTTAACCGGGCCGCTTTGATCAATAGTGGTGAAATAGACGCGCTTAACGAGAAGATTGGGTTCTTGGAGAGGCAGCTTAAAGTAAGGAAGCGCCCAATTTTTTTTTAAGAGTTAAATGGAAAAAAAACTTTTTAATTACTACTGTACTCACTGTCAGTCAGTCAAATTCTTTTTGGCAATTTACGTCTCAACAGACCAGCATTAGCCTCAGCTATACCGCGGCAACTGATAATGGTTTTGTAATAGAAGTATTCAGCCTTTAAGCATTTTAGGTATGTCGAAGAGCTGGAGTTTATCAGAGCGCGAGACTGGCCACTCAAAATTCATTTCCTCCTAGGGAGTTTTTTACCTGAATCCTCCTTGAATGTGAAACAAGTAAAATTAGTTTAACTGGTATGCGATAAGCATTATAGAGCTTGACTAAAGATAGCTAATTTAAGTCGACTAATTTTTTTCAATGCATTTATTTTGAAATCTCTGTTTTTTTTCCCATATGATTTCAGACAAAACTGAATTCCACTTAGTTTAATTACTATCGTACGGTATTTTTCTTGTTCCTTTATCATGGATTATTTTACATACGATTCCGTTCTGTTTACCACTTTCAGAACAAAGAAAATGTTATACGTTCCTTGAAGGTACGTTTCATGTTTTAGAACTCCGTCTTCAAACTTAATAAGACTAATACTTTTGCATATACGCTGAGCTTGGCACTTCAGCCAGGCTTTCTTTACCACCGTATTCAGTATTGCATGGGATCTTTAGTGCATGTTAAGAAAATTGTTGTGTAAACTCGCTTTTTCTTGTGCATTCGGTCACCTAATGGAAACAATTGCTTTCTAAACAGACCGAAGCAACTGAACGGGAGACTCAGTCTCTGGTAAGTACCTTTGTTTAACCCAGCACGATCTTTATTTTACCTCAAAATGTTTCAGCTTGTGCATGAAATGGATTTTTTCTTTAAATTATCATTCTTTTCTTCTTCCGTTTCACTTTTGCAGCTTGAACGAAAAGATCGTGAACTGAGAATCTTGGTATGTGGTAACCGTTTTTGTAATCATGTATTTTTATCAGTAAGTTGGATGAATAGAGGGTAATCACACCCTTGCTCTATCTTTGGTAAAGGACAAAAAGGCGAACTTTTCCATGTCAAAAGATGGTACAGATCAGGGACTTTTCACCGAAACCGGAGCTCTGTATCATCGTTCAGATCATACACGCGTAATCCAGGATGGCAATTTAACCTGGGTTTTGATTTCTCTTGTTTAAAAGCATGAATTAGATTTAACTTTTGGGATGTTAATAATATTAAAACTGAAGGAAAAAATAAAAAGCTATAAAAATTGTTATAAAAGTAATTAAAAGAAGAATTTATGTTAAATATCACAAAAATAGAATTGAGATTTTTTAACTGACTTGCATAGAAAGAGAACCTTCAACAGCCCTGTTTGTTAAACTAATAGATACAAAAACTCTTTTACTATAAGCGATTTTTTTTAGGAAGCTGGCGTGGTTGGCCAAGATGCTCTTCCTCACGATCTTATCATTATGTTTAATAAGCGTAGTGCAGAATAATATAATAGGTGATGACATGTTTCTATGTATGTATACTTGTGTTACGCTGAACATATCATGTAATTCAATCAACTTGACTGCCAGGCGTTTTCTTCAAGAAACAATTTAATTCTCTTGCACTCCTGTTTTAGGATGAAGATGTGGTATTTTTGAAAGAAGAGGTAAATAACAATGAAGTAGAATGCTTAATAAGATGGTTTAGCTCTGTCATCTTAAAATGGTGACCATTTGTCTGTCAATTTGACATTTGATCTTCCTTAAAAATTCGTTCGACAATAATATCTACTTTAAATGTTTCTCCGACAGAATCAAAAGAAAGAAAAAGAACTTCTTACGAAGGTGAGATCGAATGTTAATATTTTTACTTTTATTGCTTATCTTTGTTTTCCCGCTGTATCTTTCGAAGTTTTTTAACTTAGCATCCTCTGTTTGTTTTTAAAACGCTACTTAAAGAGTCGTGGTTTTGCTTGTATCTTTTTTAATTGCTTTTTTCTTTTCGTTAATTTTTTTAGATTGGAGAAATAAATAAAAAGAACTACGAGGTGAGGGACATTTATTTTTTTGTTTGAATAAAATTACTTTATTTATATGTGTTCTCCAAATTTCGTGCACTTTCGCTCTACTTCAGGACTGATTATTTTATTATTGCGAGTAGGGAAAGTGTTAGAGGAATTTTTATTGAGTATTTCCATAGCAATTTCTATGTGTATCGTCATGCATGTTATAATTCACGATACTTACCTTGTAGATTGAACAATGGAAAGCGGAAGCCAGCAATTCAGAGAGACAGAGACAAAGAATGGAAGCAGCTTACATGAATTTACAGGTTCAGTTTCTTAACTGCCATAACACGCGTGATTTAGAAAACAGAAACACCAGCGACTTTTGCGCCTAATTTTGGATTGTTCTTTCCTTTTCAAAGAACCAGCTTAAAAGTACACATGGTGCGGAAAAAGAACTGGCCGAGTTGCAAACCAAATACAGTGGAATGGAAAAACAGAACTTTGAGCTAAGTGAAAAGGTAACAATCTTGTTCATCTTGCGAATGTTCCAATAATCTAAATAGTCATGTTTCTTGTCACTTGACCTCACTTAGTTTCCGATTATGGATTAGTTTCATTTTTTCTTTTTTTTTTTTTTGCGACATTCTTTGCAGGTGAAGAAGTTGGAAAAAAGTGAGAAAGAATTTAAGAAACTGGAACATAGCATTCAAATACTAGAGGTATGTATAAAATTTCTTTAAAAGTGTCCATCGATCAACTGTTTTGTTTTTCTTGTAGCCTTTATGTCGTGTAGCCACTCCATGCGTAATTTGTTATCTGGTTTTCAGGCTCAGTTACAAGAAATGGACGTCCTGGAACAAGATCGAAACAGCTTGATCGAAAAAATGAAAGCGGTTGAGAATCAACGAGATGACCTGCTCAGAAAAGGAAGGATGGTAGAAACAGAGAGAAACGATTTCCTACGTAACAACAAGCTTATGGAGATGCAAAGAGATGAGTTGAAGAGCAGATGCTCCGTGTTACAAAAGACAAATAGCACCTTAAACACCAGGGTGAGCTATGAACTCTCCTCCTCTCACAAGCTGTTTTTCGCTGCAAAAAATAGTGTTAATTAATATCTCATTTGTTCTTGTGATCATGTGACTAACATTGTTAGATGTTTTTCCGCAATGAAGTCATTCACTCGGTGTCTTTTTTTGTGTTGGAAATGCAGAAAACGTAATAACGTTTAAGCTCGGAGTCATTTTAAGTAACAAACGTTATTATTTGATGGTGCCTTTCTTTGATTGTCGTACTGACAAGAGTCTCAAGCGAAACATTGTCTTTCAGTTTTAGCAGACCATTTCGGAATGTGGTCATCCCATGGAATTTTGAAGTTGGAATGAGAGCATTACCAATTTATCACTCTTCTTTTTTTTCTTTTCTTAGCTGGCACAACTGGAACATGACGTAAGAGAAGCCCAAACAAAAATGCACGATAGTCAACACGAAAGAAACTTCCTCAAAGTACAACTAGAAAAAATGGAGGCTGAAAGAAATGAAATGCAAACAAGACTTGCCCTCACGACACAAGAACGAAATTTACTAGAAAACCAAGTAGCAGAATTGCAAGACCTTAATAGGTATCGTGTAGTATTATCAGACAAGACTATTATCAGCTTTGCCGGTCAACGTTAGCGTAATTCCGGAAACCGAGTTTTATATTTTCAAGTCTTAACGATTGAGTGCAAGTCATCCCATTTTGAGGTTTTGGAACTGAGATTGACGTGCATGTATGTTACATAAGACAGAATATTGAAGAGTTCGCTCAGCGCAATGTGTTGCATCTTTTATAGGGATCACGTTAAATTGGAAGACAGTTTTCATTCTCTTCGAATTAAGGTGAGTTTGCAACTTTCTTAAGGCGGCATGAGTCTACAGTCTTTACCACCAAGGTAAAAATCAGGTCAACGAAAGAATTCAATGGAATCATTACCCTTTCCAAGTTGGATAAGTCTTTGATGATGTGGATTTTTTTATTCCTAGCTTGCGGAATCTACGCGTCACAAAGATGATGCTGAGATGCAAATACCAACTCTAAAGGTAAAAGTTGAGATCACATGTATGTGTATTTTCTATTTCTACCTCTTTGTTTGTCCGTCTATCTATGTGCCTGCCTTCCAATCGATGATCTGCCAATGAAACGATTTTTGTTTTCTTTCCCACTTCTAGGCGAAGGTTTCCTTGCTTAGGAGAGCGTGTAAAGAAAAAGACGATCTTGTCGAGAAACTAAATGAAGAAATTCGCGATTTACGTCATTTCATATCAACATCTACTCTCGACGACCTCTCGAAAATCCGCAGCTTCGGTTACGCGCACGACAACTTCACGAAGTCGTCTACCCATCGGGAACAAAAGAAACAGATCGCTAAACAAGTTCCCAAGGTCTGTGAAAGTTTCTAGTTACAATGTAATAGTTTTATCTGGCCAACGCGCTTTCACGAGATAGTTTATTACTCTGAGTGATCATATTCATTTCTGGATTAAAGACCTCTCTCCCATTCAACTTCGGCGTTTGATTGATTGGCTGATTGATTGGTCTTTGAAATGGAAGTGAACTTTGAGGAAACCTGGAAGGGCCCGAAAAGCACGCTTTCAACTTTTTGATACAACATAATGACAATATTTACCAAAGTCTTCAGAAAAAGCGGTGTCTATTAATCAAAAAACATTGAATAAGAGAAGGAAGACAATATTATGAAGTAGAGGGGTATCCCAATCCTTTTGACGAGGATTGTAGTAAAGGAAAGGCTGTAAATAAATTCTGGGAAACTATCTCCGCATTGTTTTCAAAAGGGCATACAGCACCTCGCTTTCCCTGGTTGATTGATGAAAACTCGCTTCATGTTGAAAAGCTTATGATAAAACGTGATAGTGTAGACTGATCGTTCGGGTGAGTGTTGCACTGAGAAGGATTGTTGTCGGTAGTGACCGACAATTATCGACAACTACCGACAACACTTCCTGTCTCTGAATCATTTTGAAGTAATTTAAAGCTTTTAGGAGTAATGGATTTAACTGCGTGGTTGTGAGGGTGGAATGTATTCTCCTTATGTGACGTTTGTAGTGCTGACAGTCGATCATTTTGTTGGGTGCGTTGATGGCCCCCTTGAACGACAGAAACAAGAAAGCCGCGTTTTTCGAAAAAAATGGCATGTAATGGATGCAAAGATGAATGCAAAAGTAACTATGTAACTATGGTGGTTCGCCATTCTGAAAGCCTTATACTTGCTGCACTTTTTGTCGGTTTAGTCAACTTAGCTTTTCTTTAGAAGAATCAAATGATTGGCTATTTGTAACAGACATTTTTAATTCTCCTCAAGATGTTCGAACCTTCACCACCTGGAAGCAAAAAAGCTAGGCGCTTTATTGCGTTGTTTGATTACGACCCACATAGCTCACCTTCTTCTGAACACCCTGATTTGGAGCTCAAACTCAAAGAGGGAGATCTCCTGACAGTTTTCGGTGATATGGACATCAATGGGTATTTAGAGGCGGACTTGAACGGGGAACGAGGCCTGGTTCCTAGTTTATATGTGGAAGAAGTCGAGGATGCAAATGATTCTGATATTGCGCCAGAGGAGCAGTTGACAATTTCTCACAGGGCGGCGGGGCCTCTGAAACATGGTGCTTTGAACAGGAGCAAGGAAATTCAGGTGAGATAGAGATTGTAAAGAAGACGATAAAATATTTTGAGTCTTCATTAGTATCAGAAGAAAATAACCTTTAAATCCAAGGAGGTCTTCCGAAAGAAGTTAACTATGGTAGGGAAGAAGCAAAAGAGACAGGATAATTAACCAGAATAAGCGATTGGTGAAGACAGTGGAGATTGGCGTAGATATCAATGACAATAAATTGTTCAAGATGTAAAAAAACCTGATCTTTTTTTTGAAAGAACGTCTTAACTTCAAGTTCTATTTTTCCACTTATCTTTAACTTTTTGGAACAATTTTGTCAAACGAAAGGGCACAGGTAAAAGGTTGTTTTTGTTGTTATTCTTTTATTCGTGCGTGTGTGTTAAAATTCTATTCTTTATTTACGGGATCGAATCTTCTGAACCATTCGCTCGTGGCTTTACCGAACATAGGAAACTTACTACACAGAAATTTATCTCGGCGGTGTTAATTGACTCATGCTCTTCCCTTTTATGGCACCAGACAATATATTTTGTGACGAGAAAAAACGTTTCACTAATAAAGTTCTCGTATATGGAAAGGGTTTCACTTAAGTGGCCTCTATTTTCTAGAATGAAAACGGGAATGAAACAACTGTCAGACTTAGTACAAATCGAATTCCTTGTGGAGGAGAACACGTGACTCTTTTACGGAATGCGAAAAAAAAACAGTTCCTGATGCTAACATCATTGCTGACGAAGTCGCAGTACATTTCTAAACAAGCTTTCTTGCAAATATCTCACGGAAAAAAAATGAAACAATCTATTTATTGAATAGTTTCTTTTTTCCACAGTTGTACCCAGATGTCATTTCCTGCCGCCGTGGTAGCTCATCTTCAGGGGCCTCTTCTGGGGAACCTGAGAAACGTCGGTGCCTAGTGGCCCTATACGATTACGATCCTTTTTGCTCTGGTGTCCGTGGATGGCCGCCTCACGATCAACTGACGCTGAAGAAGGGTGATGTCATGACGGCGTTGGAAGATCAGGATGCAAATGGGTTTTACCGCGTTTTTCTGAACGGTGAGAGTTTACGATTGGTCATATGTTATTTAGTTCCGTCAAAAAGCCAGTCAAAAGGAGTTATAATACAAAGTTGTTCAAATAACAGTAACTAATACAGGCTAACTGAATTCATCTTCATAATGAACTTTGTTGATAGGTTTCTTCGAGATACAAATTGCACATTTCGTTGCCATACGTTTACCTTGGCTCCGTTTAGCTCCCTTGTTTTCTAGACATACCCCCTTTTTTTGTTGTTTTTTGTGGTTTTTTTTATGTACATGGGTAGAAAATACACCTTTCCCCTAAATCGTGTTTATATATGTAATTTTTATAATCAGTGTATTGTCCACCTTCAAATGATTCAGGAGAGATTAAAATGATGTATTTTCATTTAACCTTTTCGTAAGGCCAAACAGGGTTTGTTCCTGGACAGATGGTGGGAAACGAATCTTCATCTTTTTCGCGGCAACCTGTAAGTTTGTCAAATAATTTAAGTATGTTAATCAGGGAGCAGAGGATATTTCTTAGCCGCACATGGATGCGAATTTTGTCTTTGAATGTTAAGAAACTCGTTCCACATACGGAAATGAAATATCCTTTTATTATACATAAATATTGGTTGGATATTTGAATCAAAGACAATTTTGAAACGCATCGAGAACACCGAATGCACGTTAACCCAGTATAAAGAAAAGCTTCCTCAAAGTGTGAAAGGAATATAATGACCATTACGAGACTGACATCTTCTCCGTGTTTCCGAAACAAGAAAAAAATGTTCTTTCACCAATATCTCTAAGACGAAGTACTTTTCTTCTTTGTTCTTATCATTTACAAGGTGAACAGACGAGCTCCAGAGCAAATATTAGGAATGTTAAATAATTATCCCAGACGAGGACAACCAGAAGGTGAGTTTCACAAGCCACTACATTGAGTTTGTAAGAAGTTACATCGAAAAAGCTAGTGGATCGGTAGTGTGCAGTTTTGACTCATCTGTAGTTCTAAATGCATAAGAAGCCTGGATTGGAGCCTTTGCTGGGCTATTGTGCTTCACACTCGACACTCTTAGAGTGCTTGTCTCCACTTAGGGTTATAATGGGCACCTCCAAAGTGACAGGGTTTCATGACAAATTCAGGGGTTATCCACGAGGAGGAGTAGCATGTCGCCTCATAACAATGACACCGTAATCAACTTTGGTGTAACAAGCCGCCGGAATCGCAAGACGTTACTAGAGTTAAGGGCTGGTCTCTGTTCTGTAATTGCCTAGGGTTTCTCTTTGGTCATCTTAAGTTTTATCCTCAATATAGACGTATTGTTTAATAGCTTATGTCCGATTTAAAAGAAAATGACACCTATAAAACAAGGCCCAGGACGAAGCCATCATCAAAAAAAAAATGCAATAAAGCAAAAAGTCATTCGTAACAAAGGCTTCGCACTTACCCTGGTTGTAATACAAAGAGATTTGGCATCTTGGAAACAGTTCATTTTGTCATTTTACTTTTTGCTTGTTACAGCTTCTTCAACACAGAATTCAGACTATCCTACACCGCCACCATCGATGGGAAGCATGAAGTCACTAACTCACGATGGTAATTCCAACGGCCTTCAATCGTCATTAACTCATACGTGTCTTCCCGGCAGTCCAAACAAACTACCCAATGTGGGATTAACAAAATTCAAGCCATCACCGGACGTAGATATGCTTGGTGTCATGACTTCTGTGACACAGTCCTCCCAACAATTAGGTCCGCTGTCCTCTCGAGAACCAGACAAAATATCGACACCACCCGCAACCCCCAAACAGATTGCTCCTGTCGTGTCAACCAAGTCACTGTCGAAAAAAGGTACGAGTCATTCATGTAATATCAAACAGAGGTAGAGTTGCACTTGCAGAGTGATGGTTTCTCGTCTTAATGTAGCGTTAATCAGACGTTTTCCTAAAGTAGTACTGACGTAAAAAAATTATTCGGTTCGGTTGTTATTATTATTATTATTATTATTGTTATTATTATTATTATTATTATTATTATATGTCAACATTTAATTATTGGTTGAGTGTCAAGTGCTCACTATATTCTTGAATCATATTTCTCTTGGGGAACAGGGTACTCATAAATATGTGGGATGCGGCAGGTTTTCTGTTTTGCGTGTGGGACAAATCTTCTGCAACACTACCTTCTAGTATCGGTTTATAACCTCTAGTTCTTTTAAGAGTAAATGTCAGTAAAAATCAAGGAAAATTCAAAAAACGTGGCCACGGTCAACAATCGATTTCGCTCATACTTTGTCAGTTTGAAGGCCTAGGTAAGTAACTGAAGGATATGAGGTTAGTTTTTTGAAATATTCTATATAACGGCAGAAAACCACGAAAAACGGTCACCCTACCGGAAGCTCGGATTTCACCTGGCGGAAACTCGAAATTTTACACTTTTCAGCTTCTCGCTACAAAGACGTTTACATAGCTGTGAATCTTTCTTAAGTATAATTGAATACATTGATTCTTCCTTAGTCAAACCATGGGAATTATTTTTATCTCTGCTTATTTGTGAGCGAACTGAGACCCGATTAAGAAGACACACTTTTCTCATTTACGCGAAGGTGTAAAATAATCCAAACTCAGCGACGAAAAAAGCTGACCGGTAGTTCTTCAAATCCTCTGATATTATAACCAAAGACAGCTCAGTCATTGATTTTTAGGTCTACGGTTTTAAATCTTTAGGATCTAGTAGCACTTTTGCATGAACGCCGATCAAAATTCGATAAAATTCCAATTGAGCGCCTTTGAAATCTACAACTCTACATAACAAAGCACTATTGAATAAATTAACTCCTCGGCCAAAGTTTGTACATAAAACATAAAGGTTTTGCTTTCTTAGCGGTTTGAAGCGTTTTAAAAATATATATTAATGTTAAATATTGTCTATACAGGTAAAACAAACTATGAAACACCAAAATTACCACGAGCTCGCTCCCTAATCTGCGTCACGCACGAGCGACTTAGCTACAATTAGTACAGTAACAAACAGATATTTACATCCGTTGATTTTAAATAAGTCGTATTTTTAAAATATCTTACTCAAAGATGTGCCAGGTTTCCCAGTTAACTTGCTGAAAAAAAAAGAAAACCTTAATAGTAATTCTAGCTCAATTAGAATTGATTTTATTTAGTATGAGAAGTTTTGTGCCGTCGAAAACCAATCGGAAGTAACTGTTTCCACGAAAAGGAAATATTGCATCGTTCTCTAAATAAACAAATCTTCTTAACCATATAACCAGAGTATGTTGTTGGCGAAGTTAATAGACATACATAACAACGACGTCTTGCTCGTTCTTGAATATTGTCGGTGGGATTTGCGGCGCAGACGAACGCACTTGCTAAGTAACTTCCAATGGCTAATTTCTACCCTTACTCAGCTTTCGTCACACTGCTCACGCTGTGTAACAAGGATATAAAACATCGCACGAAGTCCTAAAAAACTCTCCGGACTTGAACCAGAATTGATTTTAGCAAGATTGCGTGTTTTTAAAAGCCAACGAGTTTATTGGAGATGACTACCCGTATCGTCTCATCGTGTCACTTAGGCATAACCTGACACGATGTCGATAGTTTCGACTCCTGATGGCCGAGAGCACTCGGATTTCTTTTTTTTCCGAGTACGCCTGTGTCACTTACTGAATAATACATCATTCTCATTTATTCACCAGGCTTAAAAATATTCCATCACATTTATTCCATTGCGCGTATGCCACACATGACATTCCAATCCTAGCAGTATGCAGGATGTTTGTCCCATGAAGCATTCGGATTTTTTTTCCGATTATGCCTGTGTCACTTACTGAGTAATACATCATGTTCAAAAGTATTAATTTTTGCACCATACAGGAAGTTGTTTCGGGTCACTCAACAAGAGCTGTGAAAAGTAGCCGCACTGGAATAGGAATATATTTTTTCCAATCCACGAAGATATTTGACCTTTCAAAATAGCTCGTCCCTATGGGCTCAGGTAAATAACAACTAAAAAATGTACTACCAAGCAGGAACTGTCTCCAATGAGTTTTGCATCCTCTTCATTCTGTTGTCCAATGCGACTATTAAAAACACTATGAGTTTTACGACTTGCATGTTTTATTGATTGCGCTTGTCAAACAACACTACAGTCTGTCATTGATAGAGAAAATAAAGTTTAATTTTGACAATATTCGATGAAAAATACTAAGAATTTTCCAAAGAGGGCACCGAAGAATAAATAATGTGCACTGTCATTTTACGACATTTAAAAAGGAGGGAAGGGGGTTGGGGAAAGGATTTAACAACCATACTACTCTCTCTCCCCAACCACCCACAGAGTGCACAGTTTGCACAGTATACTAGTGGAAACGTCACATCAACCTTACTTATTTCTTTCCGTCGTTTAAACAAATGATTCTTTCATATAATCTTAAGTCAACAGAATGAATAGACTAAAAATAATTCATTGGAGACAGTTTCTGTTTGGTAGAACATCAAGTAGTTGGTTGCTTACCTGAGCAGGGACGAGCTGTTTTGAAAGCTCAAATATCTTCATGGATTGGAATAAATTTATTCCTTTTTCCAGTGCGGGTGCCTTCCTCAGCTCCTTGCAGTGACCAGAAACAACTTCCGGGATGGTGCAAAGATTACCCGTCCTTCGCCAACCTAAACCTAACTTGGCACGATGAACCGGACAGATAGTCATATCCGATAAATTCGCCGGCTTTTGAAAACATCCACATCTCGCCAAAATTAATTCTACCTCCGTTTCAATTCCGGAAAATTTCAAGGACTTTTTGTGATTTTTGATATCCCTGTTACACCGCGTGAGAGGCGTGACGGAAGTTGAAGAACTTGTGCGTTCGTCTGCGCCGCAAATCCTACCAACAATATTCAAGAACGAGCAAGACATCGCTGTTCTATGAAGTTCCCCGACAATAAACTCTGGTTTTAGATGAAATGTTTCACAGATAAAGATAATTCGATTTATTTATTTAAAGAACGATGCAATTTTCGTGAGAACAGGTACTTCTGATTGGCTATCGACGGCATAAAGCTTTTCATTCTTAATAAAATCAATTCTTATCGTTTCAGTTTGAATTGCTATTATGATATTTTCTTTTATTATTACTTCAGCAAGTTAACTGAGGAACCTGGCACATCGTTGAGTAAGATATTTTAAAATAAGACTTATTGTAAATTAACAGATGTAAATATCTGTTTGTTACTGTACTAATTGTAGCGAAGTCGCTCGTGCGTGACACAGATTAGGGAGCGAGCCTGTGAGATTTAATTTCAGCTCGTGGTAATTTTGGTGTTTCATAGTTTGTTTTACCTGTGTAGACAATATTTAACATTAATATATATTTTTAAAAGGTTCAAACCGCTAAGAAAGTGAAACCCTCATGTTTTATGTACAAACTTTGGCCGAGGAGTTAATTTATTCAATAGTGCATTGTTATGTAGAGTTGTAGATTTCAAAGGCGCTCAATTGGAATTTTATCGAATTTTGATCGGCGTTCATGCAAAAGTGCTACTAGATCCTAAAGATTTAAAACCATAGACCTAAAACTCAATGACTGAGCTGTCTTTGGTTATAATATCAGAGGATTTGAAGAACTACCGGTCAGCTTTTTTCGTCGCTGAGTTTGGATTATTTTACACCTTCGCGTAAATGAGAAAAGTGTGTCTTCTTAATCGGGTCTCAGTTCGCTCACAAATAAGCAGAGATAAAAATAATTCCCATGGTTTGACTAAGGAAGAATCAATGTATTCAATTATACTTAAGAAAGATTCACAGCTATGTAAACGTCTGTGTAGCGAGAAGCTGAAAAGTGTAAAATTTCGAGTTTCCGCCAGGTGAAATCCGAGCTTCCGGTAGGGCGACCGTTTTTCGTGGTTTTCTGCCGTTATATGGAATATTTCAAAAAACTAACCTCATATCCTTCAGTTACTTACCTAGGCCTTCAAACTGACAAAGTATGAGCGAAATCGATTTTTGACCGTGGCCACGATTTCTTTGATTTTTACTGACAATCACTCTTAAATGCTATTAAAAAAATTGAGCTACATCAGTAGCCACATACAGCGTCAAACTGCCTATTTTTATTACAACGCCGTGAGAATCTTTGTTTTCTAACCTCTCCAGTGTCTTTTAGCCTAACGTTCTTTATTTTAAGAGAAAGATACCGAAGTATGTGAAAAACAGAAGTCGATGAGACGTTTTCTTCACGTATCATTTGAAGCTCTAACGTCTCTCGAGCCGCATCTAGGAAAAGCAGAGTTAAGATTTTTAGTTAAGAATCTTTTTTTCAATTTATTTGAGGTAAACGTCTGTAAACTTCTTTGACTTAAAAATACTAAGCAGTGAGCTTAAAAAGCTTTAAAAAATATACCTTCTCCAGTGCATGCTAGAAGAGCTTGTGTTGTAATGCACGCGAAGAAGATGAAAGACAAGGAGTCCAAGAATTAAAATTTGGAGTCTTTTGTTTTAAGTTTTTGCACTGACCTTATTATGTTTTGTCCAAATTCTTAAAACCTTTGGCTTCAATTCTCCCAGTACATGCTTGGCTAGTAATGAGGTTGTTTCGTCTTTCTGCCACCTCTCTTAGTTCGCCCTAGTGCTCCAAGCAACTTTCGATGTATACGACCGGTGAACCACGATGCTATGTTGGTGGGATGGACTCTACCGGAAATGGACGAGTTTGGTAGAAGCAGCGGTCTCTCTGTGAAGGGATATAAGGTGGGTACATTCGTTTTATATGTAGTTTATCTTGACTACTCAATGAAGTTGGTTAAAAAAATGTTTGTGTAATTATGGTCTGTTTCTCTGTTGATAGATTTATGCGAATGACGACGTGAGGCTAGACGTTCGTAGCCCCTACATGGCGAAGGTATGACGGACCGGTGTGTCTTTACGCTAAACGTTTCCGCTTGGTCTTCTCTTTACAATTTGATCATAGCATTCGATTACCCCGTCAGTTTTCTTATTATTGCTAATGAACTACTGTAGATGTATATTTTTTTCATTATATTTATTATTTGCCTAATATTTCTTACTAGGCTTTGGTCGAGGGTCTTGAACTTGGTCTGCCGATCAAATTCAGTATTAAGACTGTGGCTGAAAATGGCACATCTTCTGAAACTGTGTCAGCAGCATTTAACGACACAATCAAAGAAAGCTTGTTGGTAAGGAACTAGTAGATGAGCGTAACTAGTCGATATAGTGTCATTTGGCGAGTCCTCTTCATAGGAAACGCAGTTGGTCTTTGTTTTTTTGTTTGCAGGGTCAAACATTGATTCCTTTAGATGTGCCTAAGAACACCTTTAGCTCCTTTGTGTGCTCTTATTGAGGGATATTTTAAAGCTCAGTGATTGTTAGTTAAATATTGCGTAAAATTTTTAAGTTATTGGTTCGTGTTCTCTCTCGTCTGATATGAATATGGTGGACATATTTTAGGTACTGACTATCTCTTTAACAATAACTAATCAGGAGATTAGATCAGTTTATGTTTGTTTGCTTTGTTTTGTTTTTTGCTTTAATTTGTAAAGCAACGCTTTGGCATTTAAGCTGTGAACTCTCTTTTTTTTTGGCAGGATTCGCGTGAAGAATACTTTGAGGTTTGTTTTTCTGTTATTATCGATAGCTATTTAGTGCAAAATTCACTTTATTAAAGGCACCATCCTTGTATATTATAGAGAAATTTTTAAATTCGCCCCTCGCCTAGAAATGACAGGCCACTTGAAATCGAGAGAAAACTATTGAAGGAAATCAGAAACTTGACTTTCCCTCACTAAAGACGAGTCTTTTTCTCACGTGTGGCGTCCGTCTGTATTTGATGTAGTGCCACATGCTTTACGTCTTCTTAAGCGCCGTTTGATGATAATAGTGAGTTTAATTCTTGCGGCAAAAATAAACTCTAATTTTTCTCACTTTCCCTATAACTGAGAAATCATCCCTGAATGCAGACAGCAAGAAGTTTCATTTGTCTTTTGCCGTAGGCGGCATTCTGAACCTTTTACGTGTATTTTCAATTTCATTGGATTTTCTTTTGAAGAGATAGTTTTATGTTCCGTCTTTTTGTCGAGATCAACAGATATATGAGGCCGCCTGTGTATCCTGGTTTCAGTTGGGTATACTAATGGAGGGGTTGAAATCTCGAAAAAGTCAACCAATTTTATACGACTAAAGTACGAATAACTTGAATTGTAAATCATGAATTGTTTTGTTTCTGTTTTCAAAGGATTTGGAAAATGAGCAGCAATACAGAACGGTATGATTGACTACTCTAGTAATGTTACTCTAGATACCCTTTCGATTTAGTCTGGAAAGCGTAGAAAGATATTTGATTTTAAAATGGTTAGGTGCCATGTTCCTTCGGTTTGATGTTGATGAATCTGTCACCAATGAGAACTTACTTTGTAACAAAATGTATTTAGGTTGAGTGTAATGTTCCAAGTGCGTGATGGACATTCGTGTTCTGATGACAGACCCCGTTATTTGCTTGTCTTCTCAGTTTGTGGCTCTTTACGACTACGATCCGTTTAAAAGTTCACCCAATCAAAATCCTGCTGCTGAAATGAGCTTCAAAGAAGGGGACATCTTGAAAGTGTTTAACACTTTCAGAAAGGACGGCTATTTTGTAGGAAAGGTACTGAAAGTGTTTGTAATTCGGGGTTTCGCATAGTCAGATGCTTTTCTGTCGTACATTTACTATATTAGGCATTTTTTTAAAATCTTTAAGGCTAGTTTCTTCTTACTTTACTTTTCATTTCCGCATACAAGTCACAACTAAATCGATTACCAATCAGTAATATGTGTTGAATTTTATGGTAATCCTTTGGAGCTCGTTAGCCAGGAGGCCCTTCTGGCGGCCGTTCTTGAAGGAGGTAACCAACAGTTCAGATTACACTGTTAAAATGTTCGAGCACGTTGACGAGGACATGTCTCTGACTTAACAGCTGAAAAACAGAAAAGGGCTGATCCCATCCAACTTTATAGAGGAAGTAGCTGTGGCCTCACCTCTGCGACTGGCTGCTGCTAAGGTAATTGTCACGAATCGTGAATTACTTTTCTGTGCACAATATCTGTTTTCCTGTTATTAGTTGTGCGTCCTGTGTTTAACGTAAAACTCAAAAGGGGTAGCATTTATAAGTCAGATTCTCACAGGAGTGACCATCTTATGTAAAAGAGATCAATACCACTTCTTTCAATTTATCGGCGGTAAACTTTGTTGCTCACAGCTTTTCTTGAGCAACGCTGTCACACAATCTGACTTCCCAGTCAGCTCGGTAACGAGAGACAGTTTTTGTCTTTAGGAGTAATCGTAGGTCATCATTCTTTCATCGCTAATTACGCTCCCAGCTATAAAACTGCAATGGTGCTCTTGCCAACCTGAAATCTTTAAAAACTATCAAATGCGTTCGTGAAAACTATAATTTTTTACATGGACTCGCAGTTTTATTTTCTAAAAAGTTAAAGTGATGTAGATGCATGCTCTTTCAGCAAGTCAGTTCTCTTTTCTCTCTTCAGAGGCGAAAAGCAGCTCTTCCCAGTCCCACAATCAGGCCTCAATCAGGACACATCAGTTCAGTTGAAAGTATCGGTTCACCAACTGTCGGAGCAAAGAATCCTGTGCTAATGAATAGAAAGGTAGGTCAAGAGAATTTCCATATCTCGGAGTATTCTTTGGTTTTGGTCTCTCTTACTATTGGCAGTTTTTTTTTTTTTTTTTCGTTTCGTTTTTTTTTTTTTTTTTTTTTTTTTTTTTTTTTAAGATTTCTAGAAATTTTTCAATTCTAAATAGAGATTAGAGGACATATTTGTGTCCTTCACAGCCATATAGTTCTGGGATGTCGTACAACAATTCCCGCGAGGGATTCATGACCTTAACGTCAACAAATACTTCGATGAAACTGATTCAGTTCATTCTGTAAGCTCCATGCGTTTCCAATAAATCAGGTCGATTAGGGTCTTGAAAACTTGGTTTGGATGGTACGTTTTCGGTTTCGTTGGTTTGGTGAGCAACTTTCGGTTCCGATCCAAATTTTTCAGGGATTTGTGGTTTGAAGTAAGTTTTTGTGCGCTCTTCTCTTTTACTAATAGACCACGATGCCTCCCTCAACAATTACTGTCAATTCCTAGTCAGAAATCCCTAAATATGCACCCACTAATAAATGGTAGTAGGTGAATAACTTAGAAAAAGAAAAAAGGGAGGGAAAATATCCAAGAGGAGCAATGCAGTGGATTCGGTGCTGAAATTTACATCTCATTTTTGTGTAGATGATGGTGGCCCTCTATGATTACAACCCAGAGGTGCAATCACCGCAAGATAACCCAGATTCAGAACTCCCGTTGAAGAAGGGGCAAATATTTACTGTTTTTGGTGACATGGTAAGTAGCAAGAAGCCCTAGCAATTTGAATTCGAACAACGGAAATAGTGGAAGATTTTATGATGTTGCGGAAAAACCTGACCACGAAACGACATCACGAGGAGCGGTGTAAGACCGACCTGAATATTTTCTTTCTTAGCCTGGCCCCATGAAGTTCAGCCGTTCAATTTGCGGCGTGCAACATGGTTTTGTATACAAATACTCCAATTTCTCTTGATAAAGACAAAGTTATAGGTTACACTTAATTGGAAGGTTAAGGCTTTTTTTTTCCCTGGTAGAGAAGTTTTTGTTTTCTAAAGGAGAATAATATAAATGTTAAAGTATTGGAGTGGCCCGCAGTAAGGTTACCAGAGCGAGATTCTCTTTGATAGTTTTAATAAGGTTTCCTTCACAATTGATCTCGGTTTATTGCAGGAATGACGTTTCCTTTATTACCAAGGGGAGAAACAGGACCATAAAGTACAGATGACCCCCTTAAAATTCGGGCTTACACTTATGTACCACACGTTTGACTACAGCAGATCACATTCTGTGTTATCTTTAGTTTGTAATTCGTTCGTTGCATACCTATCATTTCTTTTATTGTACAATCCTCGACATTTTACAGAGAAAAGGTGGTCTTTTTCTCAAGTGTTCGAGAAGTTTTCCATGACTGGAGAAAATAATGATTTGCGCAGCTAGTGTGAAGTTTTCAAGCGCAGCCTCGTATTAATAGGTATTTGCAAGCTTCTGTAAGCCGAAACGTCGTAGCGAAAGCCCCAAAGCAAACTCCGCAATTATCTAAATTTAAAGTAGATAAGAATTCCTTGGGAAATTTTGTTCATAATTCTTAAACATTTGTTTTTCTTCTCGTTTCTTTATTCTCCTTAAGCGCGCTGATGGCTTTTATCAAGCTGAAGTGAATGGAGAGCTTGGACTCGTACCTGGAAGCTTTCTCGACGAATACACCACTGGGGTAAGGGTAAAGCACGGAAAAAGCAAACTTATTTATCTAAGCAACAACTACGTGCGAAAACTTGTAGTCATAATAAATTATAGGATGTACTGCGGAACCCTGCCTTACGGCCACCTCGTTATTATGGCCGCTTTTTAATAGCTCGGCTAAACGGACACTCATTTTCTTATCAACAGGAAAACCCTTGTTTACGCGGTCACTCATTAATGAGGCCAACAGCCACATTTTAAAACCCCAAACAGTAGAATCCCTTAAAATTTTACTCCGTAATACGGCCATCATACTCAATATAGAAAACCAAAACGCCGATGGCATGTCGATTCAATGATCTCTGTCGTGTACTAATCAAACAGCCGAATTACCTAGAAGTTGGCAACACTTCCTGTTCTCACATTAATTTTTTTTATTTATCAATGGTTAAAGTTTTGCAGCTGTCATTGATGCTTGGTTTTACGTGAGAGTTTTAGAAAAATTACGGGCTTTAACCTTGGAAATGGTTTCCAAAAATTGCGAAGATGTCTGTTATAGTAATATGTTTTATTTTAATTTAAAGGGAATCGTTAGCGGTCTCCAGTCTGGAATGCTCGATCCAGTTGAATGATCAAGTAATGGGCTCCTGACGAAGCTCATCATAAAGCTCTGCATGTTACTAGATTCCCGTGTGGAATTTTTTATGCATTCGCATACTTTGATTGTATTTTGTAGCACCCGCCTATGCTGCATCAATTACTTTTATAATCTTCCGTTTTGGATTTTTTAATTTCACCTTTTTATTCTCATTTTTTGTTAATTGTGATAGAGAAATTTGGAGTATAGATCTCTTAATGTTAAAAGCAAATAATTTTGAGGAAATCAGTCTAGTTTGCTGGCAAGCTATATTTTACAGCTGGAGTAGTTGAATAGTAGAAAATAGTACCAAATAATTGATACAGTGTAAGATTTTTTAATTCCTGTACAGACTTGTAGATATCAGACCTCAAAGGTGTAACAGATGTGACTTACACTGAAAGTGTTTATGAAGGTATAACATTGAGAAAAGGAAATCTGTATATTGCAACACACTCATTAAACTATTGTCTCTCTATTTAAATGGGCCTACATCTTTTAAATTTATCTATCAAACCCTTCAAAATACAAATTATGAAGAAAGTTAAAACCTATCAATTCAAAAAAAAGGCAGAAATAAGGTTTCAATTTCTTGACAGGAGTTGCTTCCAAACCCTAAAGAAGTAAAGCAGCATGTTGCATCAGGGCTCAGGATCTTGATTGAGTTTGCATTCAGTTTGCTGTACAAGGATATTTTTTGTCAATGAGCCATAAGTATTCCATTGTGTCATTTCATTTGGAAAGTTGAGAAGAGAAAGGAATATCTCAGAGAGGACAGTAGGCAGAAGGAAAGGGTGGGAAGAGAGGAAAAAAGACTCCTAAATCCCCCTCCATCTCTCTCCTACAAATACACATACCATAACTCCGATGTGGTAGATCTGCACCAAAGAGGTGTCAGTGTCCTGCCCCACCTTTCCAAATGTTACTCTTGCATGCAAATAATTTATTGCAAGCAATAATTATTACCTCTCTTTTAGTTACACAATGATGGTCGCTTGTTAAAGACAAAGTCTTTGGAGATAAAATTAAACGCTCATGGGTAGATTTTCTGTACAAATTTCAATAGCCAAAAGACACCATGACATTACTGTAGACCTCATTGATCAGACTTTTAAGTATGGATTTATGAACAAATTCTAAATTCAGGAGCCTGTTTCCAACACTTTGTCCCCCACTTTAACCTAAGATCCATTATGTACTGTCAAGAGAGTATATCAGCTTTTCTTTACTGACATTGGTTTCCTATTTTTGGTAGGTTATGTAATCATCTGTTTATTTATTATATTTCTTTACTAATATATTTGTATAAGAATAATTATAACTTTTTCATGTTCCAATTGTTTGAGATTTCTTTCAAATATGGCTTTTTGTCAAGAGTGAGAATACTTTTTCAGTGAAATTTCTACCATAACAATTGGAATTTATTTTTTGAACCATTCTGCAAACATTTGCTTCCTTTTAAATCACAAGAACTGAGAAAAGTTTCTTGTGCATGAAAAGATGCACCTGAGGCCTTAAAAGTTGATGCTTATGCACATTTATTTCTTAAAAAAATAATAGAAATGCCTTTTACCAGATAAAATCATGGCATTCCCTTAAAAATTGAAATCATAAAAATCTCTCATTCACATGACCACTGTTAAAATGATCAGGCTTTTTTATAGAATTTGATGTGTGATAATTGATAATGTGCCTTAAGCAAAATGTAGTTCATCCATGCTAGAGAATCAAACATCTGTATTTTAAATGCTCTAGTGTGTCCTATCTTTAACATAGGTACCCTGCTTAAATCTGGGATCTTGAGACTGATACAAAGTTAGTGCCTCTCTCCCAGTGTGTGCTGCCACTAAAGAAGAAAAAAGGAAATTACTAACCATCTGATTATTTTCTACAGTTAATTAATTTGTAAAGAATACATCTTATATGAGGATGTGGCTCTAACTACTTTCCACTCTTTACGTTCTCCTCTACTTTGCTTGATCAAGATCTCCCTATGAGTACATCAAACCCTTTTATACACACAAACGGGCAGACCTTAGCTACTATTCTGTACACATTTACATCAAGGTAACTGACCTGTTCAAAATGTGCTCATTTGCAAGTATATAAAAGTATAATTATTAAGTAGCCATTAATGCAGTAGACAGTTCCATAATAAGGTAGGGTCACCATGAAACTTAAGGAAGGTGAAATAGCCATTATATCGAATTAATGCGATTATTCAAATCAATTGACAACATGACACTGGATGTGAGGAGTAAATATCTACCATGTTCATGATCTGGATATTCTCCTGGAAGACTTGTTCCAGTTTAGCTACATTATGTTAATTTATAGTATTTTAGTACATAACACACAGTTCACAGCAAATCCTCTCTCAACTCAGACAATTAAACTCATCACCCCCATTGCTCTGAATTAACTAAGTTTAACCACTGAGTGGCTACTTTAAACAAGTATGGTTTGATCGAACTGATTATAAAATAAAGTGAGGACACACCTGGTCTTTCTGTCCAGATGTAATGACAGTTTTTAACTCTCTTTATCTTACCTTGGGATTGAATTGTAATTTACTGCATCACTCAACATTCAGTGCCATAGAATGGCATATAGCAAAATGGAAGTCCGTTTCACTCCCAAGGATGATCATTTGATACATTCGCCTCACAATTTTTGCAGCCAAGTGAGAAAAATGAAGAATATTAAAATAATTCAGAAATTGCCTTAATTTAACTTCTCATTCTCACAAAAAGATGGCAAATAATTTTATGATCACCCAAAGTAGCATGTTCATTTTGGCAGTGAAAGAATTAACCTAATGAGCCAGAATGTTAGATGTAACACGCACTGTGTAAAAATATTAATTTTGACAACCTCAAAACTCTTCTGTAAAATTGAATTTGGGCTTATGGACTGTATTTGTTATTTAAACCAAAATTTAAAGCAAAGTCAACTTCATGCTCAAAGCCAATCAGAATTGAGATGGTGATACCAATGTTTAATTTAATTGTTCACTGTGCTTGGCTTTTTTAAATGTATGTTCTTTTTAAAACATAACCGACCTTCCCTAGGTGGAACACATTCTCTGTATAACATTTTTTCTCTCTGTGGGGTGCATCACATAAGGGTTCCATTGATGAAACAGAATTAAAGCCCAGGATATATTAGGCTGTTGAATGACTGCATGTCACTTAAATTGTATGACTGCATTACCTTGACAAAGTTTGACAATCTTCCAGTAGAACTGAAGGTCTTTTGCTTTGAATCAGTTGTAGTTGGCTGATAATTTAGATGCACAGTACATAAGAAGATTACTCATGAAGAGATGCTCTTGCTTGTTGCATCCTTACAACAAATGAGCTAACATTGTAATTATAAAGCTGCATCCAGTGATTGCGCATCACTTAGACAACTCATTTTTGGCTATTCAGTTATCGGGGAAATTGTATATAGTATAGCAGTGAGCACATCCTGGGAAAAAAAAGATAAACTACTTGCATTCATAGATTCAAGTAGGTTGCATCCATGGTCTTTACAAGCAGTGCAAATGGTAAAATGGATGAAGCTTGCCTTGTCACCCAATATATAGTGTCCATTTTAAAATATGGATCAATTTCATCATTCATTCCTGGTCTCCGCATCATTTGGTACGAGTATGGTTCAATGTAAGCTTGCAAGACAACTTGGCCTGCCTTGACTTCGCCAGTCTCAGTGTCATTGTACTTTAATTTTGGTGCATCCAAATCAGCACATATAATAGAAGGTGTCATCTTTATCAATGGCTTAGACCCATCCTCACTCAGGTCTTCTGAATGATTATCTGTGGTATTTGACTCAAGTACTTTGACAACCTCCTTTGGGTTTAAAGACATAAATGCCAAATTCCAGTTTGATGAAACAATATTTTCCTGCCCACTAGCAGCCCCAAGTTGAAAGCGACACCATCCTGTAGGCAGCGAGTATGTTTGGGGAGGATTACCACTCTTACACAATGGTGTTTCAACATCAAGACAGCACTCTTCACAATAACAGGGATTTAATGCATCTGCTTCAAAATAACATGAAGGAATGTTCAAATAACTGAGGAATCTAATACAGCTCTCTTGATATTCACAACTAGCTTTGAATGTGTCAACAGACACAGTACTCTGCTTGGGTGGAAAACTTGAGGCACTTAATTTGTTACGTGGAACTTTCTTTTCTTTACAAGGTAAAGTAAGTGGGCACTCTCCTTCAACATTCTTCATACAACGCGGACGGCTGTGAACATCCAGGCCACATCCCTCGCACTTCATACCTTGATCTTTAATTCCCCACATAAAACCTCCACAAGATGCGCACCATTTAAAATGTTTGTAAGAATAAGGTTTGAATACGTGAGGGCAAGCGATGGGTTTTTTCTTTTCTTCTTTTGGCACATGTCCATCCACATCATCAATCACGCGAAACATATTGAGCACATCAACAACAAGATCTGTGATCGACTTGTATTTCTTCTCATCAGTAGAATCGATGAAAAATCTTTCGTTTTCGTAGAATAGTCTATAATGAAGAATATGTCCACCGTAACTTAAAGACAGGCTGTAGTCGCCGGGTGAGCTATTACTCTCTCTCACTAAGTATCTTCCGTTGACTGGACCATTAGGACCGGAGAGTAGTTCGTCGACTTCCTCCCGAGGAATGCGGCCATGAAACTCTTCTTGAAAGAACGATGGTCTGGAAGGCAGGTTCTTCATACAAGCTAAGCGAATTGGCTCAGGGGCAGCATTCTGCTGCAAAGCGAGCAGCATATCACTTTGCCATGCTCTGCACTCTGGTTCCTTCAGTTTCTCGATGTCGACATAAGCAGGAGCCCCATCAGAAGGTTTGTGGTCTTGAGGTGGTTTGCTTGACATTGGAAATGCCTTTCACCAAATTCTCGAGTTTTCTCTTGATTCTTAATATACCTCTTTCTTCCTCTTGTTGCTCCAAAGCAAGGTTCACCGGTTCAGCCGCGAGAGGACTTAATTTCGAATGTTGAACGAAGTTACACACATTTAGAATAGAACGAAGCCAAGAAGAACGTTGCGAAAAGAAAATAATCCACTCTGGCACTCGACTTGTAGTTCATCTCCGCACTTAGGTCTCAGCTGCTTAGAAGTTTCACGCCTTTCTGATCCTCCACCGTTTAAAAGCCGTATTCAATCAGTTGGCGATCCCAATACTTTTGAAGCCAACCGTAATCGTAGAAGACCCTATGGGGCGGCTTCAGCCTTGTACGACAAGCTTAGTTTGCTCCTTACTACTACGTCACAATTTGGCAGCGGTCTTTCTTGCTGGCTTAAGGGGAACCCAGACCGTCAGACCAGACAAATCTCAGGGCAACCTAAGGGGTACCTCGTAGTCCTCGTAGTTACCTCGTAGTGTATCGTGGAGATCAAAAGAAAGGATCAAACATGGTGGTCGACATGGTGTTTAGATGTACAGCCTAGATTTTTTTTTACAGATAGGAGGATGCAATAATTTTCAGTAAGTCCTTTGTTTGAAGAGCCTTAGGTGTATGTGAAAAACATTTCAGATGGTTATTTTCATCTCAAAAACATTTTTTGGGTAATGAAGCTACACATGGTCTTTATTCACCTTGTTTTTGTAACAGTTCTTAAGAGATTTAAAGTTCTTCTGACAGTCCACCATCTTAGTTCTATAAAGTTATCAGTTGCGCTCAGAAGCTATACTCAAGAACAAGCCTTTACTTGGTCTCTTTACGAAGCGCGTTGTCCTCTCCATCTCCTTCCATTCCACTCGCCTATGGTAAGCCTTTAGTGAATATTCATTCATTTATTTTCTTATTTATTTTATTTTAATATCTCTTTTTAAATTTATCATGAATTTTTTTACTTTTTTTCCTGTGATAATGGCCAGAAGAACGCAGGCTCAAGAAGCCTCGTCGAGCATAACCGCCATTTCAAAAGAAAAGCCACTCTTGACGTTCGTCAATTAGTAACTGCTTATGGTTAATTTTTTAAACTTTTTCCGCGTGATAATGGTTAGAAGAACGCAGGCTAAAGAGGATTTAAAGCACAGCCGAGCATACCCTGGTTGGCCTGGTTAGGTCACGTGCATTACGAAAGAGACAGTGGTCAGATTTCACAACCAAATCGTTTAAATTAGTACATGGCGCAGAGAGGCGAGAAGAAATCGCATGAGGCCACTCCGACCTTCGTCGATTTAAACGACTTAGCATGTAGCAGGGTAAGAACTCAATAGCTGATCCGCTTTAGACCACTCATTTACGAGTATCTTTGAGCAATAAATCCTAGTGAAAACTACGATACTTTGGTTATCTTTGCATTGTTTTTATAGGGAATGACATGATTTCTTGAGTAATTTGGAATATATCAGACTTTAAGCCAGTTTTTTGTACTTTGTTGGGTGGTTTTGTTCTCAGCACTCTCTTTCAAACTCTGTTTCAAAACTCTGTTACTCTTTTGTGACCTGTCCGCCATTTTCGTGGCTTTCTTTTCAATCGGATTTAATTGACGTGTTCTCAGCCAATGAGTACGCTGAAATTTTCCTTTGTATGTTATTAGTAGGTAAATCAAACTTGCTTCAAATTCGAGAGGCCATTGGCCATATATAAATGAAATCATTATTATATCTGGCAAGTTCAAGGCACACATTCTGCTGTTGTGAATTTTAACAAAGTACACTTAATAAGCTTAACAACAGGGTTTTTCCCTTAATTTCATTAATGGTCACGATAAAGTTATTATGACTAGGATGTCCTCAAAATTTTAATGACCTCCTTTACCCAACATACTGAACAAGTGTGTATGTAAGTTATTCAAATCAAGAAGATGAGTGCTCATTTCGAAAATTTGAATTTTACTTAAGTCAAGAAGAACAGGAAAGATACTGGCATGGATAATAGCTTAATTGCTGTTACCTGCATTCTCTACAATGAAATTCAGCAATATGATAAGGTCTTCATATATGACAGATGTCCTTGTGACCATGTCGTACAATGAAAATCATTGAATTTCAATGTATTTCAAGCAAAATGCTCCACAAATTAACTTCCATTATTGAGCATTTCAGTAACATCCATACCAAGTGTTATAGAGAAGGCCATACCACTCACATTTAGTGAAACTCTAACTAAGACATTAAAGGTTAGCAGTGTCATTGGAGGTTACATGATACTTTTAAACATTGCTGAAATATCTGTTGCCCATGAAGAGCACATTTTGATAAGTTTAACTGAAAAAAAGCTGGTAAAAACGCCTTGTTCAGTGTATCTTTCGCTGAGATTCCAAGTTTTCAGGGTAACCACACTTTTTTTTGTAGGGCAGGTTGGGTTTCAATCATGGGGAAGAATAATACCCTGGAATTTACTAACACAAGACTGCTGTGTTTCAGGTGGGAGGTGAAATAATGTTTGCCACAGATGATTGGTATGCTGTCGCTGAAAATGTATTGAAGGTAATCTCAAGCTTCATTTCTACCAGGGGAAAACTGATAAGCTGAAAAGCTATGGGAAAGTCAGGGAAATCCAAACCATGTCGCAGATTTCTATCAATAATAATTGTTCATAGTCAATGGTGAATTGTGAGTGATATAAGCTGCAACATTACAAATATCAAGCATTAGTGTCAATCGGAACCCTATTTATGTAGAACACTACTTGAAGATTAATAACCATACTTACACTCATGCTAACTGATTTATCTATCAGAGTTCATAGATTCCGCTCTCTTGTTAAATTCCAATTCAAAGAGGAGAGGCAGATGTACCAGTGTTTATCTCTGGGTAAATATTGGGTATCTTTTTATTGATTATCAGGGAAATTTGCTTGTTAAAACTTTCTATAGAAATGAAAATTGTATAATAAACAAAAATGCCCATAGTACTGAGTTGTTGGTTAGGAGAAACATAACATTGTGAGCCATATATTGATTTTTGTGTTTTTATTTGATACTGCATAACTATCATCAAGTGAAGTCACTCAAAGCCACTTGGATTAAAAAATATCTAGATCCAGAAAACAGTAGCAAATGGAAAATTATCTTTAATTTAGAGCTAGGAAAGTATGGAGGCAATGGTTTTTTTAAAGGATATCTTAACTGAAGATCCACATATTAAAATAATTGTAGAAATATGGTCAGATACTTTTTTTGAAGGAAGAATAGTGTCCAAGGACCATTTTTTGTCTCTACCTCTTTGGCAAAATTCATTAATAAGAATAAACAATGCAACAGTATTATATAAAGAATGGCTTTCCAGGAGTATAGCAAAAATAAAACATTCAACAGATAATTCTAATAACTTTATTTCCCTTGTCAGCTTTCAAAATAAATATGAAATCCAAATAAAACTGCTAATGTTTTTTGGAATAATCTTCGCAATAAAACTTTTGCAATAACAAATCCAAACAACACAACTTGTTAATACATTTTTAAAAAGCCAAAAGTCTTCAAGAATTGTATACTATCAACTTATATCTGATAAAGGCCAATGACCAATACCATGTCAAGAGAAGTGGCACAAATATATCGGTTCTACGACCAATAGAAATGTTGATTGGAGGAAAGTCTATCAAACATCTGCTGTGTGCACAAGGAACTCTAAAACTAATAGATATCAATTTCAGATTTTTACGTAGACGGCTAGCGACAAATAGCTATTTACAAAAAATAGGAATTAGACAGGACAGAAAATGCAACTTTTGCCATAACAAAAAAGAAGATCTGTTTCACATATTCTGGCAATGCCAAGAAAACAAAAATGATGTGGCAGAATCTTGCAACATGGCTTCAGTCCTGTCAGATTCTCCCAAAAGACAACCAACTACTCATGGAAACAGCTTTAAGTCTTAGGCTTGACAGCTCCAATTTCAAACTCTAAATAAATTTTTGCTGCCTAATGGCTAAACACTATATTTGGATATGTTGATCAAAAGAACTTTATCTAACTCAAAACATTACTTCTTGATTCATCTGAAACATATACATCACTTAGAAAACAGGACACCAAGCAACACAAAAAAAATGGAAGCCTTTTCTACCCTGGCTGGATCAGGTCTCCTGGGCCTTTGACTCTGAAACCAGTCCTTCTCTCATATATAAAACATATATTAAAATAATATACTTTGTGTAGAATATGTTTTGCCCTGAAGAAAGAAAGAAAGAAAGAAAAAAGAAAAGAATCTATAAAATAAAAATTTGTTTTGTTTTGATCTGTTTTTTCTTTTGTAATTAAATAAATTTAAAATAAAATGGAAAAAAGTAAAAGAAACATTGTGAGTCAAATGAATAATTTGTAATGTTAAGAAAAACAAGCAAGTAATTAACATGGGATGCTATTCAATGGCAGGTTACCCATTGTCACTTTTCACCAGGTTTTTCTAACAATTTGCAGGTACTACTTTATACACCTGGAAAGAGAAAAGTGCTGTGAGACGATAACAAAATTAAGCTCTGCTAGAAAGATCAACTCATACATGTTTTCTTCTCAAATTTATTTAAACCTTTAATTTAATTAAGAAATAGCAACAACACAAAATTAACATTCAGCTGGCTGTGTCAGCTTTCTCAAAAATTTTAAAGCTTCATTGAAGTCTGCAGGCTAAGTTCTTAATAAAGGCTGTATCTCATATTTGACTTAGTTAAATCTTGTAGCTTGCTCCTCCAGAGTGGCGTGAAGGAGTGTTCACATCATACGGCAAGTGGATGGATGGATGGGAAACAAGGCGTAAGAGAATTCCTGGGCATGACTGGTGTATAATAAAACTTGGGATACCTGGAGTAATCCACGGACTTGATATTGATACATCATACTTCACAGGCAACTATCCTCCTAAAGCTTCTATTCAAGCTGCCTGCCTTGAAAATGGTAAGAGTATTTGGACTAAACATCTCCAGCACTTTGTGAAGATGCCATGTAACAGCTTGAGGGTTTGAAACTAATACCTCTCCATTGCTCATGGTCTAAATATATAAGAAGAATATTCTGCTTTTGTGATAACGTCTCCAAATATTTAGACTTTAACGTCTTTCAAATAGGACTCACAATAATCTTTGTGCTATCTCTAGCATCAACGTCTTTACTGTAAAGTACAGGTTAGTTAGTTTTAGAACTGTTGCTGCTGGCTTGTTCTTGGGGCTTTCTAAGGGGTTTATTCTATAGCTAAGGTTCCCTTGTCCAGCAAAACTTGTTTTAACAGTGAGCTCAACCATCGCAAATCAGGTTATGTCCAAATCAAGTTAAAGCAAAATTTGTCTTGTTGAATTGGAGGGGCACATGAATGAGTAAAATTTTTTAGGAATATCTTGGATTTCTTGAAGCTGAACTTTTGATGTACCTCTAAAATACCATACCGTGTCCTTTGATAGATACAATTCAAGTAGATGCTGTAAGTTGAAGCTTACCTATCATTTCAGTTTGAATTTTTATTTGATTTAACATCAGATTCAGTGATATTCCCACAACGAAAGAGTATGATGGGAAGTGCAGCTTGTGCTGACTGGGTAAGAAAAGTAGCCCAACTCACACAGGTATGTAAAGAATCATTATCTGTAAACTTTGACTCCTACTTTTAGTTTATAGGCGAAGAAGAATGCACTATTTGGATGGTAAGAGAATTACATGTACAAGAGATCTCAATTAACACGCACTTCATCAGTTTTCATGTTTTTCAGAATTTCGACATCTTAGGACAAAAGTTGGCTGGTATTTTTAACAAATACTTAGTTAATGCTATCAAAATTTCAAAGAAAGGTAATTATTAGAAAATAACCATAAAATGTTTTCACTCAAGATCTTCAGTAGAACTGCTTTCCAAAAGTATCAAGATCCTAACCATCATTTGATCAACAGCACTCTTCACTTTCCCACACATAATTTGAGTAATTGACAGAGTCAATTTCTGTGTACCCCTAAATTCCATAAAAATTTAAAGGGTAAGAGGCCTAGAGCAATTTTTTGTCATATGTTGTTATGTTATAGCCCAGCATTGATCCCTTTGTGTGACTGCTTTAGTTTGACCAAGTGATTACACTGTTCCCACTGATGATTTTGCTTCTCCATTTGTTCAGAGGTACTTCACACTCTCCAAGATATTTTATACCATCTGGCAATGAATTTTGCATGAATTTAAATTTTGATCGAATACCACTCTCACACCATGTCAACTGAACCTTAGGTCTAGTCACTTAACAGTATTGATTGACACATAACATTCAAGGTGCTGCTATTAAGGAACCATTAGGAAATGCAGTTTGAGTTGAACAACATCTTATAAAAATACCCCCCCTTCCCCTCCCCAATTGAAGTTGCACATTCCTAGACAGTGAAGTGTATTGTTGAATCTCTCAATGTCACAGTCTCAGTGACGTCGAGAGATTTATTTACATTTCAAAGGGTATTGTCTGAAGTGCCAATTCCCATATAGCTGGTCTTTGACCTTTTTTGCAGCATGAGCACTACTTCCAGGCCAATAAGACACCATGGCACTTTGTCTTTACCTTCAAATTGCAAAGTCTATTTAGCATGGTTGCATGGCCTGGTGTATGTGGTACCCCAAACCCTTTCCATTTTGGCATCTAGTACTGCATGCTTATCATGCATGTCTACCAGATGTTTTGAGCAGCTACTGTTGCATTGTCTCTAACCTGCTATCCAGCTAGATATTTTTCGGGTCCCTCACTTGACTTGTTCATATTTTTCTGTTACATACTAGCTATTTGCTTTTAACATTACATATAATCTTGACGGAGTGGTTCTTAGGGGGTTTGATCAGTCTACACTACAGATAATTCTCCCTAGAATGTTTATTAGAAATTTCAAGGAGTTCACCTTGAACTTGATCACAGTATTTTCTTGACTGGTGTTGCAATTCAAAAACCTTCTCAAGATTGAAATCTGATGTGAGGTTGCAGTATGGAATGTTCCAGAACTGAATCATGATGGCTGGTTGCCCTTGGTTGTTTATTATTAATGTCATACAGTGTGTATAATCTATTCCTCCTAGTGTTTCATTCATCATTTTTGGTCCTTGTCATTGCACAGGACTGGCAGTTTAGTTTCATTTTGACAACCATACTTTGAGTCAATGCTATCACCTCAAATAAACATGTACCATAAATCTGGATTACGGTATTCGGTCTCCATTTCATAGCCATAATCCTTGGAAGGAGGGCAGCAAATTGTTTGACAAGCAAAACTCTATGAGCCATAAGGGAGGAGTGACCCTAAAAGCCAGAATGGTAGAATGGTGGAAAATGATCCCAAATCCTAAAACATGGAACGGCAGAAAATGACCCCAAATCCTAAAACATGGAACGGTGTAAAATGATCCCAAATCCTAAAACACAGAACGGATGTCATGTTTTTTGTTTTTTGTTTTTTTTTTTTTAATTTTAATTTTTTTGTTTTGTTTTGTTATTTTTTTTTTAAAATCTTCTAAAACTGTGGCCCCCAAAATATTTTTCTCACCTTGTGAAAAAAAAATTTTCAAATTTTTCACAACTTCGCCTGCTCCTGTTCGTATGTTTGGTTGAGCCTTTATGGTCACTGGCCCCTGTATAGCCTCTAACTATGGCTTATAAATACAGGCATTTAGTTTCAACTTGTAAAACTCCCTGAAGAAGTCTACAACAGCTAGATGAGATGCGTCTGAGAGTAAAGAAGTTTTGTAACTACAATTTGCAAAGTGTTCCTCATTAGTTCAGTTTTAAAAAATTGTTTAAAAAAATTGTGAAAGAAATTGGTCCAGACAATTTCTGAGCTGCCAAAGGGAATGAAGTTGAAAAACAAATATTCAATCATTGTTGCAAACAGTTCCATGCACACAGCTTTAAACTTAACTTTATGCTCACTTTTAATCCCATGGAGTATTTTTGCTTCTTTGGGGAAAAGAAGCTTTTTGTTCTCATCTCCACCTAATAGCTTCTTGATTACAACCTTCTCAGAATAGTCCATTTTACAGTTGTGCTTGGTAGCCAAGCCTTTGAACAGGAGTGAGGCTAAGGGTGACCTTGTTATGATACAAACCTTGCTGCTTTTGAAATGCAAATTAAGTTGTTATCATGCTAACTAGATTCTGGTCTCTAACACAGCCAGGTCACCTTCAGCCTCACTCCAAATCAAAGGCTTGGCAACTAAGTACACAACTGTAAAATGGCCTATTGTTTCTTGCCACAAAAACCAAACCATGGGATCCTCGACCGATAGCCTCTTCTTTGTCTTGCAACTGTTCCCGTGCAAATAATGGTAAACCGTGACAATCCAGAGATCCGTCTGAATTATACTTCCCTTTCAGGAAGGGCAATTTAAACGCCCTAGAGTTGACGATTTGTTTTGGACACTTGGTCGAGAAGAAATTCTTCAAATTCCTTTTAATGGCTACCTTCTGCTAACTTTCTTTTGCCTTTTCACCCATTGAGAAATTCCCATGTGCAGGACCCCTCGCAAACCTCTCTTCACCTAGTATTACTCAATGCCTAAAACTTATTTGTGGATGAAGAAACATTCGTATTGAAGGACTCATTACTCGCATGCTAGTCTAAGTTTGGAGCTGGGGCTGAACGTTGTTATCTTTTGAGAAGCCTGAAAACGCTGTTACGTTCTCACATTTACAAGCATATGTATATTGTTGTTTCATTAAATCAATGCAGACGTGACCAGGAAACATATCAAAGTTACAATTGTTTATTGTAATGTGGTATGTCAAGTTGGTTTTCACATTTTGTGTGACTTTTTATGCTGCAACTAAAACTCTTGGTAAATTTAGCATAACAAAAGGTAATTAAACAGGTTTACAACATGAAAATGTAGCCATCTTTTTGTGCATAATGGTTCATTATTATTCATACCTTTCAGTAAAGGAAAAGAAATTAATAACACTTGATTTTAGTCACACATGTTATCGTCGTGGGGATGAATATGCTAAGCGCTTGAGTGCCTTTGTACAAACAGTTTGCGCAACATGACATCCTTTCCGCGTTTTAGGATTTGGGGTTATTTTCCACCATTCCGTATTTAAGGATATGGGGTCATTTTCCACTGTTCTGTGTTTTAGGATTTGGGGTCATTTTTCACCACTCCATGTTTTAGGATTTGGGGTCATTTTCTGCCATTCTGTTCTTCCATTGTTCCAGCTTTTAGGGTCACCCATAAGGGAGACTGTAGTCTCTGTAATTATGCTCCCTATCCTAGGTGTACTATGTCTATTGCTACAGACAATGTGATTGTGGGGGCTTCTACATGTGGCTTCAGATGAGCTTTGCTATTCGGGGTGTCTGGAAAGTGGCTCCTTCAGATTTAACACTTAACTCACAGGTCACCGTTGTAACTGTTTCATTGAATTATTACCAGTGCAGGAACTTCATGGATTTCTCTATTACTCACAGAGTCAAATGATACTATAGCTCTCAGATACTGTTTTAAATGATACAGGCCTCTTAAATGTTGGGTCTGTTTAGGTTTCAATGTATCAAATGTGAAATACCCAAGATGTTTCAAAATATCTAATCACACTCATGTGAACATTCAAGTACAACAATTATGAGTTCTTTTAGGATCAGGTATTTGAATGGATTATTTTGTTACTCCTTTTAATGTGTGCCCTTAAAAGTGTCACTTCGAAATATCTGTTAGCCCTTTATCTCCTATGACTGACCAAGACAGAATTTCTCCTTACTTTAGCTGTACAAGTGATGAGAATAAAGAAAAATATCAATGATGGGATAAATAATTGATCCAATACCAAATTCTCCATACTAACATAATGAGAATCATTTGACAGACAGGGGAATTACTAATGCAATGTTGGGAGTTAAAGGGTTAAATGTGATGTGACATTTATATTGATAAACTAATGAACTCACACATCAGCCACAACATTTTGGTGCACAACTGAGTGTGTGGTTTGTTTTATTCTCTGACGCAGGAATGGACATATATTTTACCAATGACAAAGCTACAACCAGGTTACCCTTCGACAGCTCATAACTTTTTCAACATCAACAACTCCCAAAGGTGGACTCATCTCAGACTTAATATCTATCCAGGTAAGTTAATGTGAGCAACTTGTAGGATTTCCAGTCCTTTGCTGATTAAAACTACAGAAAAATTTGAACAGCGTGCTCAAGGCTGTCTATGGCTTCACTCCATCAGGAACATCTCCCCTCCTTGTTGCAAACAGGAATAACCTGATCACTGACAAAGAGGAGTTTGTAGAGGGCTGGGCTGAACACTTCATAGCATATAATAGTGTTCTCGACAGCCCTTCTCCATAAATGACAAACACTTACTAACCTCCCAACCAAAGCTGAGGTGGAGAAAGCTGTCATATCTGATGTAGACTGTAGAGTATTCTTCACCACCTTTGCCTTTTCTCTGGAGCTTAGTGATACTATAAATTATTGAGAAGTTGAAATCTGATTTTAAATGCAGTTTGATCTATATTTTACCAGGACAAGTTTGTCATAGTGTAGACAAGTTCATTCTATGCCCTAAGGGTATAAATAATCACAAGTTACTGTTTTGCTTTTTTTTTTATAGATGGTGGGGTTGCACGACTAAGAGTGTATGGAAAAGCAGTCAAGGATTGGAATCACTTGGACAAAAACAAGGTTAAATTTTTACTACTTTGAAAATAGTGACATCCTACAGTTCTTTTATACGTTAATATTGTAAACTCAGACTTAAAATCAATAAATTTTAAAACCTTCCACCCTTCTCTTAGTACTGGCAAGTGGAGGCTGGGAGGAAATATCTATCACTACAGTACTACCTACTTATTTATTGCCCTGGGTCCATGTGTTGTGACCTAGAGCCAAACTCATTCCATAAGCAGTTAATCATATGAGCACTAATTTTGGAAAATTTTGGAATTTTATTTCAACCAAAATGGAATTTACTTACATTCAAAAGAAGGGTACACCCAGGGCAACAACTAAAAATATTCTGCAGTTAAAATATCTTTCTTTTTTTCTTCGAGTCAAAACAAGAAATTCTTCATTCAAGGAGAGGCCCAACTCATTTTCTCATGCATGTTATTTGAAGTTAAAGCCCACAATTTCAATCCACTTCCTTGGAAAATCCAAAAGAGCTGTGTGGGTGCAGGGCCGGAGGAGACACAAAGAAGACACAAACTAAAGTCAAATACACATTGGTCAATGTTGATGTAGCCATGATAGGAAGATAGAACAAAACATTCACAAATATTACCACTGCCAACTGTAAACCTCAGTGCACCTTGTGTGATGGTTAAGCAGGATAAACACATTTTTGCCATACAGGTGCCTGTTGACCTGGCTGCTATGGAGAATGGTGGAATGGTTGTAGGTTGGAGTGACATGCACTTTGGGCACCCTCGCAATCTTATTGCTCCTGGGTTAGCAGCTAATATGGGTGAAGGCTGGGAGACGGCTCGCAGGGTAAGAATTTGTTTGGTTGGAACCTCTCTATAGCAGCCCTCCTTTTTTAAATAGTCCACATTGTTCCCTTTGGTGGATGAAGCAATGCACAAAATTAATTCTAAATGATTTGAAGTTCTCATCAAGGAGTTTATCTTAAAATTCTCTTATGCTTAAATTTTAAAGTGGAAAGACAATGTCAACTTAGAAAGTTCAGAGCTTTCAAGTTAATGAAATCCATTCACCAGGAATCATAATTATTCATCAACAACAATTGCCCTCATTGATTACACCTTATAATTTAGTACAGCTAAATATATGGTGCCTTAGCCTGGCGTAAGGCCTGAGGTGGAAATTTCCCTTTACATAGATAATGCGGTGGAGATTTTGCAAACTACACCACACAAATTTTTCATTTCTCACTTTCGGTAGTTCTTGTATGGTTATTATTATTTGGTAGGTTGCAAACCCAAACCCCACTTGCAGTGAACTGACTGATCCATTCTTCTGGCCTGTGGAGTTTTCCACAGGGATTGTTTTTTCTCAAGTTACAGACTTCCATTTTGCAAATTACAAATTTCTATTTTGCAAATCATTAGCGGTTTTCTATTTCGCAAATCATCAACAGGTTTCTATTTCACAAATCATCAACAGGTTTCAATTTCACAAATTACAGATTTCTACTTTGGGAATTACAGATGTCAATGAGAATTGTTTTCTCATACCATAATGTGGTAAGAACAACAGTTACACCCTGGCTTGGTACTCTTGTGTCCCTGATTTGTTCTTTCTGCATTTTTTTGACATATAAAATGTGAAATTGCACACAGAAAAATAGAATCTGGTGATTATCAATGCAAAATGGCGAGAGTGATCATGGCACTGATCATAGCATTATGTCTCATAACAATTAACTAGTAAATGGTTTTTTGTAGCTTGATCGTCCTAGTATAATTGAGGTAGGAGAAGATGGATGCTTAAAAGTACCAGGTTAGTCAATTGAAACTTTTTAATAAGATCCCTGTACTTGTGACCTCTGCAGTTAACTTTGAAAAAAAGGAATGAAAATAGATATAAATAAACTTGACATAAATTATTTGATGCATGATGTTTAGATTTTTAATTATTATAGCTCTGAGAGCAAAATGTTGTCATTACCCTCTGCTGTAAGAGTTCTCTACAAACATCTTTTATCACCAGCTGTGATCACAAAGCACATATGCAAAGTTGTAGAAAAAGGAGGATTCTGGTGCATTTTGAAAACAATCTTGACTTTTAAGGCATTTCATGAAATTTAACCTTGATTTCAAGGCAACTTGAATTTTTCACAGGTGAATAATATTCACAATGTCTCACTCATGAGTTCTGAATATTATCATCTTTAGTAGTCTGAATATTATCATCTTGAGTGGTCATCTTGAACGATTCTCTTGAAAGATTCTCTTGAATGCTTCTCTTATTGCACCATCGGGGTGTGGATTGTTTGTATGAATAATTCATGCCTTTGCTTCAATTCATCATACATGATATGCGTGAATTTCACAACATCATCTGAAATTCAAGTCTTTGCACATGCAAGCATGCTTCATGGTTTCATTCAACAGGATGGGCATCAATTTTGTATCTTCTTATGAAGAAGTTGTACATGTGGTGTGCCTTGATTTGTTCTTTTGTCATAAGCTTGTCTCTGTAAATGAGAAAAGTATGACAGTCTCAGTTTAAACCTTCATGAAAATAATTCGCTCTTTTCGTCGATCTCAGGAGTACAAGAGACAATGATCTTCATGGAAATGGATTGAGATTGGTGGATATAGAAGAAGGAGTTCAGCTCGCAATTAACAGGAAAGCATTAGGCTCAGGGAATGTTAATTTTTTTTTTTTTTTTAACATTTTTTTTTATTTTCACTTAAAGCACAAACTAACGCTTACGCTACTCACTAACACTAATTACGAAATACTGCGTTACATTACATTCACGGTCGGCTAGATTTAATTTATGTAGTGGGAATGGGAATGTTAAATGTCACATTTTAATCCTCTCAGATGCTGAGCTCAACATCATTAACCATGGGCTTGAAAGCATGACTTATTAATGAGACAACTTCTTGTATACAAAGACACTGTTTTGACAGAAGAACAAATCAAGGTACACCACAACTTCCTTGGATGAGGATACAACAGTGATATTTGAAAATCTTCATGCAAACAATGAACATGCTGATGGCCAAACAAGAGAATATTTCAAGAGAATTGCTCGAGATGATCTTTCAAGATGATAACATTCACATCCTCTTCAGAACTCACGAGTTAGACATTGTGAATATTATTTACATGTGAAAAATTCAAGGTGCCTTAAAATCAAGGTTGTCTCCAAAATGCATAGGAAATGTTTTTTGAAGTTAAGGTTAAATTTCATGAGTTGCTGTAAAAATCAAGGTTGTTTTCAAAATGCACCAGAACCCCCTTTTTTCTACTACTTGCATTTCTACAACTTGCAACTTAGCTCCATACTTCAGAAAATTTGTCAATCAATCAAGCCAAGAAATCAAGTGACTATACAATAGTCAATGCTCACCATACTTACATGATGTTACTTTTAAAGCAAGCAACCTGTTACATTGCTGGCACAGGTTTTTGCATTGCATGTGTGGTGATGATGTTGGAGTAGGTAATGTCTATGTATGCATCCATCTGTGACTAGGACATCTAATTTCCATTGGCAAGGAAACATAAAATAAATGTGATATGTGCAATCTAGTGAAGTGAACATACTTGAGAGCAGTGCAATGGCAAGGTGTATTATGGGGAATTACGGTCAACTCGCCGACGGACCAACTCGCCGACGTATAAAATCAAGTAGAGACATCGGCGAGTTGGTCCTCAATCCAGATGTTCACCAATGTTCACCAGTGTTTTTTTACTAAATATCGTTTACTTTTCTGTATGTTTAACTTTTAATAAGTTGTATTGGATGGACGACCAACTCGCCGACGTCTCTACTCGATTTTATACGTCGGCAAGTTGGCGTTGGCGAATTAGTCCGTCGGCGAGTTGACTGGTTACCATTATGGGCACCAGATTGATCATTGCACATGTGCTTTGTATAGGCAAGTAGATGCGAAAAAGATGTATGTGAGAAGTTGATTAACAATTCAGGTTTTTGGCTTGAAATCACATTCTATGTCACAGTTGAAAACACTTTTTGTGTATTTTAAAATTTCCACCGAGCATGCCCAGCATATTTATTGACAGCTACTAGCTGTGTCAAATGGAAATAACGACTCAAAGTCAATATTGAGGAGACGATGTTAACTTAATAGTCAGAAATGAGGTAGAAAGATACGGAACAAAAATTAAGAGGCAAGGAGAAAGTTGGGAGTAGCTCAAAAGCAATTTAAAAAGGCTTGCTTGCACATGTAGAGATATAACAAAGAGCAAGCAATACCACAGCTGAAGTCAGGAACATCTGTGGTAGAGAAGAATACAAAAGAGAGCAGGAAAAAATAATGGGGTTGGAAGGCAAAGATCTAGTTAAAAGGGACTTGAAAAGAAAAGTCAAAGGGCTTGTGATACCACACAAAATAGATTTCATGCAGTAACAAAAAAATCAAAAGGTGAAAAAGTCCAGAGAAAAATGATGAAGATCTGGTAAAGAAAAGCATGAAAAAAAGAAGAAACAGGGGTCATGAAGGCAGATGGAAAAGAAATGAAGAGCAGAAAATTCATGGGAAGGAGAGGTCAAAAGGAAAAGTTGAAGATGTGATTATTTTTCATCTAGAACAGGAAAGTGAAAAATCAGCTCCTCCAATTACAAATCAATACAATTTTGCAAGAGATGTCAGAGCTATGTTTGTATTTTGAAACAGAATCCTTGCAATAATGTTATTTGTTCTGACCTCTAGGTTAGAATATGAAAAGTTGTCCTTGATGTTATCCTATTACAAAAATGGAGCAGTTCTTTTATAGGATCAGCTTAAAAATTCATGAATTATCTCAGATTTAAAAACAAGAAAAAAAGTGATGGAAGGGAGAAAAAGATCATAAAACTCTAGAAGGAAGTCTTACATAGTGCTACCTAATTTCCTCTGGCTTTTCAGATTTTTCATAATAAGAAGAATGATGAATTTTTATATAGTGCTTTTTATATAAAATATTCAAAAGCACTTTTTATCTGAAATTTTCAAAAGGGCTTTACAATTTGAAGAAAATTAAAATATTTAAATTTAAAATCTAAAATACCATTAAATATCATGCTTTTTTGATGGGCATGTCTTCAACTGTTTCTTAGAAGTAACATAGTTATGAGGCATTGTAATCAACTTTGCAAGCTACTATTCCACTTAGATGGACCAGTGAGGCAAAGGCTTGATCACCTAAACTCTTGCAACTCACATAAGACACCTCTAACACAGCAGGTTCATTGGACTGCAGAGAACTTCTGAAAGATCCCCTTTCCTTGCATGTGATGACAGATGCAACATGGTGCTATACCAACAAAAGTTTTTAAAGCAGATAATAATACTTTGAACTTGATTGGAAACTGTACCAATGAAGTCAATGAAGGTCTTTGAGGTAGAAATAATATGAGATATGAGGGTGAGATGTGTTAGGATGTGATTTCTTAGTTGTTTGGTTTTGTGGAGACCCTTAAAAGCTTTGCAGCAATTGTTCCCTTTATGACAATCCTTTGTCATGCTTTAGTCAAACCAAGAACCTGAATTTCTGGCACTTTTTACTGGCTCAACAATTGAGTCTCCAACTATGTTAAAGTTGGTCAATATTTATTGTGGACAGCTGACCACAGGTACCAAAAATCAAGAATTCAGCTCAATAGAGTCATTTATTATGAGATGATAAGAGACCATCCATTATCAGTAATACTAAGCTAGCTGTGATTCTGATTTAAATAAGGAGTAGATCTGAGTGTTGTCTACAAAGGCATGCACAGGTGGAAATAATGTTTTCTTATGAGCAGAGGAGAAAAAAAAGAACGGGACCCAGACAGGTTCTTTGAGGCACTCTACAGGATAAGTTGACTCATTTGACAGAGGGCATGTTTTCGAAAATGATTAGTAAGACTGCAACCATTTAAGAGCAGTATCTGTTATACCAAAGTCATTTTCTAAGGTATTCAGTCACAAGGAGTGGGTCAACCACATCAAAGGGGGCATTAAAATTCAAGCTTTAGGTTGTAGTGTTTTTACAAATACCGAAATCCATTCCACGAAAGAGAACATCAATGTAAACAATTACTCACAAAATATGTGAATTTTGCAGAATGGGAATCTGTTAGAGTGAGGATCCACCTATAGCTAATGTAGCCTGGAATTGGCAGGTGCCCTCCTCTTTCAATTTATGTTTTTTATTTTGACTGTGCGTCCTCTCCTTTAAATTCACAATTAAATTTACATTAGTATTGTTTTTTCCCAAAGTATAAAAAATGAATGACACTTGTTTGTAAGTTGCCTTATGCAAACATAAACACTCACATTAATCAGGCCTACTAAAAATGTATTGCTGATTAATCATCAATACCATAAACACATTTATATCATTCAATAACAGGTTGTGAATGGGCAGTTATTCAGTTAGGACATCAAGGAATTTTGAAAAAGGTAGGATTTTTTTAATTATACTGGAAGGGCATATAAAATACAATAAAGAATTCAGTTATTGTCTTCTAGCTAGAGGAAAGTAAAGTTGCAGAAAATTAAATTTTTGTGCTTTCTTATTTCTTTTGTTTGTTTGTTTGTTTGTTTTTGTAGATTGAAATTGACACCAATCACTTTAAAGGCAATTTTCCCCATTCCTGTGTAATGGAAGGTAAAATTAACTAAATGGTGATGATGGATCCATGACAGGGATATTAACTATTTCAATATTGATAATATTATTGATCCTGATAAGATCAAAACTATAACAAAATACTGGAAGGTGATTGTTTCTCACCAGCCCAATTTGAGCACCATTTAGACAGTGTTTGCATCATGCTTGTAATTGTTCAGTGTTACAGGACAGTATACACATGCCTGTGTAATTGGACATGCTGTATGTGCACACTATTGTCTTGCCTTTCACCAAGTGAACAATTTTTTTTTAATGAAAACATATAACTGATGGCTGGTTTGTTTTTGAAATTCTATCATTATGATGGGTTTTGATGGATTGGTGGTAGGATTTTGTGTTGTCCAGTTCTGTCTGTAATGGTACTTGTAATAAACAAATTGGACTCTCAGCATGTCTTTTGATTTTGTTCATCACTAGAATGATTACAGACCAAATTGGATATACCATAAAAAATAAGAGTCTCAATAATAACAGTGGTAATCATGATAACAAATCTAGGATGTGAATATGAGTGATCTTCACAATAATGAACAAAACTTAAGCAGTAGTGAAAATGAGGGCGTATCATCTCATAGAGGCCTAAATTTTTCATGCCTTATTTTAGCTACTGCTTAAGTAGCTTTCATCACTGCAAATATCTCTTTCATATTCATTTCTTAACCTAAAGTTCACTTACATGATTTTCATATATTTAAAGTCATTTAAGACTAGGATGCTTGGTGAAGGGTGACACTGGAGGATGTGGGGTTTGATTCTAAAGGGGGGACTCAGATTTCTTTTGCCCAAACCTGTCACAAGACAAACAATATCTTTGTTTGGGGACTGCACTAAGTGTTTGCCATAATTCTTACTCTATTCATTCACAATTGCAGCATTGCTGATGGTAATAATTATGCAGGATGCATGTAATATCTATACCTACCTTGTAGTGATGACCTACTGCATGTAGCTCACCAAATAATTCTCAGTAACTCATTGCAAGATCAGCCTAAAGTCTGAAAGTCTGGGGATTGGCTCCTGGTGGGGAACTCTGAGGGAGGGGGGGGGTGCATATTGATGAGTTTCCAAACACTACTGTACACTGTAAATTATACTGGTATCATTAATGTTGTCAGTGACAGCGAGTATTCCATAAACAATTTATAAGGGAATCATCATACCCAAGATGATAAAAAAGCAATGTACAACAACAGGATAATATAGAATGTTACAGGTTAGAAAATCATAGACCCTGAACAAAATCATACTGAACACCTTATAACAGCTATTGGAGGTTGTCCTTAAATTTCTGATTAGTTTCCCTAATTTTTTGCAGCCGGTAGTTTCTTTGATAAGTTTGGTATTGTTTATAATGATTATTGTCATTATTTCTATTGTTGCTGTTGTTATTATTATTATTGTTATTATTCTTGGTAGGAGTCTTTGTGCCATACCTTAAAAGATTAGATGCTTCCACTGATGACTGGTCATCACTAAAATGGAAAACAATTTTACCCACTTCCAAGGTGCTCTATTCCTTTTTTAAGTTATGCCATACCACATCCTTTTTGTTTTTCTAATTAATTTCTAAACATGTTATGAAGCAAAACAGCTGCACAAAAGGCTTTCAGAATTTTTTAAGTAATAAGCTTGATTGAGGTTATGTCACAAACAGGATGGTTCCCTGAACCACCCACCTGATCTGATTGTGGAGGCCATAGGAAAAAGAGGAAAATACCTCAAGATCAAAACAAATAAATCGGTAGACCTCTATATTTTTACGGTGGAAAAGTCCTTTTTTAATAAGAAAAAAGGAAACAGTTTGCTGTTTTGTAAGAGAAATCTTACAAGGGCTAAACCCTAAAAATTCGCGATCTTTTATCTTAAGCTAAAACGATGAGTGTTGCCTATTCCTACTTGCTTTTCTTCCAATGAGAATGGGGCGGAAGGTTTTTAAAAGATGCTGAGGCAATATCTTACATTTTGAGGATCTCTCCCTGGACATGTTTGATTTATTTATTTATTTATTTATTTATTTACCTTACCTCAAGCACGTTGAATTACAACAAAGCACCGCTACAGCGCTCGGAATTGGCTCCTTCACTTTGCAAAACCTGTTAATTTACTCTTATCATGATGAAGTTTGCTCGCGCGGTATTTCTTGCTTGACACGCGTGTGTTCAGAGGTTTTTTGTGTCTTTGGTAGTTTTCCTTGTCGTGGAGTCCACCCCAGTTCGTGGAATTCTTTGGAGTACCCTTAAAGCCTGTGAAAGGAAGCCTCCTCGGGTGGTGCATTACTTTATTATTTTTAAAGGGATTGACCTTTTAAGATTTTGTAGTGAACTTACTTTTATTATATATTGATAAATACATTTCCTATTTTTCAGTTGTCTCCACACAAGGGTCACTTCTTCTCCAAGCTTGAAGAATGTGGTGTCGTTTCACATGTACGGCTAACTATTTATCCAGACGGAGGTATCAGTCGTCTGAGATGTTGGGGTTTGCCTGACCTTTCCAGCAAGTCAAGCTTGTGATTCGTCCTTAAACTTTGACTTTCCCATTTCCCATTCCCATTTCCCATTCCCATTTCCCTTTCCATTTCCCATTGGCGCGCTCTGCCACCGAACTATAAGGTCCATGGAGACAAACTTCCTGCATATTGCTAGGAAGTGGAATGTCGATATGTTATGTTTATGTGCAACGATGATGCAAATGACGATTGAAAATTATAATCAAGTTGATGTAAGTGAAGAAAGATGTTATTGAGCTCACGCTCCGAACCAGTTGTCCTTCATGTTTTTTCCCGTAAGGATTAGCGCACCCATGGCATACCGGTACTATTCGAAAACATGTGCGGCAACATAGCTGTTGCAAGTACATGTCTTAAAGCCAAATACGAAGCTGTTTCATTGAACAGTTTGGTTGTCAGAACCGATGTTCACACGGTCAGATTTTTTACACTTTTGAAAATTATCACAAGAATCTGAAGTATATTTCTTAGGGCTAGGACAATAAAATTTCCTATTTCACTTTAGAAATTGTTTTAATGGTTCTTCACGGCATACGAAAGACAATACGAAAAACGGCCCGAAAAGTTTCTCCTGTGCCTCAGCAATACCCTTCTACGGTAAGTTTCCTTAGTGGTAGGGAAATTAAACTAAAATTGCAGGAGAGCTCAACGTAACAAACAGGGCACAAGGAAAACTGTAAGCGTGCAAGATAACATAACAATCGGGCAATAACGAAATTTAAGAAAGTGCAAAAAAACTGACGTAACGTTCGGCGACAAAAATGAAAAGTAAAAGTATACAAGAGTAGAGATACTAACGTAACAATCAAGAAACAAGGAAAGCTAAAAGTGTATGAAACACTAGCGTAACAATTGGGAAACCAACGAAACTTTAAAAAATGAGAAGTACTAAGGTGAAGATAGGAAAACAAGGAAACTGAAAGTCTGAGACATACTAACAAAACAAACAAGAGTTCAAGGAAAACTAAAAAAGCGCGAGAGACCAACGTAACGGGAAAACTTAAGGTGCAAGTGATACCCAAAATAACAGTCCGACACAGCAAAAATGAAAGTGTGCGATATACAGAGGTAAGAATTCGGCAACCAGAAAAACAAAAAGCCTACGAAACAGTAAATTAACATGCAGGAAACAAGGAAAACTAGAAGTGCAGGACATACTTACGTCACAATCCAACACAAAGGAAAGCGAAAAACTCACGAAATATTAACGCAATAATAAGAAAAAAAGATCAATAAAAGTGTACAAACAACAATCGAATAACAAAGATTCTTCGTTCTTTGCTGGATAAATTGGGTAGTCTTTTGGATAATTTGATGCATCAAACTTTAAATCTAGATCTTCAGAGATATCAGTACAAAAGTCGTCGGTCAGTGATCTCGTACATCAGTGAGTCAGAGTCTAAACAATAGTCTCACTCCCTCACCATACTTCATCTTAGTGTAATTATAATGAAAATCATACATCAAAGTCTTGCTCAAGTCGAGGACAGTCATATGTAGGTAGACTGGCTTGTCGAAATACAGGTAATTCTTCTGCATGTGATCTGTTATCAGATTCTCATCGGAGATTGTGATGTGTTTGCAGTTGACTTTTGAAGAAAGCTTAACTTCCGTGTTACTGTCGCCGGCCTATCTTATATCATTCACCCTGTTTCTTGTATTCTCCATTGTCTTCTCTAAGACGGAATTTTTCATCAGCTTGAAGAAGTATTTTTCAAATTCTGATTTGGCTGTAGTCCTAAGTTTGGTGTTCAAGTCGATGTACGTTTTCAGCCACGCATACTGTTAAAACTTGATCCTTTGCTGAATCGTTTTCAAATTCATTGTAGTGAAGCACATAATTCTCTATATAATGCTAGTTCGGGATGAGCTTTTCAACCTTATTAACAATCAGTCTCTCAGGAGCTAGTGGATAGTCATTATGAAGGTCGTGAATATGACCTGGATATTCAAGATCGACCTCAAGAATGCATTCAACGTCTGAATCAGGATTTGCAAAGTCCTACACTTCTCAAGTTCCGAAGCATCCAGATATGGGATCAAAGTGCTTCCTCCCCCACCCCTTCAGGGTTGAAGTCTCTCATACACTTATTGTCTCTTTGAAATCATTCAAAATTCCTCCTCTGATTCCATTCTCAATAATCAAAAGCATTTCTGGGTCTACTAGAAGATCGAAAGTGATGCCCTTCTTCTTAAAGGCTGCGTTCCAAGCCAAACCAGGTGCTGTGAAATAACATGCACGATCAAGCCAGAAGTTTCTCATGCAAACCTTTCTGAAGTTCTGAAAAACGTCTGCGAGTATCAGAACATCCGCCTTGAGATACAGATCGTGATAGCCTGCCATCGTTTTGCATCCAAACTTCTTCCAAACCTCTTAAGTGTGTTCGTAGTCTCCATCTTTGATACGCTCATTACTAAGCCTTGAAAAGCATGCTTCCTTTGACGGCAGCTTCGTGTCTTTCATTTTTACAAGTGAATCAAAGTAGTCATATTGGGATGATCCCTTGTTGTTTGGAAGATTTTAAGAAAAATCAGCTAGAGATAACAGCATGCATGTAAGGCTATTATGTAAGGCTATTGATGAATCTCAAGTCAAACTTTACATCTACTTTCTTTTCTTTTCTTTTTCGTATCCTTTGACATCTTTTGCGATGACAATAAATGAATCACTGATGATCTTTTTTCGTGAATGATATGTATGTTTCTTCAGTGCTAGCGATGTAGAAGATACCTTCATCATTTCCATCTGAAGACCTCCTGATGAACAAGTGAGCATCATAACCTGAGAGGTTGTGGAAGATGACAGAAATCTTCCACGGCTTGTTGAATTTCAAATAACAACTGTTGTAAGCAGTTCCTCTAGACTTTCCTGAGGAATGGCAATGGTCCCTAACTTTCCGATCTTCATCATTGAACCCTTTGTCACATATGTGGCATATTACAGCGTTCTCGAAATTACTGATATTTACTTCTGCCGTGATCATCTATGCTGGATACCTGTAATGCTTTTCATAAATGTCCTTAACGCATCTCTCGAGATCGTTGATGAATTCTTTTGCACGATCTTGAACCTTCGTCTTTTATGATTTACGATTGGCTTCATATGTTGCTTCTTTCGTATGTTAACTCTCACAAAGTGGAGGCGGTACTCTGAAGGCTCGTGCTACTGATATTCATTTGTGAAACTCTTTTCTAGGTTGCTTTCGTACAAAATATCAAAGATCTTGTTAACGATGATTTTAAGGTCATAACTTATGGAGTGTTTAGAGAGAAATATTGCTTATCTGCCTCTTTCCTTGAATTTTATGGAGTGACCTCGGCCATAAGGAGCGCTATAGAGTCTTTGAAATTGGAAACGCCAGATGGAAAGGATCAGGGGTTCTCGGTACAAAAACTGATTGCAGCAACCAAGCCGACTAAATTAGTGTATAAAATTCTAATACAAAAAATTCTACTAGCCCCCAAAAAAGTCAGGAGAAATGGGTAAGGGACTGTAACCTTCAAGTGGTGGAGGATTTGAGCTGGAATCGATTTATTTACTACCAAGGTTTTGTACGCTCAGTACTAAGATAAGGAACTTCCAGTTCAAATTTCTCCAAAGACGTATAGCAACGAATTCCTTTCTATCTAAAAAAGGAATTTCGGTTTGTTCTCTGTTATTTGTGCAAAACAGACACGGAAACATTAATCCATCTTTTCTGGGAATGTCCGGTAACGAAAACCTTTTAGGGAAGGGTTCATCGTTTTTTCGTTTCAATTCATTTGATACCAGCCTCATACGTTTTGGATATCTATGAATGTTCAGGTTTTAGAGGAGAGAAAGATGATATTTTAGTAAGCCATTGTTTGCTCCTCGCAAGGGATTATATTTATTGCTATAAATTTAAGAACATATCTCCATCTATCAGAGAGTAATTTATGTGCAACAGCTGAAATATAATTAAGAAATTGAAAAACAAATATCTATCGTGACTCATTCACAGAATAAATTTCAACAAAAGTGGGACAAAATACTTCATTCACTATAATTGCTATATAGTTTGTGGGCGGGCTTCAAATGTGAGCCTGCTCGCAGGCTATATCTTATATCTTTCTGAAAATCAATTTCGCTAAACGTTGTACTTTTGGATTTTTTTTCAAGCTTTTACTCTTATCGATCCCACCCACAATTTAGCCTTTTTGTCTTTCGTAACAACTGTTAATTTTTTTTGAGTAAGTTTCTCTTTTTTGCGTTTGTGTAAATGATGTGCCTCTAAATATGTGTGCAGTATCACATTGTACGTAGTATAAGTAGAACAATGTAAGTACCATAAATATTAATTGTATCTGAAGGGTGCTCTAAGTAAGTAGTGTAACGCAATGTACGTAGAGAGTCCCATGAAAGGAACCTTAATGTAGTTAATGTAAGTATCATGTTGTAAAAAAACAAAAACAAAAACAAATTTTAAAATTAAAAAACAAAAACAAAAAAAGGTTGCTTTCGCAAGTTTCAATCTTCTCTGTGAAGCATTCGAAATCTACATGGCACACGGATGGAACTGGCATCTTGCAGTTGGATTTTGTTAATTCCACTTTTCCATCCTCTTCAGGCATAAGGATGGTAACTGGATCATGTTCTTTTCAGATTTCGATGTTTTTGGATCTTGCTAAAAGGGTACTAAATGAATTCAGACATCTCCTACAGAAGAACACTTGTTTTTCGTGTTTTGAAACTGGAGATGAAAGAAGTCTGCTCATATCCTTGATGAGATAACAATGCTTCTTCTCATTATCATAACCAAGAACATTGACGAAGATTCGTGGGTTTTTGCTTTCGAAAATATCAACATCTCTCAACTTCATTATAAATTCTATACCTTTGAAATCTAACTGATCTACCTTATCTTTCAAGTCCGAAATTCTCTCAGGGTGTGACATAACTGGATTGAGGTGTATGAAAATGCACCATCGAAAGCATTCCTCATCTTCGTTTTTTATTATATCCACAAGATGAATGTCGAATGAAGTAACTCTTTGAAACCTCCAGTTACTCCCATTCTCGTTAAAGTTTCGAATTAGTTCCTAAATTCCAGTTGCGAATATGTTTTGTGTTTTCTGGTTAATAGCTGTATTTAAAATTTGAAAAATCGACCTTAGCATTTAGTGGGTTCTCCTTGACCATTTCTTTGCGCATTGAAAGTACGATTTGGCAGTCAAAAAGTGTCCCCATCTAGGGCGCGGCCAAAACGATCATGTTACATAACTGTGACGTAGAAAACTGTGAAGACATATCGGCAACTATGGTGGAGAAAGGAGACATCAAAAGGAGAGGACGAACTATTGTTTGGTTGAAGCAGCAAATGATGTTAGGTACAAGAGTAATACAGATACACCGGGTATTTCGAATTCTATATACTACTTTCCAAAGGATGTAGCTCTATGGCCAAAATGGACGCGTTTCGATCGACCTCATCGAGAAGATTTTTACTCATTAAAGTTGTCGGCCTTTTGCTCCGTCCCGGCTTCGAAGACTTCGAGCACATACCACTAGTCAAATCAGGGGAAGATGGCCTATAAATTCAGCTAAAAAGGAAAGCCGATTTAAGGCCCTTTTCTCACAACGGACACAATTGTTCAACATTCTGTTCGGCTGACATTGTGTAAGCGAAGAATTATGAGCTTCGTTTTTTTTTAGTATCACGCGCTTGGTGATGTACTCATACTCCTTGTCTTTCCACATGACTACATTTGCGCTTTTCTTATCATATGAAAATCTTACCAATCGTAGTTTCCATCGTATCTGATAAAAGAAATACATCATCTGTATTGAAGGTCAAGCTCTTCCTTGAGCTGGCTGATATCCTATTTCCTGAACAGTGCGAAACCTCTGGCGGATACTGGTATAAATACTATTTCGATGGGGCCTCTGAGTCCGATTCGTTTTGCTTCTGCAGTTCAAGAAAAGTAAAAATTTGAAAACAATTCATATTTCACCGCGACAACTTTTATCACTTTAGTCTCGAACGACAAAAGCTTCATCATCGTCTTGAAATTTTGTATTTAGCTCCATTGACAGCGACAACGATTTCACCATCTTTAATCATCTTGGCAAGTTTGCTAGCACTGTGCTGGAAAACTTGCCAGGACTAGTGCACTCGGGAGAACAGTTTCAGCTGACATATTATTTCATAAAATTAATTATATTAAAACCTCATCGGGAGGCCATTAAAAATCGATGATCTCACCAGTCTCATCAGCCACGAAAATTCTCATGTCTGGGATACAATTTCTCTTGTTCTTTTTCATAGCAATGGACATGGTTACTGCCTCCGAAGGTTTTCCTCCGGTGTCAACACTAAAACGATTGAGGGCTCTCCATTGAAGAAATTGTAGTTTTCAGCACGAATCTTCTCGTGCCCCCAAAGATTTCAATTTGTTCATCTCTCCTCAAATATCATGAGTTATAGAATGAGCAACTCAATAACCTGATGTGTTAAAAACTCCCGGGAGGTTCCTTAAATCAGAAGGACTCTCCTTGAGATGGGAGGAATACAGAAATCAGCTTTCCCAAGCGATCCGACGTTTAGTCAGATAAATAACAATTATGATAACCATCATTCAAAAGAATTGTGCAGAGTTTGGAATTGATCCAAGCACTAATTTCCGTCTCACATAAAGAGATAATAATGGTCTTGGATCCGTTATTGCTTGCATTACGAATGCTGGACCATTAGTAACTTCAGTCACATACCCAGGAGGAGAAAACAAGTTAAAGGTAAAAAAACCATCAAAGGAAATCTGGTTGACTTCTTATGGTAGATAAATTAGAAGGTCTGATACAAGCTGTGATGGCGAGACTGAATCAGTCGACTGAAGCACTAGTCTACTGCATTCTCGGTGTCGATGTCAGAGCATCAATCCTCGGATCATCAGGAATTAGGAATGAGGCCCAGCGTGAGTTCCTCGTGTTAGTTGAAGATGCAATCAGAAAGGTCAAACATTTCAAAAAGTTTTCAGGGTTTTCATAGATTGATGAGGAAAAAGTTGATTCATGCCCTCAAATCTTCCTCTGAAAACCCATTGTATGGCTGAATATAATAACAGGGAAAGAAAGCAACTGCTGACATGAAACTGGGAGTGAATACATCAGTGAACTTGGAGATGAAACTCAGTGGGAGTCGGGCAAATAGATGGAAGACCATCAAAGATCAATACACTGAACTCTCACCCATTAAATCCAATGAAGAGGGGAGGATCAACTTCAACTGTAAAACAGGTGAAGTCACCACTATCCCAACCAAGTGAATCTAATCACGAATTTCTTAAAGTCGGGTTAGTCTCAGTTAATCTAATACCCACTTGTGAATCAAATATAAGGTTTTGACCTCCATAAAGGCCAACAGCAACAACCTTACCCTTGGCATGACCATATTGGGAAGTGTCAATCACACATCTCCCTTTCTATAAACAAGATAGTACTTTGATGCTATGTGGAGTGTTCAAGAAAGTGTCCTAGGACCTTATAGAATGTCAATGTCCGGTTAACAAAAATAAAAGAAACAAACGTTTACTTAATGTCTATCCATGTGCTCAGCGAAATTGAGCACATTGATGTAATACATAGCAACATTTCGTCCGTATCTCCTCTTAATCGTCTTGTATACAATACAAAAATAAATTAGTTAAAACCCACAAAATGTTTCTCATAACATTAATAAATAACTGAATGAAATAATTAATTAAAAATAAGCGGACATGAAAGCTAGGTACAGTTCCTCGTCAAATAAATCAAAATAAAATTTCCGAAATAAGAATGTTTTAAGGGCAGATTTAAAAGATGAAAGAGATGTTGTATTTTTAACAGAATCCGGTAGACTGTTATTTAATATGGGTGTGGAGAAAGAAAAGGCACGTTCACCATATGTCACAGAGTTCACAGTAGGGACAGTGAAAAGTAGTTTAGAGGATGAGCATAGGCTTCGTAGCGGGTGGTATTGTTGTAGGAGGGACGAAAAGTAGGCTGGACAAAGTCAATGAATAATCTTGAAAGTGATGAGCAGAACTTTGAATATATTCCGAGACTCAGCAGGTAGCCAGTGTTGTTCTCGAAGGGCAGGTTTGATATGCTCGTATCGTTTAGTTCCAGTGATTGGACGTGCTGCAGTGTTTTTAATTGTTTGAAGTTTATCCGGGTCCTGTTTTGGGAGACCATAAAGGAAACTATTATAGTAGTCCAGACGTGGTATTACTAGCGCATTAACTAACAGTTTGAGATTTTCCTTCGTGATGTATTTGCGAATGCGACCTATGGACCTGATGGTGTTAGTTGCTTTCTTACACGTCTCGTTTATGTGATATGTCAGTCATAGATTAACACTAAGACTACAAACACTAAGATCACAAACTCTCTCGGGGTATCTGCTACGACTAACCCCTTTCCTGGGATGTGACAGATGGTGAAAGAATACTTCATCCGTTTCATCCTAAATCTCTGTATTCTGGGGAATAGTTCATACAAACTCTTGGAGGCAAATAGTGGAACCAATGGCTTATGGTCTGTTTCAACGAGGATTTATTTTCTAAGGATGTAATCGTTTCACTTTTCAAACGCTCAGGTTGTAGCGAGTGCCTCTTTTTCGATTTGTGCGTACCGCTGTTCCGTACTAGCCATGGATCTTGATGCAAACGCTATTGGTTTCTTGATTCCATTCTCTTCTTGTAGTAAGACTGCGCCGAGTCCGTAAGATGAAGCATCGGTAGACAGTATTGTCTTTTTGGCAGGGTCGTAATATGCGACAACTGAGGTTGAAGTTGGTTCCTGTTTCGACTTCTCAGAGGCACTCTGCTGTGTGAGTACCCATGGAAATTCATTCTTCGAGCAAAGAAGATCTCTTACTGGTTTTGTCTTCTCTGCCAGATGAGGAATAAATTTTCCCAGCTGGTCGACCATATCGTGGAGTCTGCGCACGTCACTCACATTTTGGGAAGGATCCATGTTGCGATAGAATCTGTCTTCTCCGGATCGGACATAATTCCATCTTAGTCAAGAACATACCCAGCAAACTTGACTTCTCTTCTTGAAATGCGCATTTTTCAGCATTGAGAGTTGCTCCAGCACTCTCAAGTTTCTTAAGTACATCTTTGAGTCTTCTGTCATGCTCAGCTTGCGTTTTACCTTGTATAAACATATCGTCAATGGAAGATATTTGTCCCTCTATGCCTTCTAGTATTTGGTTCATCTTCTTCTGGTAGTGTTCCTGGGTGGAATTGTGATGTTGAGTCACCGAATGCAGTTCACCAAGCTAATCTTCTTTTCCTTCCCCATGATAGACTCCTGAGGGGAAGGAAGGTCTATAAGTATACGTTGACAGTTGTCGATATCGCAGTAGATTCAAAGCGGATGGACCGCTGACTTCGAAATATTCTTCTCATGTCGTGAACGGTTCTATTACTGATTAACGTTTTAGCGGACAAAAAGCTCTCTGAATATTATCAAACATTCTGTGTGCCTTAAACTGTGTCAAGTATAATAACTGGACTTTTTGCGATGGCTTCATATGTAGATATTTCAAATACTTGGACGTTTTAATACATAGATATATGTCTAACAGAGAGTTAACTGTACATCTGATTGTCACCAAGTTCCGGTAACAGCCAGTTTGTAATTATAATAGTAGCAGTCAGCTGGACAAAGTTCAGGCCTGTCACTTTCAGCGAAAATAGAATGGAGAGTTTCATGTCCGTCGTTTTTTGCCGTTTCAATCGCTCGATCAATCGCCAAATGCGATCGATCGAAATCGTTAAGAGAAAAACGTGTCCATGTGGCAAAGGAAAGATAACAAGTGCAGAGGATGACTTCGATTTGCAGCGATTTAAACTGAATAAAAAGACTTTGGCGATCGCCAACAAGTCAAGAGCCAAACAATAAAATGAGGGAACGCCGAGTCCTTTACCTTACGTTCAGGTTATAAGGCAAACATTAAAGTTTCTCAAAAACCTTTTCAGACTTTAGGGCATATTTTTGCCAAACCTAAGGATCCTGTCACGAAAGAACAACGAACCGACGCTATTTATTCCATTCTGCAATGATTGTGATCACAAGTACATCGTACAGACCAAACGTCAGTTTGGTACAAGTTTAAAAGAGCATCATTTGCGAAAAGAAAATTCAGCTTAGTCGGAGCACACATGCTTAACCAACCATACAATTAGGTGGGATAAGTCTAAAATTATCACCACTAATCGACGTTACCACCAGCGCCTTTGTTTGGTACTTTCACTAACACTAAAACTCACTGGCGTAAAAACGAAAATGAGTTTTGAACTGCATAAGAAAATAAAAGTAGTGATCACTTGCGACTTATTAATTTTTAATGAGTTAAGTCTCGTTTGGTAATGCGGAAAACACAACAATCACCAAAATGACTTCGGAATTAAAAAACCCTTACCATACCAATTACTTCGCTAAATCAAACACAGAAAATGATAAAAATACTCAACATTACTCAGCTAGGGTGATTCGTGTGAATTGATTTCTTTACATGTACTAATTTGTGATAAAATATTTTATATTCTTCAAAACTTGCTTCCGCACTCTATCTTGAATTCTCAGTTACTTGCTTTTTTGGTGGAATTCGGGTGTATTGAATTCCAAAACATGCATTACTTGGGAATGCAGGATTTGAAATTCTTAAGCCCTTCCTTTCAAAATGTAGAAAAAAATGCTCACCTACTAACAGTTTATTTGAAAAATCCACCTCTTTGTCATTGCAGCTACTAACGGAACATTTATTCCACGATAGTCAAAAAAAGAAAAAAGAAAGGTAGTGAGTACAGTACTTTGAACATTCCTCTTTTCATCTTTAGGGGTACACCACCCTGTACACAGAGTTGTATTTTCATTTGTCATGGCTTATTAGTGACCCGTTCATCCACTTAGCTATCATTACCCCTAATGTTGCTTTTACTGTCACTTTCAAAGATATCAAATGATCCCCGTCAATTAACTGTCCACTGGACTTAATGATGACATGAAGAGGACATGAGGAGGAAAGAAGGTCCGTCCTTTTTACTTCTGAAAAAACACTAAACTCTACTCGTTTCCCCTAACTCCTCCCTCAACGTAGACAACGAATGGTTCCAAAACTTTTTATGAAAAATCCCTTCAACAACCTGTGAAGAGATTTTATATAGTGAAGGGCACTAAAAATTAACTGACTGGAACACCGCTTTTACCCAGTATGTCAAGAGAAACCTGTTATGTCGTCAACCCGCATCTTCGCGTTCGTCACATTTGAAATGTTATCATGTTAGCTTCTAAGTTTGGGTTTTCTTTGTGTACACCTGCCAAAGCCTCTACTACTACCAATCCGTGTTTAACAGGTGCGTCTGTCAAATGGTGTGATATTTGCATATCTGCTCCCTTCGTAGCAGTAATGAATCAATTGTCAAAGCAGTTTAAGCTGCACCATGGTTACCGGCTTGATTGGGATATTGTAGCGAGCTGCGAAGAGTCGATCGTTTTATATGCAAAGTTAAGGAAGCTGAAAGTTTCTGCGATGAAGTGCACCAGAGGGTAAGGGTTCTGCTTTATTTGTTTGCGTTTGTGAATGTGAATGTGAGTGACAGATGCTCCCGAAAGAATTTGCGCGTCTATTTAATCCGAGGCAAAACACACACTAGTGAAACCGAGCCAATTCAATCGTTCCTTTGTTTTAGAACATGACTAAGTTACGACGAGGTCTTCATGGCTAGTTTCTCTGATTTGTAAACTATAAAGGGAAAAGAAATTGTGGTATGGAACACTGTATCATTTACATATAGTGTTCGCCAGCTTGTCTTTGGCTGCTTTCGTAAGTTTAAGTTACGACTTAACACAACATACAATTTTCAGACACTAGGAAACTTTTTGAAATTTCCAATAGTCTCTGATCTATCCATGAGTAGTCAGTCCGAATAACTTATATGTTTTTTTTTTTTTAATGTACGCATTTGATCAGATCAAAGCTAGCTTTAACGGAACAAAATATGGATTGACAGGATTTTCCGCTGGAATTCCTACAAAGTCGAAAATTAGGCAGATTAACTTAAGCTTCAGAGTTTTGTTTAGGGGTAATTGTTGTAGTACGACTTCAACACATAGAAACGACTAGCTTCTTTCGCACATCAATAATCATTATAAATTAACTTGCAAATGAAGGTCTGTAATTTCTGGTTGATGAAAATGAATTTTTTCGAATAATAAATGCTCTGTGCCCTCATAAGAAAAAAATTGAAGAGGACCGAGAGAGGGAAAGTACACCAATCCTAATTTAAAGGCTAACCAGATTCAGTCTGTAAAAGCAAATTTACACTCCCAAAAAAAGTCGAAAGCGTTTTTCGAAATTTAAAGAAGGTTTGTGAATGTTTAATTGATGTCGTTGATGATATTGACGTTTAAACTGGTGATAGTACTCCATGGCAAGAAAACCAGAGAAATCAACATATACAACATGTTGTGTCCTGGAGAAGTTGTATATGAAGCGTAAAGCTCTAATATGATTTCGTGCTTTCAGAACCTCTCTATTTGTGGGCAGGGATCGCAAATTCGTTTCGTTGCGTTGTTTGCGTGTGACTTCAAATGACCACAGTTAAGGAGCTTCGATCTTTTGTATCGTGCTCTGAATTATCAATGGTTAATCTGACCGAAGGAAGGCGATGGCTTTCTCTTAATTTCCATAGATGGGAATTTATCATTAAAATAAAATGCAAACCTTTGTAAGTGATGTTGGAGAAAGAACAAGTTATAAAAATAGGTAAAAAAAAACAAACAAACAAAAAAAACCAGATGAAATGCTGTCTTTTTTAAATGTAGGTACTTGTGACCTTGACATGGGACTGGAACTAAGTTTCCTCAGTGGTGTTGCAGACCTTAGACCTAAATTAAAAATTAGTAGTTCCTAGGCATTCTCACGAGTGACACTGCGTGGTATAGATGAAGTTCGAGCTGCGCGTATTAGATGTAAATTTCGTTTAATCTGGAGTTATTGTATCTTTGCCGTCCAAAATAAATCAATATTCCTTTACACTCCATTCGAGTCTTACCTCGGATAACTCAGCAAGTATGGTACTTCTATATAATCCCTAAGGAAAGTTTCAATTTCAGTTTCTATTCATTTCTAGTGACTGAACTTTTTCATAGTGTCATTTCCCAAAACATGTCACTTTATTTTACTCTGGACAAAGCAAACAGTCTAATAAACACTGTGTGGCTTCCAATTTGCATTAGTCATTTATCCGCTTCCACTTAAGAGATGAATATCTACGAAGCAGATGTTCATGAGCGCAAATGCAAGTTCAAACTCTAAAAAAATGTTATCCAAATAAAATGATTTAGTTTTCCATAGACCCCATTTGAAATTTCGGCTGTTTAGCTCGTTATCTAAGAAATGATTCCCCGACGAAATCGTTCGAAATTTTTTTCATGTTACACTTTGACAGGCAAACAAAGGCGGCAGAATGTTGACGTTACAACCTCAAAATTCTAACATCCATCCATCCATAAAATGAGGCACTATGGCTTTAATCTCAGTTCTACATAATGTGATTCGAATGACTACAATGGATTTCTGATCACAGCTTTGATTATTATGGGTTTACTCGTTTTGATTACTTAAAACATTGTCTGTTCCATAGAGAAGTCTGGTAAATGAAACTTTCAGTTGGTCTTTGACAAATTATTCTTCTCCGAAATATTTTACTCTTCTATTGATCTTCTACTTTACGTTTTAGATCGACAGGTGACTTCAAATGGTGAAGGTCGATGTTTAAGAAGATTTTTCTCTATTAGGTCACGCAGCCACAAGGAAAATAAAGCCCTTGAAATGACAACTGTGAAAACTTTTTCTCTTACGAGCCAAAACTTACAAAAGTTTGAGAGAGAGCTCAAAAACGGAAAGAGGAAAAGGAAGTCCTTACAAAGAAATGTGAATCCAGAGAGAACTGAGGCAGATGGAAGAAGCTCTGGAATTCAGTCGTGCGGCTCACAATCGAGTGCCTTTAAGGAAAGTGTCAGTGACAACTTCAAGGACGTGGATACCGAAAAAGTAACAAAACCTAGAAATAACTCTTATTCCTTAGATCGCCCAGAGCGAGAGGCTTTCCGAAGAAATCCTGAAGGGCAGAGCCGAAACGAGAGCTCTACCGCTACACCGCACGTTTCGAAAATTAATTACGAGGAAGGAAGTGTACTAATCAACTACAGTAGTGACAGCGAAAAGGATAAAAACGAACTTAACTCGGCTGATGAGCGGGAGGAAGAAGAAGAAGAAGACAGCGATGATGATGACGATGAAGACGAAACTGAAGAAGAAAGTGATGAAAGCGACGATGAGAGTGATGAAAGTGATGACGACGAAGAAACTCCAACACGAGAATTTGGAACTCCTACCACTATCCGAACACACTACACGAGCAGTTTAAATGCAAGCATCAGCAGCATTCCTACTATTGCTTCAGCAAGAAGCACTCCTGAGTCCATAATCACGATTAAAACGACGAAAACGGTAAGAAAAGGAAGTGCACACTCCAATGTAAGTTCGGCGCCATCTTACGTTTTAAATAGCAATCAATATCGCATGAAGAAAATGGCAGCAAAGAAAGAGAAAGAGCGTGGCCAGAATCACGAGGACTATGAAAATGAGTCAGAGTTATCTTTCGGACCCGAACAGCGATCACCGTCGGCTGCGACTAGAATGCGTGACAAAGGTACTACAAGCGTGCATAGCGACGGATCTTACGTGACCACAAGAAACTGGTCACGATGGAGTCATTACAGTGCAGCGGGGTACAGCATAAGTGAAGCACCTGAGGCCATTCGTAGGCATAACAAATATTCGACAGTAAAAACCACAGCCACAGGAAAACAAGCAAAGAATTTCAAGCCTGAAACTTACTTCCGCCCTAAAACCCCTCATTTACCACTTATCGGTAAAAGCACTTCAAGTAATTCTGTTCCCGATATGCGAAGATATGGTAAGCGTCATGTGACTCTCACACTGGATCCTGATCTTTCACGAGCGCGATCTGTAAGTCGTAGCCAGATGGCGTCTCGAATGAGCACCCGATCAATTATGAAAAATCCAAAAATGGCCCGCGGTAAATCTGTCCCAGACCTCAACAAGGAAGCTATTATGTCATTTTTTGATATGGAAAGAGGAAAAAATAAATCAGCGGCCCGCCCCGTGAACAACAAAAAAGGCGGAAGGAAAGAAACTTTTAAAAAGTCAGGAACGAGTATTATTGATGATATCGATGTTACAACTCGGCGAAAACGACTTCGTAAGCGGAAGGAACTCCCCCAAAAAACGAGGATTAAAAGCTCTCTCAGTTCGGCCTCAAGTGACTTTTGGAATGCACGAAAACGGAAAAATTCTTTAACAAACATAGGGTCTTCTTTGTCGAGTGCATTGTCCATGTCATCCATGAAATCAAGCAGAGCAAGGCAGAATAGTAGACCTTCCACTGGTACAATTAGTAAGGCGAGCTCTTCTATAAAACAAAACAGGCTACAGCCACTCAGGAAATACGCTAGTTATCAGAGCGGCAGTGACCAAATGTCCACGCGTGCGTCCATACCAGCGTGTGATACACCTATCAGCTTAATCCTTAAGCGCACTCCGAGCCTGCGGTCTGTTATGACAGAGTACAGTAGCTATCTAAGCTTAGCAGCCTCTAGCTTTAAGTCCGTGCGCTCCAGCTCCAGATCAAGTCTCTCGAGCACTGGTAGGTATAACTTGCTGTTTTGATAATGACAGCTTATTCACATGTCTTAAGCCTGACTACTCCGACTTTGGATTTTATGCAAGCTAAAATGCATTCGTAACCTGTGCTATGGAGTGTATATGACATGACTGACATGACATTTTGACATAATGTCTTCTCGAAAAATAGTTTTACTAAAGTGCCTCTGCTTTCTCGATATTGCATATTTTTATGAGAAAATTGAAGAATGGTTAGTTTCGGATTAAAAGTGTGACTCAGTGCAACGGGTGGGATGAAAATGAGATTTACTCCGGTAAACTGAGAAGCTGTTTTCTTTTAAAGATTCAATTTAGGTGGAAGAACAAAACCAACACTAAACGTTTGAACATGTGAAATAATTATAACTTAAATGGCATCTTTAAACCTTGACTTTCTTCTTATTTGGTTGATTGGGTTAAAAATCCTTGTTATTTTCAACCCAGACATCCAGGCGAAGAAAGCGTTTTTAATTACAGCTTATTAAAGAAATGTAAATTAAAGGCAATGACATCTGCTACAAACGGTGCTTTGAAGTCATTTAAAGTACAGCTCCGAATTTACCAATGGGCGAGCGATAAGAAATATAGCTTATAAAATATTTACTGCCCTGGTTTAGTCAATCGCGCATATAGTGGTCTCTATGAACCCAACAGTTCAAAGAGTCTCGGCTTGTGTGAGTGTTAAGCTTACAATTCTTGAAACATTTTGATGAGGGGAGAGTTCTTTTACAATGGATCTACAAATGAACGATTCGAAAGACGAAATTAAAGTCGAGGACGTCGAATCTTACAATGGTAAGTTGACGTCCGATTATTTTTGAAGTCATTAAACGACGCAGTTTCAAGTGATATAAATAATCAAGTACAGAATCCAGTTACGATTTTTATTTAGATATGAAGATGAGTTGATAAAGAGCTCTTTACAGGTTTGCCATCGCTGATTTTTAGATAATTATACAGGACAAATTTTCACAGGCTTAGTAACTAAATAACAAAGTTGCAATATTTCTCTCCTTCGACAAGACAGAAACAAACTTGCTTTGTGACTCTGTCAGGTCAAAAAAAATCCAAACAAAACAAAGTAAAGGAGATTTTTTAAGAATGCGTGCTTTCCAAAAATGTTACAACCTATGTTGGAAAGTAGAAAAGTAAGCGTGCACAGCACAGTTCATTGTCTGCTTATTTTCTTCGTTCGATATTCGGCCAAAGTTAGAAACTTTAACTAACACATATTTGCGCCAATGCTGAGTTGAACAAATTTAGGGCACACTCAACATCATGATACTCGGTAACAGGTCACGTAATTTTTTATCATTTATCTGCAAGTGTGGGTTGATCCCGTCCCGTATACCTTATAAATATTTTGCGCTAGGCTCTACTAAAACCTCAAGATCTGGTTGCCATGGTGACGAGGAAGGCATATTCAGCGGTGGGGGGTTGCATGAAAAGCTTAAGCAGATGTCAAGCCACCGGCTGGTCTACATAAAAAGGAGGTGCTAAGTAAAAAGACTTAGGTGGGAACTGTGTTGAAAGTTGACGAGAGCAATTCAGTCTTCACATTAACTGTAGCTAAATCTTAAAATGTCATTTTATCATGCAAAATAGAACACTTTCGGCTTAAAATAAGCCGAAACACCTTAAAGGTGCTATTTGTGCAGTCCTATTCGGTGGAATACCTCCGGGTTTTTCTTCTTTCTTATCGTGAAAAGTAAGTAACAAATCATTTCCAGACATCACGTTACTGTAGACAATTTATTTACACGTTAGACGGATGTCTCGCGATGTGATACGGGGTTTCATGTAGTGCAAGTTAGATGTTCGAACAGATAACTACGATCGATTTCCTGCTCAAATTTTACTTTTTCTTTTACGAAGAAATTTCGAGTTAGGAAACTCTGAAGTTAGTAAAATGTACCTACGAAAATAAAGAATTTCAACAAGACATTAACGACTCCAGGTTACCACACGTAGAACTCGTGAACATTATAACTTAATAGTGATGTGAACTTCCTCCATCTTTGTGCCGGAAGTCAAAGTCGATTTTTTAAACTTAAATCAAAAGTTACTACCTCCGAAATCAAAACTTTCACATTAAACAGTTGCTGTGTTGATTCATAATTCAGATGGAGAGAGCACAGCTATAGGCCCAGAAGCCACAAGCCCTGGAAAGGAAGAAAAAGAAGACTTGAATAACGAGAAGCAAAAGCAGATAGAACCTGAAAGGAAACCCTCATCTAAAGCCAGTGATCAACAATCTAAACGAAGCTCGTCAGTAAAGAAAGAAGCGCTAATTTCTTCGAACTCTGAACGGCTTCATTTACCAGCGGTTCGAACCCAGTCGGTTTCATCCGAAAGAACTGTAAGCGCTACACCAGTAAAAGGTTTGTCAAATGTTCGTGCAGGAGCTATGTATTCATTCATTTTACGTGCCCTGTTTGAATGTATCTCAAGGCCTCTCTTTCATTTTGTTTTGGTTTTCCCGGCTTCTGTTATTCTAACACCAGCAACGGTATCAACAAAACAATTATACTGGTAACTAGTTATCTAATTTTGTTTGACTTTGTCAGAACGCGAAAAGGCAAAGGAAAAGGAACCCGTTAAATTACCCCAAAGTAAGTATCTTTTCTATGTTTATACCCACTTTTAGGAGAAAACGGATATCAATTATTCCCTTAACAGAGGGTCTTTTCATCAAACAAGTTCAGACAAATAAACTCTCATAAGTTGAAGCAAGGAAAGTCGAAGAAAGCCCAATTATTTGATCCAGTCATAATGTTCTGAAAGGGTACATGGAGTCCAATGATATAGAATGTCACCTGCGATCAAAACAAAAGTAGGTAAATTTGCATGATCCGACGACAACCTGATTACTTCATTCGACATCAGCGAACCGGCTGTCTAGAAAAAATAAACCATCAGTCAGTTTCATTTCAATCCAAATATGATTTGTCCTACATTCTCGTGAGTATATTTACTAAGCATTCAGAAAATTTTTCTTCAGTTTCCAAACAAAGCCATGTTTACAGAATTGTTTGAATAGCAATTTCCAGGATCAATGTTTAATGACTGCTCTTTGTTTGTGTGTTTGGGTTTTGGAAAACACAAAGAAAAACTTCTAATGATATTGAAACCTCACTGGACTCGTAGTTGTCCAATCATATTCCAGAAAGCGCTGCACCATTGGATAGCGTTAATTAGCACCAAGTTGCGGCATTGTTTCCATAGGAACATAACCAGACGCTTTGTTGAATGTAATCATTAAAACCTTGAACATTAGACCGACTGTAACTGCATCGAATTCACACGAAAAGCGCGAGTATTTGAACCTCATCCACACTTGCTTTTCTAAGCTTTTATAAAGAAGAATACTTTGTGATTGTAATTACGCTGGGAAGTTTGAAGTAATCGCCGTTTCAATATGACAGAAGTGGCTTGTAAGTGCGAATGGTTGCCTTGTGTAGACACAACATTCATTGAATTGAAACAACCATAACATGTTTTCTTTTCATTTAGTTGTTCGAGTGAATCATTCACTTCCAAGTTTTACAGAAGCCACACGGGATACTGGCATGTAAGTTGTTTTTAACTCGTTGGAAGTTTGATACATTGCCAACTTTAGGCCTCTCTAAAAGTTTTTTGTCGTCTAATTTTTGGTTATGTTCATTTAAAATAGTACTCGCCTGGTGAAACTTGCAAAGCCGAAGGAATCAAAAGCGGTATGGATGACAAGTTTCTGGTAAGTAGTGCCAAACCATCACTGAAGCAAACACAGCACTAGACCGCCTCGGTAAAAATTGACTTGCGAGTCGCAAATTTCCACGTCGACAAATTAGATACCACCTAATATTAAGATTTGACTAACGCGGTTACAATAGGAAGACCTGTGGCACGTCTGTCGCAATATCAATTTGGCCAAAGCCCTAGCTTGGAAACCCAGGGAAGCTTTTACTTGCCTCGTTGACTTCTTCTTTGAAAGGCTTATTAAAAAAACGATTCATCGATCTCTTAGCAAACTTTTCGTCGAAAGGCAGTTCATCCTTGATAACTTAGCAAATTGGTTAGAATTACATAGGTATCATTTTTTGTTCCAGGCCGATCGTATGGGGAAATCAAGATATGATGTGGCCCATTTCCAGAGGAGCGCTTACAGCAAATGCATCGGGGAGATTAATGGCCTTAGCCACGCCGAAAAAAGATTTTCAACTCGACCATCCATCCAAGTGTAGCAGGTACAAAAACACGATTTTTAAAATAGAAAGGTGGGCTTTAAAGCTTTTCAAATTACTGAAGTGAACCGTGACATTCATACCTGCTGGAAATTCTGCACGCAATGTCAAAGTAAAAAGTTGAAAATTATCTCAATCCTCTACAATATACGCGACTTAGTCATCTTCAGATCTTCAGGGAGTGTCCGGTTATTTCCTTATAGAGCCTTTTCGCCAAAAATCATCACGCGATAACTCCTTTCGCTACTAGTCAAGTCGATTTCCCAAGTGTAAAACTAATTTCGAAACAAACATAAGTCGTTTTGCTCCAGGACTAAGTTTGTATCATTGCCATACTTAGTATAATTGTAGACAACTCCGCTTCGCGCTTCTTTTGACAGAAAAGGAATTTTCGCACTGAAAGGAGACTCTTTAAGTGATTCGTCCATAATTAAGTTTAGCGACAAGTGTTCCAGGGAAAATTGTTCGCAAGGTTTTCTGCGTCTTGGCTCAGGTGTCATGAGAATCTGTATGAGATTCGATATCGCTGGATTGTAAGTTGTTAGCACGAATCATTTGATCTTTGAATTCACTATCACTTCTTTAAACTTAGCGCGCCCCGACCGTACTTATTGTAGCACAACCTACGATGAAGAAATGATTTGAAAAACATTTAACTATAAAAAAAATTGCGATAGAACATTCCTTAAAAGCATTTTAAGATTTCTAAAAAACGACTACGTTTCGACGTTGGCTAAACGTCATTACCAAGTTAAAAAAAGATATATTTGCAAGTTGTAGTCTATATATACCAAAATAACAATGGATGATAAAAAGCTGTTCCGTAAGAAAAGAACATTAGTAATTAAACAAAATGTTTGGCACGTATGGAGTCCGTCTGGATATTTAAATTAGGCTTGAGATTCTTGCTGAACAGCATTTCAAAGACTAAACAATCAAATTTTCCCTGGCACTTTCTTAACACTCTAAATTGGTTTTCTTTCAAGAGGTGGTTGCTACTTTGAGCTTCCACGAAATGTCGACCGATTGCCGAATATTTGTGCTAAGCAATTCGTTGATGAAGGCGTCGGGCTGTGTACCCGACATAATCTGCATCGCACAGATCACGTGAGAAATAGTAAACAACACATTGCCAATTAGCAATTGACGGCTTGATTTCTTTGGGTTTAAAGATCTTGCCCCAATTTCTTGCTCACAAAAACTGGCTGCAATGTAGGGAGAATCTTATGGCTAAGATCGCGCAACTGCTTCCGAACCGCATCAGCGGCCACTTGATCTTTGAATGGAAGACTAATTCTTGCTGTGCTATTATCATCGGTGTTTCTTTCCGCTGTGCCTGCCGTACCTAAAAATAAAATTGTTGATAGCGGAATCAATAAGGCCCACAGGGGTGGTCAAGACGACTGAAAATAGAGCGCAATTTGACGCATTCTGCATTAAAAGCCTCTGTGGTAGACGATAGGGCATAGGCTCGGTGTATCATTATCTTTAATAAATAGTCTTTAAAGCGTTTATTGGTGTGATTGTGGAATTGTAAGAGCAAACCAGTGTTTGCTGGTTTTCGTTAAACTTAAGTTTCAAGTTTAGTTACGTTCTTCACGATTTCAATGCCGATAAAAGAGATCTTATTACCAGCTGGAAGCTCCATCGTAAAAGTTAAGACTGGATTGTAGGCTATTCAGAGTAGCAAGAAACCCAACAGCAGCAGCAGCGCTAGGCATTCTGGCCAGGGTGTTGTCGACGTACCTCTTGTACAGATGGGGCATTAAGTCATCACGCGTAAGCTTTTCTTCAAGATGACACATGAAGACATTGGCCATTAGAGGGCCAAGAGGGCAGCCCAAAGCCACACCATCTGTTTGTTCGTAAAGTTGACCGTTAAACTGAAAAAAAAAGAAAAAGTTGATTGGTTGTGGCAATCTTGAGTAGTTCAGCAAGCTGGTCCTTTTGCAGATAAAGGCCATAATTTTGTTGAACCAATCATCTGTGAAGGTTTTGTTGACCAAGATGTAGATAGTCTCATCTAAAGGCACAATGGTGAAGAGAGCTGTGACGTCGTAAGAGACCAATATGGTCTCAAACCTACAATAGGCTCGAAACGAAATAAACAAGAAATCCAAGGATTTTGCTAGAGGTGGAGTTACCACAACGGATACAATCAGGCCTAAACAAAACTTGCAAAACGGTACAGCCATGAAGAAAATGAGGAATGAGGAAGTGGCTGATATTTGTCATGAACCAAATCTTTTTAAACATACAAAATCATCTCTAACTGATCTTGTAACAGTCTTAATGAGAAATTTCCTTGGGAATATCGAGAAGAAACAGGCTGTCTGTTCTTTCTTTACTACTGTTGAAATTTCTAATTGGCTAAATTTGTGATGTGTCACCGTTCAAAGACGGCCATGTTTTCGGAAAACGATCTCTCATATAAACTTGTGACTGGATAAAAAATTTATTTATTCTTGCATGCAGACATAACCTCGTTGATCATTCTCCTTTATTTGTTTATGGGTTAGGCATCTTAAATCATAAATAAAATACAGTGTCAAAGCATTAACAATCCTTCCGAAGCACTTTCACTGTCGTAGGAGGTACCAAAATGAAGAAATGCAGTACAAGTAAAGCTCATTCAATAAAAGATCGAAGTCGAAAGTGAAACAGCCGCGTCTTTGGTGTCTGAAGTTGAAAATTAATTTTTCTTAAGGACATGCGCCCTTAAAACCAAAGGATTGGAATTATTTGATCTCACCCCTTACTCGCAGCTCTCGGAGTCTTTCAATTAACTACGCGTCTACTCTGCCTATGCCAATTACAATTATATCCACCACGAACTAATAAATTTTTCTACAATTTTTTCGCTGCTATATTTTATCACTTCTTTTTCCTGTGTAGAAGTATACTCTAAACGCACCGAGCAATTTTCAACTTGCGATGGAAAAATGTAGCCGAAGGCAGGTTTGGTCCTAAATGCTGTGCGATTCTTCATTCGTAGTTAGAAGTAAAATAACAAACAACGGATGCGATAGTTTCCCTGGAAAATCTAGAGTGGCAAAGCCCCAATATCAATTCATTATCAAGAATCATTCGCCCTTTAGGCGTCATTTTGAGCCACTAACTGCATGACTAATAGACGAATTTGAGAACGTTCACTTTACTACGTTTACGCCTTTGCTTTTAGTTATAATGTTTATTGTTATAGTTTAAACTACTTATGGTGATGCAAACGCGTTCGTGAGTTTGTAAGATACTAGAGATGGTGTATGTTAGGTTAACTTACGTCACTCTTTCTTTTGCTGGAAATTGCAGGGGACAATACGTTTATAGCTGTGGCCGCAGTTCTGTCATTTGGGATATGCAACCCTCAGCTTTAAAAGCAAATATTTCCACAAGGGTCAGTCAGCTAGCAGAACCAAAGAAATCACCACCCCAACATGAAGAACAAAGGTAAGCACGCACTGTTTACCAGCACTGCGAGAATACGTCCAGCAATCGGGCAAACCTGCACTGAACTTGTGATATCTTTTGTTCAATATTTTATCTGATTTTTTCAACCTACGATTTTTTTTCGATATGATGTTGCCGATTCTTTACTTTTCAAATTTGACCAGAAGTAAATTGTTTTGCCCAAATTTGTCCAACTTAAGTTCTGCAGCTGTGGACTATGTTTAGGAATTCATTACTTTGTTGAGGTCGTGATGACCTTAACTACGTACTTCTTTGGTTGGCTTCACGGCAGTTTGAACTCATTTAGCCATCTTAAGTCAGGTGATAATTACATGACTACCCAAATATCTTTCAGTAAGGGTTTACACACATTTGAAATAGGACAAGCTCGTGAAGACTGGGAAATCCATGCTAAAATTCTACGCCTCAGTACAGGTCGCCTCGCGAGCAGTCTCTCGTTTGTGAAAACATCAAATTTGCTTTTCGCTTTTTCTTTGAGTTTGAAGATTTGCACATAAAAATAGCATTGTCATATGTTTAATTATTCGCATTGCGACAAGTTATTCAAAATTCATCGATTGTCAAGTTGCTAGGCATTGCATAACCCGGTTGCTCGGGCCCGATTGTTGATGGACCGCGCTTACCAGCTACCTCTACAACAACGAAAAAAACAGACACAAAGTTCAGGAGTATTTTCAGCATGATTTCAAACTATCTTTAAAGGTACAAGTTTTTGCTTCGAATTTGTCTGAACGCACGAATGCGTTCAGCAAATTCAAAGGCTTGCAAACTTTAGATGTATTTTAATTGAATACATACAATTCAATCAATGTTCATAGCAAGGCTCTTTACTCTTGGTTCAGATTTTTCTGAGATCGTGAAATATTTCAGTTGTTGCTAGGCGTCAAGATCTCCCTTTCTCTTTGCCATGTCAAGTCCAAACCATAACTCAATTAGGAGCAATGTAGTTTAAGAATCGACAAGGGTCTATTCAGAAGAGGGCTCACAGACTTGAACCAACAAACTAACAATCTTGAATACTTCAAGAAAAAGATTTCGTTACCAGCATTCATTGGCCAAGGATAGATTATCCAAAGACTGAACAACCTAAGAACCAGAAAATTCGCAAAACACAGATCAGTTCACGAAATTATCTTTCCCATTGTACATCGCGAGCTTCCAACAGATTATGGACTGCGTTGGAATGAAACGAGTGACTTGATTGTCGGAATACTAATCTACCTTAGGTAGAGAATAAGTTTATCACAACGATAGCCAAGACACATCAATAAGGAAACAATTTTGGAGCGAAAGGTCCTTTCATCAGCTATGGGAATAAGAGAATCGATCTTCAATTAAAAAAATGACTTTCATTGAGTATTTGCGTCAATAGACAATAATTAAATGAATTTGAACTATTTAATCTGCTCAAGTGTTACTGATTTTCGCAGACACCAGATAACGTGAAAAGGTAATGGCTCTTTTCAAACCTTCACTTTTGCGGTTTGCCAGTAGGAGTTCCATGCTTGGAGAATATTCCCGACGGGGAGAGAGAAAGAGAATTACCCCTGGTCGCCGTTCTTACAAGGGGACGGAATTAGGGACGGACCACAAACCCAACATCTCCTAGGGAATAAAACCTCGTTTCGTCGTGGAGATCAGTCCATAGACGAAACGCGTTCATTTCTACCGTTGAACTTCACCTTTCAGAAAAGTATTGCTTTGTAATAGCCGGTGAACATACAGCTAACATAAATTGGAGACCCAGCCGCGCAATAAGTTTTTGTTTTCATCTCAAGATCTCGTTTCTCTTCCATAGCTACCTCCATGTGATCACGTGCTGAATGGATCTACTTTTCAGACGGCAAAAAAACTAAAACGTAGAAAAGTGATTCATTTGTGCTTAGATGATATGACGTTCTAAGTACCAATCCTTGAGTGTCAGACTTAAAAGTAGCCCTTCTTCCTTCTAGGGAGGCATACATCTTCAGTTGCGGGAGAAGTTCACCAATTTGGCAAGTGAGCCAAACAGCGAAAACGGCCGAGGAACGGGAACTAACACTGAGACTAGCACATGCCAAGAGATGTCATCCTGATTATCGGCCAGGAAGGGAAGTACCCTGGAGCGTAAGTGAGCCAGCAAAACGAGCCGTGACTTCCGCACGAACCGAACAGCTAGCCCGTCCCAAGACTCGCCAAGACAGGCTCATAAGGGAGCCAACATGGCGCGTATCTTCAGCCAGCATGCGCACTGTAGCCTCAGCCCGTGTTCAGGAGCTTTCCAAGGCCAAGCAAACGGTTGAGGGATATTTGCCATGCAGAGAGACTGAATGGCATATCACAAGAAACACTCTCCGAGCAATAGCCTCTGATAGGATTCAAAATTTGTCCAAGCCAATTATACGCGAGACAATGGACCATCTTCAGTTTAACCCAGACGCATTCACCGTTAGGGAAACTGCGAAGAAAGCTACCGCGTCGTCAAGGGTAGTTGAATTAGCACAACCAATCGCTCGTGGACACAAATGATTGTGTTAAAAGATCCAATGAATTGTGTAGCTCACCAAAAATTCGTTCAGACAGCGATTTACTTTCAATAAATTAGAGCTATTCATTCAACTGAATCGGAAACGGTTGAAATTATCCTGTTTAATGTACTCTTATTAAATTTTTTAACTCTAATAACACCCTTTAAATATGATGAATTCGAAACTGATGGATTTGAAACAGTGATAGAATAAAGGGGCGGTGTTTAAAGAAGGTTAACCGCTTTTGGGCAAGAATACTCCAAACCCATCCGTTACGTTAATTTTTGTAAACAATTTCAAGGAGGCTTATGGTTGGCAATGTAAAATTTACCGCAGCATTAACTTCACTCATTCTTTTTCAAGAATCTCGAGGTCCATTGATTGTCTAAAACCGCTGCGTGCGTTAGACTTCGATTAATTAACCAGCCCATAGTTTTTCACTGTTTCAACTGAACGATATTTAAGGACTGTTATCAACAAAGTCATGAGGGATCGTTTTTGGTACAATGCATAACAGGAGGTTTTCTTCTGTCAAAAACGTTGCCCGTACAAAATAACGATGGTTTTGGCGGCATTCGACAAACATGTAGGCAGTGGAGCCCGAGGAGGTTTCCTTGTATTTTTTTAAATGTTTCATTATATCCCTTCTCTTGGAGCATCACCACTTGTTTCCGGTGGCTTTCGCGACTAACAGCTTCACCGTTATCAGCTCCGAAAGTCCGTATCTTGAGCGAGTAACAGGAATATCCATGTAATCAAATTTTTGGTCACGTGACGCAAAATTATAATTTCCTTTATAACGGTAACCTCTTAAACTGAGAAACTAATGAAGCAAACTCTGTCACAATACTTTGGTTGATATTATACCAGGCTCTTGACAAGTGAAGATACTCTGCTCGAAAACTTTGCAGTTGACTTAAAATTGACGACTTTCCAGACATTCTTTAAACAGAGTTCTTGTTGAGCCATCGTAATTTACGGTGTATGTTTTCAACCATTTTTTTTTAGGTATCCGCTGAAATTCTGTTTTGATCTTAGGAGTGCTTCACATTTTCTTTTTAGTTGGTTTGGTGTATGTTGATAATAATTCCTTTTGTCCCTCGCCATACTCTGCACAAAAAAAGAGAACAAGTTCCATTGACTGTCTTGCATTGAAGGTGAATAAAGACATATTTCTGAAGTACTTTTACTTTATAAATGAGGAACGAGTAAATATGCAATGCGTTCTCACGATATTCACAACCAGTTGACTCGACTTGATTCACTTCTGAATATCTTAGGATCATCCTCTTCAATTATGAGCTCACAAATTCAGTAAAATTAAGAGGACATCGCCAGAAAAGTAGCATGAACAAGCGCAGTGGTGGCCCAAGAGTTAAAATTTTTCCAGCTTTGTGTCAGTCATCACATTGCAGTGACCAAGAAGTAAAAGTCTTCCCCTTCAGTAAATAATATAACCTGGCCATGAGTGTCTGGGAAGTGATCCTGAAATTCAGGAAATTATACCCCACAGGACGAGGCCTAATCCATGCTGGCCAGTGAGAAATTTGAAAAATCAGGTTGAGTAGAGTAGTGATTTGTGTTGATTTACTACCTGCCCTGCAGGACCAGTTTCAGAAGCAAAGCAAAATGTTGGTGGCCAAATTTCTAAACCAATGACTTTTCATTCTGAGTGATCTATCTTAGTGTGTGAGTTAGTAGGGGGGCACCAACTCTGACAATTGCAAAAGGAAATCAGAGTGCACAATGTGCACAGCAGCCTATCATATTTAAAGTTATTTATATGTTTATAAAAAAAATACCATATGGTTAGAGAAGTGCATGTTCATGGAGAATTCCTCTTTAATATGACTTACTTTGTAGTTGTTGCCATGATCACCAATAAGTTGCCATAGAAACTGCACTTCACCTGGAGAAATATGCCTTTCACCTTTCCTTTCATTAGCAGCCATTTGCTCAAATTCTAAACAGGAAAAGAAACAACTAGGGAATTAGAAATGTTTCTTCAGGGTACCAAAATATTTATAGTGTATTGAGGTACATGTACATGATTTAGGAAACCTAAAGAAGAACAGAGAAGCTGAATTTTCAAAGTTCAAACTGTATAAAATTTCAATAATCATCACTTCCTTTAAGATAATCAATCTATAAAAAGATGTTATGAAAGAGATAATGGGTGCTTAGTCCTTCTTGACAAACTGCTCACAAAACGTAAAATCTGTATAAACTGGTAAGCTAAGAAGTAAGGAGATACTAAGAAAGGAACATGGGTATGCAGAAGTGTGAATGATGCAGCTGGTTGTACATGCCAAAAGTAACACCTTGTATGTACATACAGGCAGACAAACATATGCAACTAAGCGATAACCAAATTTTCTTAGCTTGATATGTTACTCTGCTTTGTGCAAGCTGAGGACTCTGCTAGAAATTTTGCAATCCACATTGGACTTCTCCACAACAAGATAAAAACAATTGAAACTTTCAGAAGTGAAATTTAAAATGGCCACAACTTTTCCATTTATTTAAAATTATCTCTTGCAACAAGAATTTTGCCCATTCTCACTTCTGCATATTCCAAGTTTAGCCAGGGCACCCTGAAGAGTTCACTCAAAGTGGCTTTGAGAGCTATGATAACATCATGGTTTTAACGTGGAATTTTATCCTCTTCATAAAATGTTCACATAATATCTCAAACCTACCTCCAATTAAAAAAAAAATTGGAACATTACTCACTTTCCTCTACGATAAGTCAAGCACAAGCACAGCTTTACCTTTAACAACTGTTGTTGGTTCCTTTCGGTCTACTTCCATGGCTTCTGCTTGTTCATCTTTACAACCCTAATCACATATATGCAAGTGGTCCATTTTAAGCTTACTATTTTCCTAGTAGAGTTACAGTAAAACCAGTCCTACCATTATGCAACTTTCATGATTTGGAGGAAAATTTAGCCACACAAATCTCAAGTAAATTTTTCCTTTACCTAACAAATGTAATTAGTTTGATGTATTTCATCAAATATATGTTGCAATGACCCCAACATGGCTTGAGGACTGTGAATAGTTGAGAAAGATTATCACATCTTCTTGAAAGACTGCAGGGCTGGTATATAAATGACCTATAGACCATGTGCTCAGTACCTAGGGTGATAAGTCTTGTATGTGTAGCATGCTCATGTTTTGTAAGAAGCATTAAGATGACATTGAAGATATAATTTTGTTGTTTTGTATGTAATAAGCAAACACTTTTCCAAAATGTCCAATTCTGATAAATCTTTGACAATAGACAAAAAGGCAATTTGAAAAGTCTCCCTACCTACACATAGACAAACAAATTACACTGATGACTATAAATACAACACATGTATCATTTAACAAATAATGATCATTCCAACTCAACATATACAGTGTATACAGATGTGACATGTTTTTAGAAACATAATTTTTGTTCCATGTAGCACATTAAAAATAAGCTAAAAATGGTGGGCACTGACCTTGGTTTTTGACTTTGGGATAGGAACAGCAGAATTAGCATCAAAAGCCAAACCAAGAATCTGAAGATTCTGCTTCAGTGTTTTCTCTTGGTCCCAGCTCTTACGTAACGTTTGGCTTTGGGAGAAATAATTGAAAAATGTCACAGCTACACAAATGTACCAAACCTGTTTAAATGGCATAAATGAAATAATAGGAATTAAGAACCAACATTATTTCAGTAATGAAAAAATTCAAAGCAATAACGGATCAAGTTTAATGAAAGCTGTGCTTCCTCTATAAATGCCCACACTTTAACCCTTTAACTCCCAAGATCTGATTGTCAGTTCTCCCCTCTAGCTGCTACACATTCCCTTTTGAATTAGTTACAAGAATTTGGTGTTAGATCAAGATAACAAATTCTACCTGATATGTTTGAGTATTCTCATTACCTTTTTGCTTGATAATGTATGGATAATATACATGTAGGGAGAAGTTTCTGGTTGATCAACACTGGGACCTAAAGGGTTAATAGGCACCCTTCCCCAAATAAGCACCCACCCACAGGCAATCATATTGTTGATTCTCAAGACTTTTGAGAACCAAAGATCTAATAGCCAGAAGGTAAACTTTTATATGTTTGAGCAGTACCGCATTTGCACAAATTTTGACAGTTCTCATACAAACAAAATTTCACCAAAGTGGCTTTTGATCATTCACAGCCTTTCCATCCTGACTTTCCTCATCAGTTCTGTGATCCAATATAGGCATAAGTTTTCAACCATCCTTAATGAATAAATATATGCCATACCCCATCCAAGAGCACTCCCATTGACAGCATGGGTATCTACAGGATTAAGTCAAGTTGCATTCAACAACTCAATGAGCACCAGAAGTCATAAAAGTAAAAAAAGAAGAGAATTGCTCTAAGTCTAGAAATAAATTTTGATAAATTGCATGTAGTAAGACTGTTCTATCATATGAGTGCTGGGATTTACTCTAAACAAAGCCATAAAAAAAGTCATGTCAAAGGTAGAAACAATGTGATTGTGCATTGGCCATATGATTTTTTGTGGCTAATGCCTCCTATAGGAGGCAAAGCCACATATGTTATCAAAAAGAGTGATGGCAAGTGACAAAAGAATGTCAAATTCACCCAGTTTTGACCCAATGTCACTTGTTTCTTTCAGGGTATCTTGGTAGATCAACATTCGCACAAGAGATTATTGGGCGCAACATACATGTACACTAAAGATAGAAAAATTTCTTTGAAACACATTATTTTGTGCCTAAAAAAAAACCAAGATGCCATATTCTCAGTTATTGCCCTGACACTACAGAAGAAGATAAACATCTTACAATAAGTTCAGGATGGAACATGACTAAAAGAAAACCTTTCCTTGCAGAAATATCTTAATAGGTGTGATGGGCACATCTTCAAGGAAACATTTTTCTTCAAAGAAAGAACATTTTAACTTTTAAATCAGAAAACTATGATATAATTTTTCCAATTCTTGCAGTGACACAAAGGCATCTCTGGTGAGTAATTAAAAAAAATAGTTTTCCTTATAGAAATATAGAAATAGATGTGATCTGCACTTTGTGAAAACTTTGAGGAAAAAATAATTTTTGAAGAGCATTTTACCATTTTAATCTGTGACTAATGCCTAAGAGAGCTGCTTAATTTGTGACACAAGCAAGGTCTGAAATATGATACCTTGAGTTTAACAGGGTGACCCTATTTGAAGGAAGAAGCTGAGAGCCAAGCAAGTCCTACAATTTCAATAGGGAAGTCAAATCAGGAGTATTACTTCTGTGTAGTGGCTGACAAAGGCAAATAAAGTTTTGATGACCACTTAGTTTCCCAAGTAAAGACCCAAAATAAAGCAGGGATTTATTTTACAGACAAGCCTTAAATTGTTCTATTTAACATAGACGAGATATTTAAAAATTTATCATAGACCGAAATATGAAAATTATACGGAAGAACCTAATCTAATTTCTAAAATACATTCCAAAAAATAACATTGCAAACATTCCGATACCAAGACACAAGTTATGCTAAGACACACATTAAAGAAACTATTTCTTCGAAAGGATGAACGAGACCTGCTTAAAAACGAACTCTAACATAAACTATTAACTAGCCAAATGAGTAAATTGAGTAGCATTCAGACGTAACGTGAACAATGTTCACCACTTGTCACAAGGTTGCGAAAACGTGCAGTGAAAAAACTAGCATAAAACTGGGCGAAACTACCAAAGGCTAGATATTTAAACAAGCACAAAGAAAGGAACATAGGCACTTACACCTGTACATAACAGACCCGCTTGTAAGAGTTTAACCAAACTAACTTCAAGATAAGGTGGGCAAAATGCTCTTACGCTGAAAACGACTTCTCGTTTTCCCACAACTGCTTTGGGTCTAAGTATCAGAAATCTCACTCGTTCGATTTCCGATATTACCAACTCATGCGTAAATACCATATGAGCAGACTTTCCAATAAGTATTCTGTAAATCTTTCATCTAGTGTTTCGAACGCTAACGAAGTGCGCAAGAAATCTTTAATTGCGATCCTTACATACACCTTTATGCAAGACTATGAAGTAACTTACTTTAACACCTTCACTTTCTTTTCTTTCTTTTTCCTTTTAAGACCGGGCCTTGTCGTATTAACACGCTTTTGCCTTTGCGATTTCTTTCCACGCACTCCTGCCATGCTTCCGTCGACGTAGATTTGCAAGGCGTCTTGGGGAGTAGTACTGGACTCTAAGACCAGCCGCCATCTTGAAATATAGTAATCGCGAAACTCTGGGCACGAGTCAATGATTCCTTCTTTGATGGCGGCAACTGTCACATTGAACTAGCAATAAAAGGAACTCTCTGCATTACTTGAATTTATCATAGAGAACAGAACTATTTGGTCATAGGAGTAGAAAGGCAGCCGTCCGCTTCGGAGTTTCAAAGCTCAGAATTGTATCCTGAGGGGTGGACGATCAATTATCTTCGGTAGGTACATTGTTTGAAGGAATATGCACGTTACAAGTAGTCGCACTGTGAAAACTTGCACCTTTGAAAAATTGAGGATTAAATGGAAAACTCGAGCGATCGAAAATTGCACTGCACTAAGAAGCAGCAAAGATCCCTAGAACTCTCGCTTGAGTTGAGATGCACTATCCATCGGGCGAAGAGTGCAGAACGTACTTTGACATTTTAAGCTGATTTCGGGGACTTAAGGCCGGAGTTAGTTTCAAAATGCAAAGTCTGTTCGATGATCATGACCTTAACATCTTACCCTTTCATGATTCATTTTCAGAAGCTCATAGCCGCTTTGATTGATTTTTTTTTTTGCAGCAGTCAACCCTGCAGTAGAAACACGTTTTGATTATGTTGATCTTAAGATTTCCTCATCCTTAACAGAAAATCAAATTTGCTCCTGTAAACTTTCGTGCAAGGTATATAATGCATACACTGTATTTTTCCCTTTGAGACAATAAATTTTAAGATCTCGGAAATCGTGTTATTTTCTGATATTTTCTGATTTTTTCTGAACAAGGAACAATTATATGGAGTTGTTTTCCTCATGTTTTTAAATTTTCTGATCATCATATTTCCCATGTATAGAAAGATCTTTAAACGAAATTTCTGTCTCTGGTTATGATGGTACCTATGTATCACTCACCTCATTTTCAGTGAAGTCTTCACTTGGGTGAATAATTTTAATTTTTTGTGAATTCTCTATTTTTTTTAGTGCCTCTATAAGAACAGAACTGTGATCGTAAGGCAATGGATACAGGTATTGATCACAGAGAAGAAGCTCAAATCCAAACTCAAAGGTTTGTGTTCTTGTAGTATTATTAACATTTATTATGTGGCTTTGGTTTGTGGCTAATATAACATGTGCTCTGATTGGTTAAGAGCAAGATCAGGGCAGGGCATAATATAGAAGTCCTGCCTATAGGCTAATTACAGATTATGCAAATTAGGAAGGGCACAAATGTTACATAAGTACCACAACTGCTCTCTTTTTTTAAGATTAAGAGTCTAAGAGAGTAGATTTGATAACTGACTGCTTAATAACAGGGATTGAGGTTATTACAGGAAAATCTCAAACCGAGGTCTTGCCATCATAGTGGAATGTACACAGAAAAGACAGAAAAGAGTTTCAAAATAGTCTCAACACTTATGGCCTCTTTATAGAGGTCAGGTTTTAAATTGAATTTATAATAAAACAAGAGGAAATCTTTAGTTCATTCATTTAATTGTTTGTACAGTAACTTAGTAGCGAGGAATTTGATGAGATGAAAGGGGTTTCAGATCCAAGTAGCTTTTAAAACAGACGAGACATAGCATAATTTTTTTTACTCCTAAACCCTATGTCAGTTAATGTTTAGCTGTCCAATTAAGGTGACCCCAAACCAGTTAAAAGGTCTCTTAACCTTTTTCATCCTAACATCAGTATGCACATTCTCCATACTGTTCTCTATACGTTACTAATGTCTTGACAGGGAGAATTTATTCAATAGACAGGGCTTCTTTAATTGTTGATTGGTTCATACTCTATTGTGACATTTATGTTTGATTCAGGATGGATATTAAAAGGAGAAATTAGCTGCTGCTTATTCTTAGAGGTCAAAGGGTTAATGAAGAAGGTTTAACTGAAAGAAATATATTAAGCTTATGCTTTTGAACAAAAGAAACCTCCTTAAGAACACCAAACTTGTAAAAGAAATAATCAGTTTGTACCCTGGTATAAGTCTGTTATACATTTTCAGTGAATAACATTAATTTATCCAAATTTGTGGTATATCTTTCAGATTTTGTCACAGATAGGCTGCACTAATGTTTTGATGTGATCACTTTGGGAAAATAGTGTGGCTTATCTGTCAGTGTTCATGGTACTTTTTTGTGGCAATGCTGAATGATGATGTTGGGTGTTTTGTAAAGAAAGATAATTACAAACTCTCCTGGTCCATTAACCTTGTATGGTATGATTACAATGAAAATCATGATATTCTTGTATTCATGTTCCAAACAGATCAGGCCTGAAACAGAAATTTGATCCCATACCAGCAGAAGTGACAAAAGCCAGAGAGGTACCTGTTGCATGGAGAATCTTTTCCTTTTCACTTGTAATGCTGTTTTTATCTCAAAAAATTTTCATATTAAGTTTTGTGCAAAATTAATGCAAGCAAAGTCATAAAATCAATTTTGGTGGTCTGCCTTAAGTGTTTTGTTGATTATCAAAAACTTGTCATGGTTTTGTCAATGCTATAGAAGAAAAGGAACAGCATTATCAAAAAAATCTCCAGAAAATTAATAATAATTATCTATCTAGTAAGATGGAGATTTAAGAAACAATAAACAATGTTCTAGTAGAACATTGTTTATTGTTCCTTAAATCTCCATCCTTGCCCCTGTCCTTCCCTGCCCCTCCTCTTCCTTGTCCCAAGCAGTTTTACACCACAAAAATTTTGTGCCGTGCCACTTTTAATTATTCATTTTCCTGCCTACTTGAAAAATTAGTGACAGCTCTGTTAAATAACTAATGTATTTTTAACTGACATGGTCTCCAAAATGGTTCTCCTTCTCTCAAATTTTTGGATATATTTCAGTAGTCACTTATTTGAGAATAGTTTAGATTTATCTTGTTTTGAGAGGAATAGCGATACAGAATAGTCACCTTTCTGGCGAACTTGATCTTTTTTATGCTTTTTCACTGAAGCCTACCTTTTCTTCTCTTTGGAAAGTTCACCCTGCACCTTCAGGAGAAACAAATCTAACCCAAAATTTTAGTTCTTATCAATATTTACTGCTGAACAAAAAGTGCCTCAAGATTCTCAGAAATGTGTTGCAAATTTTGTTCAGTGCCAGTTGTCCTCAAAAAGCGCTGAGGAGCCAAGAAACTTAGTTCTGCACAATACTAAGAAGACATATTTATGTTCATATCTTAAATATTTACTTACAGGATGATGTAAACAGTATTTTGAAACGAAGAAGCCATATTCAGAAATGTATCCTTTTGCATAAATTATAAGTTACATACTAATACTAACATTCTTATATACATGTACCTAGTTGGATTGATGCTGTGGTAGAACTGAGAAACTCATGGAAAATTTAATGGCTGAAAAGACTTTTCATTTTTCTTCTCATGACTGTTGTTTAATTCATGTGGCAAGTTTCATTACTTAAAAAAAGTGTAATTATTTATTCAGTTGATAGAAAGTTGGTCAAATATTTGCAACTTTTGATAGGTTGCATAGCACTACTTCTAGTTTTGAATTTTTGTTGACCTTTTAAAAGCAAGCATTATTTTGGACAGTTACTCACAACAAGCTTCACTGTTTCAGTTTCTGTTGTGTGTGTTAAGTTGATTGATTGAAACAATTGCAAGGGAATTCAAGTTTCCTTAACCCTCATGTTAGCACTTCATCTGTTGGATGAGGCTCTTTCTACCCCACAGCAACAATTACACACTGCTTCCTCACTGCTGAGATCAGTGAAAACCCCAACACCACTTCGCCAACTGCCCATGTCAGCATCAGGACTCAGACATAGTGCTTGTATGTATGTTAAATTAATGATAACTAGTTTAGTGGTGGTCTCAATCTCTAGTCAAATGGTGCACAGGCTAGGAAAGACATGAGCAATCTTGCATCACAAATTCATCAAACATTATAGATTTTTGAAACTGAAATAGGGTATTAGAAAATATAGAACTTAAAATTTATGCAAGCTCCCCTCATTTTCTGAATTTGACTCTATTGTTGTTAAGAGTTGGGCACATAACTTGGTCCTAATTTTGGGGTATGTTCAAAGCTGAGTTAAGATAACCCAGGGTTTCTGTGAATTCAGATTTCAGATCTGAAAGTCAGTATAAATTTATTTTCTCCACAATTTGATAAAAGGATACTCTAAATAGAAGAAAGAAAATTATCTTAAAAAGGCTTTTGAACAAAGGAATAAAGAAACCTAGATTAAAATTTAACCCTGAGTTAGCACTAAGTGGCCTTGGAACAACTGTGTACTGATGTTTATCACTTCCACATTTCACATTATTTACAGCACTAAAACACTCTGCTTATGGGGAAGTTCCTAGAGTATCATTCAGTATTTTTCCAGTGTTTTCAATAAGATTTGAACTAGGTGGCAACCTCTCTAAAGCACCCACCTCAGAATAATATAAAAATCATTTCCTTCTTATTAGCCCACGAGTTCCATTCAGAACAAGCTCCCTTCAAAGGAAGGTGTTGGTGTTAAACTTTGGCACACAATCATAAAATATTAGTCTCCTTTGTTACAATTGTTTTAAAAATCTTCTGTTTTCTGACATGTAGACCTGCTGCCTGAGTTTCACACAAGAGTTCTCTGAAATGACATGGTTACTGGTTACCAAATTTGACTCAGTATGTTCCATGAAACTCTAATTAATCTTTTTTTTTTTTTAAGCTGGAAATGTGGCATATGAAAAGACAATATCAATCAGTGTTATCAAAACTTGTTTATAAAGGGTAAAAGTCAACCAAAAGAACTCGATAAAATCTCAAGGTGTTTTAGTTATCACTACGTGAGTTTCCTTGGAAGCTTCCAGAAAGTCACAGAAAGATGCATAATGATGGTAACCATTCAAAAATCACGTAATACTAAGCACTTTCAATAGGCAGTCTACAAAAACAATACAAGATAATGTCCTGTGTGTGTCAAATTTGCATACGCTCATGTTCTCAAATGTTCTCAAATTTGATGCCATGATCCAAACTTTCTTCCCCTGGCCGTGCCAGATTCTGGTGTTTTCCATTCATTCATCACTTTTTGACTTACAGTTGCTTAAAGCATTTGCACTTCAAATGTTTACAGATTTTTCTTCTGTTTGTAATTGGAAACAAATCCCTCAGTCTCCCCCCTCCAAAATGCTGAAAGGCTTTTTTGTGATCCAAGTTTTTTCCTTTTTTATCAAGTGAAATTAAAGATATGTGGCCGTGAATTCCACAAGTTTTACTTATTGGTAAAAACTCAATCGATTATTCTTGTCTGCAGAAGTGTGCATTATTATTGATGCATTCCACTAATAATGTTTGCATAAGATAATTGAATTGGGTTAGTCAGCCAATGAATTCTAACTTTTCCCACAGTGCATGTTTCAAATCAGATTGTAAACAATCATCAAGCCACCAATTGCTCCACCAAAAGTCACTTGTTCATGTTCTGGCTAACTAGTAACCATAAGAGCACAGTCTTCTTCACTTTTCACAGGAACTTCAGTTTTTTTTCTTTCTTTTTTTGTTTTCTTATTAAACAGTTAAATGCGTAAGTGTTCAATGCCTGTTTTTGTTTCTGTCTTTGTAGTCCTTGCATGCATGCAAACTTAACATTTTCAAAAAAGTTCCAAATTTGATTTTCTTGACTGTGTTATCAACAAGCATCTATTTTAACAATTTTGATTTTCAAGTTTGTTTTCTAACTAGCAGTTGAGAAAAACTGCTGTTGTTTTATTTGTCCAAAATTAAGATGTTTTACTTTGGCACAAGGTTGTTTGAAAATTATTTAAGTAACAGACAATGTGTACTTCTATTTTGCACATGATGAATGTAACTAGAACATGCAAAACATGCAGAAACAGAGAACTTCTAGTGAAAGAAGAAATCTAACAATCAATGACCACAGAAATTGAAATGTAGATGAGGTGTACATGTAGCATAATATTGTAAGCATTGTATTGTATGCGTTACTTTTGCACATTACCCTTAGAGACTAGTGACAGAGTGAAAAGATAATTTAGTTCATGAGGAACCTGAAAGTGGTAAGGAAGGTCACTGGACAGTGTCTATTAGTACCATTAATCAATATGAACTGCTTCTCAACATTACTTTACAAGTATGGATGTTAATGAACACTATTTTGAAATTTAGACACACTCAGTGGTACTTCTTCAGTTGCAGATACAGATTACACCACTCAGGTACACTGACTAGTTCTTATGCATGCAGATTGCTTTTTTGATCTAAGGTAGAGAATTTCATTCTAGACATGCAAAGCTGTAGAAAGCGAGCAAAAGAACATGTTATTGAGACTGATCCTGTACCTTCATTTCACAGATAAATTAAATTGAAGGAAGATTTATTTATTTAAAATGCATTTGCTTAAACTTAGTCACTTTCAAGTGAACTGTTTGAAAAAAAATTAAAAATATAAGGGTGTGACTAACAGTTGATAATACCAGCATAAATTGTTGGTGTTGATATCCTTTTACAAAGATCAGCAAGCATTTAAGGAGAAAATTGATGACAGAAAATTTGATAGAATGCAAATGGAAAGCAAGGCTTTCTCATAAAACTGCTGGGTGCTCAATTAGTACATGCAAGTTTTGATCCCCATTTTAATTGTGAATTTCCATTGGCATGTATATACTCTGCCTGGAAGAATAAGATACAAAATTGATTTAATGAGACTGTACAGCTTTAACTGCTTTTAACTCAATTCTTGCATATCAGTGTATAAAGGAACTGTATGTGTACACACACTGTCAATATTAACTTCTTACTAACCGAGTGTGAGGTCAGTATTGGGGCAAAAAATAACCTAGGGCCAGTATTCCCTGGTGCAATTCAAGCAAGCTAGTTTAGTAAGTAGCTTATTATAAGACACTTGGACCACACTTGTTCATTCTGAATGTACCAGCTTTTACAACTAAAAATACATAGTGTATGACCATTTCTATGGAAGCAGCCTCACTTGGCAAAATGTAGATCACCATGTTACTTCCTTGGTTCTGGTGTAGGAAATGTCTTACATGAGTGAGGGCCTGCATCCTGGACTGCTGTCTTCTCTCCCTCAGCATATGTCTGGCGGCACCACTCTGGTAAGTGATTAGAATCTGAACTTGTTATGCCAACCTATAACCATTGAATCATGATGATCTTGTTTTCCTTTCACTGTAGGGTTCATTGTCCTTCATGGAAGATAGTGGGTTAAGCCGCCCTCTTACTCCCAGTAAACCCCTTGCCCAAGTTGTTGAGGTATGGAAGTATATTGTACATCATGCAGAGTTTTTTTTCCTATATTTTCATAGAAAAGTTATTTGTTTTATTGAATGACTCCAGATTCTGATCTTCTATTTATTATTTATAAACATGTGTGTAATCTGAAACAAAAGAAAGGACAAGTGATTAATTATTAATTATAAAAAAAATACTTGTTCTTGTAAAGGTGGCATTGGAGTTCCTGAAGCTTGCTGGTAATGCCTCTGTTATTCATTCTGAGTCTTTTCTGATTTGTAAAGGATTTTTCACCTGGAAGTGCTGTGGAATTGTCGCAGTTAACTGAGAATGTCAGTATTTTGACTGAGAAGGATCCTGTGATTGCAGGTCAGTATGGTAGAGTAATGTTTACCTGTGCACTACATTTTATCTGGTTCAGTCACTTTCATTAGTTGGACCATTTTCTCTCATTTGACCATTGGACAATTGGACAATTTTATGAGGTTAATCTGGACCATTTCTACCACTGGTTGCATCTTTCTAGTTTGACCATTTCAAATGTTTGGAGCCATTTATTCAGTCAGCCTTTTTCTACTGTTTTTTAACCAGTTGGACCATTTTATTTTGTGTGACTATTTTAATCAGTTCAACCTTTTTATCAGGTTAGACTATTCTAAGTAGTTGGACCATTTTATCTATCTAGACCATTCTAACCAATTGGACCATTTCAATCATTTGGATGTTTTTACCCAGTTAGACTGTTTTAAGGGGTTAGGCCATTTTTAGCTCATTCATGCTGAAAGCAATGAATGAGGTATGGTGGTGGAGAAGATGATGTTGATGGAAGTTGTCGCCCGTGGACGGAAGTTGCATTGTGAACCGTGAATGGAAGTAGTCTCTCATACTACCCCTCCCCACTTAGTGAAAGTCAAAATTAATTTTGATGAAGCTCAGAAACTCACGTGGAAAGAAATAAAATGTTTATATGGTTTAATAATAACCTCAAATCACATTTCTGAACTTCTGAAAATGCAACTTGAATCGAGAAGCCAAAATGCTCACACCTTGGGGACCCTTAGCAGGTTCATTTTAACACACATTGTGACCATGCAAAAGAGCATCAGAGGTAGCCATATTGGTAAGCTGCGTTTGTCTTCAGTTGGTATATAGCAATCATTGCTCTATCATTGTACTTTTTCTCGTAAGCTCTTCAACATATGGTCCACATACAATCATAGCGGCCAAGACATTAACTCATTTCTTAAGGATCTGGTCATTTCAAAAGGATCTGGTCACCATATGCAAATAACCTAAAATATAGGGCCTCTGTGGTCTGACCTGTGGTAAGGAACCACCTCCAGTGAGCAACCGCCCACAATTGGCAAAAAATTATTACTACTTCCTCCCTTTGCTCTTGTTAAGTTAATGTATTTGCCCCCTTCTCCCAGAAAAATTATCTTGTATCATGATTCCATGAACCTTAAGTTACCTGTAAGCAACATTGAGTGGGGAGGGCCTTGTCAATGATTTAGAGTGTGGTGGAGACAGGAGTGTCATTCTACAGATAAATTGTGTGTGCCAATTTTTAACCTCATAAAAAGGATTTTGACTTCATGCAACTATCACTTTATTAAACATTTTTGCATGGAGGGCAACATTCAGTACACCAATATTTTACTATTTAGGTTAAAAGTAGAATTTGAAAGTAGGAATGTCCAAAGTAATGACAATAATTGAACTGAATGACAGTATCAAGGGCCTTAAAGATGTGTAGTGGTGAATGTGTTGTCTATGTGAAACAAGAGAGATTACAATTGTCGCCAGACCGCAGTCCAAGGTGAAATGGAGAGTTTTGTAGATTGTTTTTAACACACTCAAACCTGCAAGAAGGATTAATTTGCTGTATGCATGTAATCCACTAATTTGGTGGACATAAGGAGTTCCGGACTGACCTTAAGTAATTGTTGTTGCCCCCAGTAATCTGGTTTGTTACTTGGTATTGTTCAGAAATTTTGTCAAGGAAGAGCAAAAAGTTTCAAAAGAAAGAAGTAAGAAATTAAAAAAACACTCACAGGAAATACATGCTGTAGCTCTGTGGTTGTATCTGATCTGTTGCATGGTATATCTCATTTTCAGCCAGTTCAAGCTTGTTTGGAGAATTCATGAGTGCCTTTACATCATTTCCAGATACAAAGCATATTTTTGACATGATAGCTGGATATGAAAAGGTAATTCCCGTGCATTGGAACGTATCCAATGATATATAATTTATTGTTAACAAGATAATTTGGTTTTATCAACTGAGTTAATAATGTAAATTGCCCATCATAAAGAGTTTCTAAACTGATGTTTCAAGTGTTAGCCCCGCATGACGGCAAATGGTCTGGGGTAATGGTTCAATCATTAGCTCAGAAACTCTTCTTGGTGGCTAATTTAAATTATCAGCTCAGTTGATAAAACCAAATCATCTTGTTATATCCCCCAACTGATGCAGAACCAAAGTTGCTTTAGAAACTCATCCCCATTTAGTTCTCATAAATGTTGTTTTTTTAGCATTTATGTTAGACATTACTGTATTGTGGATAGTTTTTAAAAGTGTATTTACCCTAGGCTTGCAGGCAGCAGCTGCTGGTTCTGAATGGATTGATCAGACTGTCATCACCAGGAAAAACTAAGTAAGCATATTTTTAAAGTGACATGTCTGTAAAGTGAATGTAATGGTACAGATAAGTTTTACAAATATGAGAAAGCTTGAAGAGGGGCACTTTTTTGTAATGAGTATCTTTACAATTTGCCACAGTGCACATGCAGTACAGAGCAAAAGTAATGCAAATGGCAGTAAAATGTAATAAAAATTGCAAGTTATATTATCAACATTATTTGAATGATATTCTGATTGGGAAGATGTACTTGTATAGTTTGATTTAAATTGCTAAGCTAAAGCTTTTATTTTTGACACACATAAGTGAGCTCTTTGTGATTTATCATCATAATTATCGTTTCAATTCCATGATCATATATGGCAGGAGCTCAGTGACTTTGTGTTTCCATTCTGGGATATTATGGCTGCAGCTCAGCAGTGTGTTTTTCTCTCTCTTAGAGAAATTGTGACTGCGTTTTGATTTCATCTTTGCATTCAAGTAGATATTGTTATCACTTAGAAATACCTGGTTTTCTTTCAGTGAGATAGCTGTGGTACCTATTTAAAACAAAAGTCTCCATTTGGAGCCAAAATATGCACAGATATTTGTCTGCAGATGTATTTGTTGAGAGACACAAACTGTGAGCTTCAAGTAACAGAAAATGTCTAAGGACAAATTTACTTAACTAGCATATTTCCCCACCAAGTAGAGGCTATTCATTATTCTTCAAGTATTTTTGCAAGGCATAGGAAAGAACGTTTAAAAACAGCTCACCATTCCTGAGATGTTCACTTTTCAGTGCTCTCTGGTAAGACTCTGTAAACAAACAAACATGAACCTTCTTCTGTAACAACCATAAAATGCTTTCTTGTCTTGATTAATTTGACTTATAGTTGTGGATGTAACCATTGAAAATTGGAGAATATCACTTGGGGTATATCTGGATATTTCCCAGTCTTACCCTGGGCATATATGGTCACATGATGCATTTTGACCAGTTGCACAGTAGCAAAGATATATGATGGATTATAAGTAGCAATATATCAGCAGGATAACTGTATAGTTGAGTGAACTTTTCTTTCCTTCAGTGTGTGCAGCTTATTTTACTGTCTGTTTCTGAGATATTAAATCAGTTATGTTCAATCAGACTTTCCTGCAAACCTTTCCTTTTTGGCCTACAAGCATGTTGTTTGACCCTTTAATCCATATAAGAGTGACCAGTTTCTAATTTCTCCCTAAGATATCACCACAGTGACTGAATCACACATTAATGTCATGAGAATAAGGGAAATGATCACCAATTATAGAGACTCTTGATTGTTAGACAAATTCTCCTGGTCAGCACCCTTGGAAAATACGAATACTGATGTTAGCGTGTAAAGGGTTAAAGATGTATATCAAAGGCAAAAGAAAACATTTCTTGTAAGATACAGTACATTAAGAATTACAGCAAGAGACAAAAAAAGTGAACAACACAGCATTCAGAAAAAGTGAGAACAACCTCAATCAATAAATAACATTGCCTCCTGACTTCCCACTCTGTGAGGTGAAGTTATTTATTATCATTGCCGCCAATCAGAATCAGTATGAATTAACATCACTTTTTGACAAAAAATTTTTATTGGAACTGTTCTGAAGGTTGCAATTTACACAAGAAATGGAGTTGGTTGCCTCTTCAATGAATCTTATCATCTCACATTTAAGTCACTATAGTAATACTCAATTTTTCCATGTCTTGATTCATGGATGTTTGAATTTTGAAAACTAAGTTGTGCACAGGTCTTTAAGGAAAAGATCAAAATAACTATTTCTGGGATTTTTTAACACTCAGTCCTCTACTTATGACAGATACTTATGACTGTCAGTTCTGAAAAGGATGGTTTTCATACAGGACAAACATGATAGCTTTCACAGAAAAGAAAATTAGAAAAATTAAAAAAAAAAAAATAGCACATGTAAACTGCTGCCCTCACACACTTCTTACACCACACTTGAATAACACTCCTGAATTAAATGTTTGTAAACCTACCTTATCACATGGTTTTTATGTTGCTAACAAAGAAATTTCTTGTATGACAGATATTACAGTTGAAAGGCCCTTTTTGTCTTTATAGTCATGGGATGTGCTATGAAAGCTGAAATAGTCTAGGAGATTTGAAAAAGAGGCCTAAAAAAGGCATTACATAGCAACCTCACTATATGAAAGGTTTGACATTGGATTGTGACAGGCTGATACACATAGATCATTGCTACATCAGTCACAGTGACAAATTGTGGGGTCAGTGACCTGCTACTCACTGATTTTTAGGGGAGGTGTGGGTGGGGGTGCTCATGGAAGTGCACTAAATATATGAGTTCAGGAATGTTTTTGGCAATATCACTTGTACTGGTCAACCAAATATCACACATTTTTTTGGGAGAGGAGAGTAACTTTTGCAGTTCCTTAACAAGTGTTATTTGTGGTCTGTTAAACTATTACCATGACAATGGTTGCTTGGGAAATCAAGATAAACATTGTTTTTGTGAAATATACTGTTATTAATTATTATTTCTGATGAATTTGTGATAAAAAAGAACAGTCATCATTGTTCAATTGCTGATGTTTTATTGTTGAAAGGAATAAACGGCAGATGTTATTGGCTTGAAAAATACAAATGCCTTGTGACAAATGTTAAAAAAAAGACAGTCAAGAACCAGTTTCCAATCTCCTACATTTAAAGTTCAAAACAATATAGTCAGTTAAATACATGGAATTGTTGACATCATCCCTTCCTTTGCTGGTGTACCAGCCTAACATGTGGGAATGTAAAGTGAGCTTATGAAAGCCTCAGCAGATGGATTAACTTCTCAGTACTTATTTTCCAAGTCCTGTAATTGTGATTATGCATGTTTGTTATTCACAGTAGCCTTCCAAGCCTTCCTTTTGCCACTTAGCAAAAGCCACTTGTGATGTTACATCCTGTAAGAGCTTGGAATGCTGGTAGAGGCTTGCAAAGCTCTTTTTCAAGCTTTCTATGAGATGATTTATTGGAAGATAGCAAAGCATGTCCTTAACATCACTGCAGGACTATAGCTGGTCAGCCCTCAAATCATGATCTGTAGAGATACAAAGGAAATACTTCAGAGCTACATCATTATCAGATGTCTGAACTGTCCTCAGCATGGATAAACTTTTCTTGTGTCCTTTTCCTAACTATGGTACTACACTGGCAGATGGTAGATACTGTGTCCCTAGCTATTTCAAAGCATGCTTCTAGTACCAACTTCTCACAAGGATTAAGTGCAATTTCTTACCAAGTGCTTACCAATTTCTTATATAAATTTTCAGGTTAATTTTATTCACTAGATTTGAAGCTGTTCCATTTTTTGGGGGGACTGGCATGACTGAACTTTCTCTTCTGACTAGTTTGTCATATTTAATGGAGTTCTCCTTTCTAGAACAATCTTTTATGACATCCACACAGTGACAGTTAGTCTTCCCAAATTAGACAGTTATAATTGACCAACAAACTTCTTACGATCTAGAGCCCTTATCAGAGTTTATTAACTCCCAGATCAACCAAATGACTGCTTGCATTTGGGAGCTCATTGAATCCATGATTCTTGCAAGTGGGAACTCTTATTAAAGTTCATTGAGTCTTGAGGGTATTTCCACTAAATTTGTTTTGCCTTTGTATTTAAATGAACAAACTTCTTGCCATTGGAAGTTCTTATTTGAGCTCATTGACTCCACAATCGACCAACAAACTTCCTGCCATCAGGAGCTCTTATCAGAACTCATTGACTCCCTAAACAACCTACAAATATCATGTGATGAAAGGCTCTTATAAGAGCTCATTGACTCCCTAATTGACTAATAACCTTTGTGTCATTGGGAGCTCTTATCAGAGCTGTTTGATTCCCCAACTGAACAAGGAACTTTGTGTCATCAGGAGCTCTTATCAGAGCTCATTGAATCCCTGATCAACCAACAAATTTCTTGCAAATGGGAGCTCTTATCAGAACTCAATGACTCCTGGATCCACCGGAAAATATCTTGCATTCAGGAGCTCTTACAAGGGGTCATACAGACTCCCTGATCAACCAAGATAGCAGTCCAAGGTGAAATGGAAAGTTTGTGGATTATTTTTAATACACTCAAACCTCCAACAAGGATTAATTTGTTGTATGCATGTAACCCACCAATGTGCTGGATGTGAGAAGTTCCAGACTGACCTAAAGTAATTGTTGGTACTCCAGTAATCCTGATTGTTACCTGGTATTGTTGATATGTTTTGTCAAGGTAGAGCAAAAAGTTTCAAAAGAAAGAAAGGTAGAACGAAATAAGAAAAAACACACACAAAATACATGCTGTAGCTCTATGGTTTTATCTGATCTGTTGCATGGTGCATCTCATTTCAGCCAGTTCAAACTAGTTTAAGAGTTCATTGAATCCCTGATCAAGCAACAAATTTCTTGCACTCAAGAGCTCTTACCCGAGCTCAATAACTCTGATCCACCAATGAATATGTTGTGATCAGGAGCTCTTATGAAGGCTCATTGACTCCCTGATTGAGCAACAAACTTTAATTTCTACCATCAGGAGTTCTTATCTGAGCTCATTGCATCCTGATTGACCAACAAACATTGTGCCATCGGGAGCTCTCATCAGAGCATTGACTCCCTAATCAACCAAAAACTTCTAGTAATCAGGAGCTCTCATCAGAGCTCATGGGCTCCTCAATTGACCCTCTGACTTTTTTCACTAAAAAGCTCTTGTTGAAGCTCATTGACTCCCCAATTTACCAACGTACTTCTTGCATGTGGCAGCTCTCATGAGATCTCTTTTAACTCCCTTGTCTGCCAATAAACTTCTTGACTCTTCAATTGACTAACAACTGTGTGCTGTTGGGAGCTCTCATCAGAGCTCAGTGACTCTCAATTTAGAAACTTGTATGCCCCAGGTTTATTAACTTTGTGCCATCAGGAGCTCTTATAAGAGGTCATTGACTCCCCAACTGACCAACAGCTATATTCCATAGCCAGCTCTTATCAGAGGTCATTGACTCACCAATGCAACCAACCAACCAACCAACTTTGTGCCCTTGGGAGCCCTCATCAGAGCTCATTGACTACCTAATTAACCAACAAATTCCCTGTGATTAGAAGGTCTTATTAGGGCTCCTTAACTCCCTAATCAACCGACAAACTTTGTGCAATCAGTAGCTCTGATTAGAGTTCATTGACTCAATTGACCCACAAACTTTTTTCACTCAAAAGCTCTTCTTAGAGCTCATTGACTCCCCAATTTTCCAACAAACTTCTTGCATTTGGCAGCTCTCATGAGAGCTGTTTTGATTCCTTTGTCTACTAATAAACTTCTTGCAATCAGGAGCTTTTGTCAGAGCCCATTGACTCTCACAGTGCTTCTCTTCACCCAGGTGTACAAATGGGTACCAGCAAATATGATGGGGGTAACCCTGTGATGGACTACCATCCCATCCAGGGGGGAGTAGCAACACTCCTAGCTGCTTCATGCTAAGGAAACGGGACTTAAGCGTCAGCCCCATGGGCCACTTGGGCCTGTCTAAAGGCTTTACTTTACTTTTTTTATGTGCTGTTGGGGACTCTCATCTGAGCTTAGTGACTCTCAATTTAGAAACTTCTACGCCCCAGATTTATTAACTTTGTGCCATTAGGAGCTCTCATCAGAGGTCATTGACTCTCCAACTGATCAGCAACTGTGTTCCATAGCCAGTTCTTGTCAGAGGTCATTGACTCGCCAATTGACCAACCAACTTTGTGCAATCAGTAGCTCTGATCAGAGTTCATTGACTCCCCAACTGACCCACCTACTTTTTGCCTTTGTTTTGCACTTGAACTTACATGCCTTAAGTTTACAAACTTTGTGCCATTGGGAGCTCTCATCTGAGCTTATTTACTCCCCAATTGACACACAAACATCAAAAGCCCTTATCAAAGCTCATGGACTCCCCACTCAACCAAACAAGTATCTTGAGATCAGGAGTTCTCGTGAGAGCTCATTGACTCCTCAGTTGACCAAACAGTCTCTTTCAATAGGAAGCTCTTATCAGAGCTTATTGACTCCCCAACTGACCATCTAACTTCTTGTGATCAGAGGTTCTTATCAGAGCTTATTGACTCTCAACTGACCATCTAACATTTTGTGATCAGAAGTTCTTATTGGAGCCCATCAACTCCCCAATTGACCAACCAACTTCTTGCAAACAGGTACTCTTATCAGAGCTGAGGAACTCTCAAAGGTATTTCAACTGAATTTGTTTTGCCTTTGTTTATAAAGAAGGACCAATTTCAAGGTATTTTGCAAGAGAACAACGTCTGCTATTTATTCTTTTAAGCATTTTTGACTATATTTCACAAAATCACTTTCTCCTTGGTTTTCTTAGCAACTTTTGCCATGGTGATAGTGAACCAACCAACTGAAATTATCCCACATTAAGTAACAATCAGTTACATTACCCCTCCAAATTCTTAGTAATTTGTTTGAGTATTTCTGGATATATTGCTGAAAGTTCCAAAAGCCCTTAACGGCCCCTAATAACAAGTCACTGACCCCACTTGTGGCTAAAACCAGTGTGGCAATGTTCTCTGGAACTCAGACTATCATAATCTGAGCTTAAAACTTTTGTGTAGTAAGAGTGCCATAAAGTTGATTTTCTCAGGCTTCCACGCCACACCTAAAATAAGTAAAGTAACTCGATGAATCTCCAAAAATAAGATTTTAAAGATAGTACTTAAACTTAGTACAATGTATTAAGTAGTAGAGAAATCTTTTAAATTTTTTTTGGTAGATTTGCTAAACAAGTTGACATATTGCATCTCATTTCTCAAGAGAGTTACACTTGGAGGCTTGTTGGCTCCTTATACAGGTGGGTGCTGGTTATATTTTAAACTGTTGCCTGTTTATTTATTCTGATAGCATTTATTCAGAAACCCTTGCAGCAATGTTTTAATACCAGAGCCATGCTGCTCCTTTATTCAAACAACAACAGAGTTATAAGAATAGTTCTATCAATTTCAAACCCCCCTACATTGCTCAAAATAGGAAATTTTGTCTAGAAACTAAAGAGTGAAAGAGTAGCATCTTTGTCAGGATGGTTAGATGTGGTAAAGGTGAATAAGAGTTGTAGCCTGTCCTGTTGTTAGCAAATTAATAAAACAAAAACAACTTGGAGAAATTGTTTGATAATTGATGATCTACTTTATGTTTCCTACAAGGGATTCAAGTTTGGCCATAAATATTATTTCTGATGTTGATTTGTGTGTCAATCAGTACTGAACATAACAGGTGGTTTGAGTTTACTTGTGGTTCTTGGCTGTTCTATGTGCCTGGTTAAGTTCCAACTTCCAACTCCTTAATTAATATTCTAGTTTGGTCGTAACAAATAGGGGAATATGTGCTAGTTGAATTATGTGCCATGCTGATGCAATTTGAATCTATTCTGTTTTATTAAATGTGTAGTGACAGACTGCAATATGGAATATGTGATGATGGAGCTATGTTGACAAATTTTGTGGTAAGTACTGTACAATCAATGCTCAACATGTCATTTTGTGCAGTATAGTTATTAATATGTGCACATAATTTGCCCTAATTGTATCATAAAAGTTTGAGTATAACACACGCTGCCATTGGTTGAAAGAGTGTGCTTTATCAGAGTACAAAACATAGAGCTGAGCCAAAGCTGTCATGCCATCTGCCAATTTGTACTTATATCTGAAACATAATCTCATGTTTCTCCCTACACTTCTTTGGTGCTCTTGCCACTTGCTAGACTCTAGTATTCATTTTGTAATGGTTTGTGTTGGTTTTTTTTAGGGCAGAAACTGGAATGAAAAAAAGATTATAAATAATTTGTATGAAAGAGAGGCCTCAACTAGGCAAAAACAGGTATGTATTGAAGATAAAAGATGTGCCATTATACCACTAATGCCATTAATAGAAACACAATTTTCATTTCTGATATGTTGCTCTCAGTATAGAAAATGTTTGCCTTGCCATCTCTTTGCATAAATATGGTCATCCAAAAATGACAGTGTGTTCAGTTATGTTGTTCTATAGCTATATAATTATACTGTACGCTTCATTGGGAAATAGCATAATGCACTCAAAAAATCCATTCTAGAATTTTCTGACATCTCATTCTTCATGAGGAGTGACTTCTTATCTGAAGGAAATTAATTTATTCTGAGGAATGGTTACTTCTCTTCATGAAAGATTATATATCTCAAAAGTGCCATCATTGTGCCTATGCTTGAATGAGGAACAAGTACAATTGCCAAAAGGGACAAAAAAGCATATTCCCCACTCAAACAGAGGTTGTGATGCAAACAAGAGTCAGACTCGATCCCATTTCAAGCTATTATCTATGCCAGCTATTGAGAAATACCATTACTAGTATTTGTGAGAAATGCATTGTTGAGTTTATTATCTAGCCAAAGATTCACACTTCTTAGAAATATTTGACATGCTTTTCATATTGTTTACTTAACTAATTTTATTTCAAAGTTCTCCAGGGTGTTGAAAGTCAAAGCTTTGGCACATGATTATTTCATAACCTCTGGGCAATTTCAGTCATGTTGTAAATTGATGCAGAAGCCCACATGACACACACAATGTTTTTTTCCTCTCTATTAGATTGTAGTTGACTGGCTAGAAAAGAATGCAGAGGATTGGCTGAAGATTTTTTTAGAAAGTGACAAAGTAGAGTACTTTTCAGAGTCAGTTTGCTGGTAAGTTAATATTTTAGAGTTTTCACTTTTCAGGAATCACAAACTCTTACTAACTGACCCTTTGTGGGAAAATGTGTTCTCAGGTGAATGGATGTGCACAGCAAAATTACACACTAAACAATTGACAGGGAGAGAAATGACATTGTGTATAGTGTAGTTTTAGTAAACATCGCTTTTCCAAGTGGTGTGTGAAGAATTCAACTACTTTTTAAACAGAAACCCTGAAACAAAAGAAATTGGAGAGAAATTCTGAGACAGTGCTGAAAGACAACTGAGTCAACACAAATGTTGTTGTTATTTTGACCTTGGTTTATATGGAAAAGCACGATAAAAAATTAAATTCTAAAATCATGTAAACTCAGCAATAACTCAGCACAGTCTTTCATCTTCAGAAGAAGAGGGGTTCAATCGCACTTGGGTTGTTTCATCTTAATGGTACCAATCTGGTAACTTTATAATAAAAATTCATCTTGTGTTATTTATATCAGTTCAGTTGAGTTTTTACTGATTCAGTAAGTTGCTTGTTTACTTTAGGTAATTTGGTGTTAACAACTGAGTTGAAAACATAAATTAGCCACTGTAAAGGGTAAAAAAGCTGACATTTCTATCACTCTAACACTTTTCTCTATCACTTTTACCCTTTATGGTGGCTAATTTACGTTTTCAACTCAGTTGTTAACAATAAATTACCTGCTATACTCTCCCACCGATGCAGCAGCACCACAGTTTCTTTAGAAACTTACCCCTCTATTGCTTGTTTACTTTGTTTGCTTTAGTTTGATGAGTTGTACACTTTTTGTGTTTTTTTGGGGTTTGTTTTTTTTTTTGTTTCTATTCAATACAGTTACAAAGCTTTCTTAGAGCATCGTGTAATGCAAGTGAAACTCAAGTCACCATTCACAACTCTTGTTTGAATGCACATGTAGGCTGTTCTGCGAGACATGTCTTATCACACACCAGTGACATGGCATGCAAGCCTTTTAGCCAAGCTTTAGGCAAAGTCCCAGTTAGCCTGGGGTAAAAACTTCCTTTAAGCTTATTTGTGATGAGAAAAAGCATGCTAATGTAGAAGAAAATTACCAAAAAAAAAAAAAAGGAAAGATGAAGCATTATTTGTCCTGGATAATGTACACAAAATTTGATGTCAAAGCTCTAGATATCTAGATCAGAAATCAAAGCAAAATACACCCTCACGATTAAAATAAATTAATTACTTGCTGATGATAAGCATATAAGGTAATCTTCCTTCAAGTAATCTGCAATGAAAGCCATTGCAGAAAAAGAAGCCTGAAAAAAATTCAGGCTTTAATAGGATTGAGCTTCAAAACCACATGTTTGAACTCAAGCTGACTCTTGTGGATTCTGTTTACCCACAAAGGAAACTGCTCACTATTAAAGAAGTGCAAGTGCAGCTACAGAAAATTGTATACAAAAAATTGTTTTGAGGGTTATCTCTTTCATCAGCTGGGGTTGTTATTTAATGTTATAGACTATGCATCCACATATACACTGTAGTTTCAAAATGTTTATCCCTTTTGTACATTTAGGGAAAACACCCTACACACCCTGCAACAAGGAGGACAAAATATGGGAATGAGTAGACCTCTTGTCACAGAGATGGTAATATCCTGGTTTCTTATTGGGTTTAGCTATAGAATGTTAGTGAAGATGTTTCTTTCTCTTTTTGTTGTTTTAAGTTTAATTTGGGCTGAATGATGCAAAGGACATTAGAAATAAATGAAAGTTTCATCATTTGTCTCATGATGTGAGAGTCAGGCTAATCAATTTTGTATTGATTGCAACTTTTCAATAACCACATATAACCTCACAATTGATTGGCCTGACTCCCATATTCATTTACCTATAAAGCCACAATGAACAGCAGCATTTTCTATAACCAAACCAAGTAGCCCATTTAGCCAAAGCCTATCCAAGTTTCTGTCACATGGAAGTAACTAGGAGTATTACTACTGGATGCATGGGATGCAATGTGAAAGTAGTGTTTTGCCCAAGAATAAAACAACAGTTAACCAGCTGGGTCTTCAATACAGACCTCTTGACTTGGTGTCCAGCCCACTAACTATTAGACTAGTGTGCTGTTGTAGTTCATCACCTAAAATCATTTTGTAAGAATCTGTCTGTCACATAACAGGATCCAGATGCCCCAGTCAGGCAGAACCGACCTTTAGCTGATTTAGATCAGGTATGATCTGAATAATTTTTTTTAGATAAGGCTTTTAACAACCATTTGAAGTTGAATTTGACTTTCAAAAGACAGCAAAATCTGATTGACACTTGTTGGACCCAGTCAATGTCTCTTGTCATAACATTGAACAGCCATCTGATTTTGCTTACATCTTAAACATCATTAACTGTGCAATGCGTTGCATCTGTAGATCAACTCATCAACTTCAAATGTTTGATCCACCCTCGGTTTAACAAGTCTTTGTTCTTGTTTCATCACAGGAAGATGAAGCCAGGTTGTTACAGCATCTTTTTGCTTTAATTAGGGCTGGCAAACTGGAAGAGGTGAGGACACAATTTGTATTTAATTACATTGTCCCCTTACAAGTACCTTAATTTGTTAATTTTTCTTTCTTTCAGGCTCAATGCCTGTGCGAGAAGTGTGGTCAATCTTGGAGGGCCGCAACTCTTCAAGGATGGAAACTATGGCAAGATAATAACATGGATGGAGGTAAAAGTTTATGTGTGTGGTGTTAAGCTGTTATAGGTCAGAGAATAAATTGTGGTTAAATTTGTGGTATATCCATTTCAGTGTTCCATAAAGTCTTACTGCCTTTCTAAATCTCTGTGCTCAGTAATGTCCCAAGTGAATTATTTAGGGAAATTACAAACAAGATCCAAAAAATAACTGCCTTGAGAATTCACATTTGTGTGAAAACTTTGTTTGATGCAAAAGTTTGAAGAAATGCTAGGAAATTTGTCAAAATGGGGTCACAGGCATTTACATTACTTTTGCACAATATCATATGGCCTAGCCGACTTTCATAGAAATATACAATAATGTAACACATAGAGTAGCAAAATAAGTGCCAAATGTAACTTGTTAGCAATGGGCTGTGGCTTGTTTGATGGCAGCATTGCAAAACACTTACAAAACCTAATGTGTCTGGATGCTTTTTACAATACTAACCAGAGGAAACTGTTAGCTCTTGCCTCTGTGTTTGCAACATGTACAGTGCTGTCCTGGCTTGGAAAATTCCTATTTGAGGGCAATAGCTGTATGCAACCTGCCATAAACATTGGCCCAGGGGTATTGTAAAAACCCAAGATTTGATTGACTTTGCCACAGGAGAATAACAAACCTTTGAATGTTTTTCTGTTTTGTTTTGTTATGTTTTACTTTTTTGTTGTTTTTTGTTTTTGTTTTTGTTTGTTTTTTATTTTACCATAAGGTAGCATTTAGGAGTGATTGATTCATGATTACTATTGTCATAACATGGAGGGCAGCAATTATTTAATGCTGATTGGCTGAGATAGAGGGCATTTTTTCCTTAATTTAGGTAATTGCTGCAGGCAAATACCAAAATTTAGAAACTTTAAAAAAGGCCTAACTTTTCCATATCAATGAAATTATGTGTTATGATTTCATTGATGATGAATGCTTTTTTCGGTAGGGCTGGTTTCATTGCATTGCTGTAGTTGTGCAAAAATGAAATTTTATTCCGCTGATTCACACATTTTATAGTTCCTTGATGCCAGCTGAACATTGAAATGGCTTCCTACAAAAGTGCATAATAGCGAGCATATTTGACTTCCCTCATAAGAGAACATTTTGCCCCATAAACAAATAATCACTTGCAACTTCTGAAAACACAAGTGATATAAATCCTTAAATTTACTTGGCCCCATGCATATGGTTTTGTTAATACCACAGCTATATTACACAAATGAAGATTTTCTTACCAGCATCAATGTTAATAAAGTATAAATGTATGGGACCCAAACATTTTTCACTCTCTACAGTCTCAAGTGATGAAACTTTATCAGCCGTTGAGGGAAACCCGTACAGAGATGTATGGAAAGCAGCATGCTGGAAGATGTCTGAGGAAGTAAGTGTACATTTTAGTCCTGATCAAGATAAGACTATCAAAAGAAAAGGCTGATGAATCACATGTTATATAAACCTTCCCATCCTCAGTTGTGGAAAGCTTTGTCCATTAAAAAATTAAAACCTTGTACAGTGTTGTGTGGCTTCTTTGAGTTCAATATAGGTTCAGACATGGAAAGAAACACTCTAGAGTCTTTTAATGTTTATATATATTGCAATGTATGTAATTAGAAGTATGATTAACATTCCGTGTGTCAAGGAGTGTTGTTATTAGGAATGGGATTGTGCAATTTTGTGTTTCCCAAAATAAGATACTTCAGTTCTGTCTAATGGCCTCTAAAAGGATTGACACTCACCACAGTATCAGGTAGCTATCCTCCATAATAACTTGTCCTAAAAATTCTCTTGCATCATCAGTTTAAACAATGCATGCTCACCATGTTGTTTTTAATCCATCAGAACAAATTCAGTGTATATGAGAGAGCTATTTATGCAGCACTCAGTGGAAATCTCAGCCAGGTAGCTCTATTGGATAATTATAGAGAATACATTAGCTGATGTAACCAAACTTAGTAGTTGTTCAGTACATTCCTGACCTTTACACTTGTACGTTCGTGTGAAAGCCAGTAAATAACTGTAAGTTGTGGTCCAATTTATGTTTTATGGAATTATGTTTTTCTTTGTTTCAAATCCATATATATCTTTACCAAAAAGAAGAATAAATTTTGAATTGGGAAACCTCACCTGAGTTGAATAAATGAATTATTGATAAGTAAATAATTAGTTTAAAGAAAGACTTCCACCGAACCAGGATGCAGTACGTTTTACCATTGTGGTGTACACAAAAATGATATATATGTTTCCTAGTGCATTTATTTCACAGTGAATGCATTAGAGTGAATGATAAGGAAGTTTGTTCGACATTGATATCTTTACAAACTTTTGATTTTGATAAATATTGAGAGTCCTCTGACAGTTAAAAAATGTCATAATTTTTTTTTCTTAACCTAAAAAGCCCCATTGGTGAAGTATTTTCAAAAATAATAAATCCAATTGTGAGTAAGGCAACAGGACAGGAACTATCTTCCTTGTCTGCTTTCCTGAACTTGTCAGAGTGGAGAAGTCTAGTAATACCTATTCTCAGGAGTTACCATTCACATGCACATGTCTTTCTCGATGCAATTTTTCTAGCTGCTGCTAGATTTTCGTCATTCACAAGCAGAGATTCTTTGGCTCAATAAAACTTTCCCTTCTGGTGGTAGATAAACAGGCAAAAACTCAATAATATTTTATTTGATTCACAGCTTCTACAAGTTTGCAAGTCATGGGAAGACTATCTTTGGGCATTTTACCGAGTTATGGTAGATGTTAGGGTGGAACAGGTAAATATTGACTTGTTTTAGCTCATTACAGGCTGTTTGCAAGTCAGCAAGAAATGGGTTAGTCAGAGTTAAAAGATATCTTTTAAAGGAAAGAATAGTTAATTTCGCATATTTTTAAATCTGAATTCTGGTATATGTTACTTAGTTGATTTACCAACGTGGCTAAACTGTTTCCCCAACTTTACCAAGAATTGGTGCAAACTTTTGACATGTCTCTATTTTGTGTAGGAAATTCGCCTTAATCCCAGGCCTGAAAGAGATCTGGAAAGCTTGCCTTCCATTTTCTGGGATCATATGTAAGTGCAATTTTTGCTTTTGAGCTGCTGACAACAGCTTATTACTTTGATTCTAAACTGCAAGGTACATTTTGGCAAAACTGTGTAGGCTCAGGCCATACTCGACACAGATGACTAGTTTTCTCTCAATCATTCACTCAAGAGATTCAGACTAGTAAATAACACTTGAATCTACCACTGCGTCATTAAATTATTGATTCACGTACATTCTGCTGGGCAAACTTTCGGTAACCTTCAAAACTTTTACCTGTTCATCAAGTATCGCAAAAGGGACTAGACACCAAAGCAAGTATTAACAAAAGAGCTACATTTCTAGTCAAGTTTGGTCTAGCTCAAGGTACTTTTTGACCATGACAGATGGCAAATTTTAGTCCGCTGCGAAAATTCTAAGGAAATTTCCTCCAACCTGTTTTGGCAAGCTAAAACTTTGCAGAGGCGTAACAATTAGCTCTGACCTTGAGAGTTAACTGGCTTAAGTTGTAGAAAAAATGTTTGGTGCTTGAGTATGATACAGCATATTGTTTAAGCGGTAAAAGAGTAAAGTTGCACAAATTGGTTGTGATTGAGACTGAAGAAAGCTGATGAGTAACACTGAATTAATGCCTATTGTACCCTCCACCATGCAGAGGCTGAATAAGTTTCTATCTCACAGTCTACCTGATCTTTTTCTAGCCTGAATCCAGAGAAAATATTTGATGAACTCTATGCTTGCCCAAAAGAGGTTTGTTTGTGATTTTTGGGTTCTAACTGTTAAAATTTTGTTCTACAGTTTAAGCCTGCCTATAATCTGTTATGCAAATTGAAACGGCAGTTGATTTATGAACTTATTTTCATGTCAGTCCATCAAACATCAAGCAGAGGAGTTCCATCATGTCGTACAGAAGCATATCATACTAAATGACACAACTGGTAAGAACGATGCATGTGTGGAAACGTTCAACGTTTGGTATTTTGATGAGGAATACTCGTGGAAAGCCAAATTCCTCATACTAGTGGATTGTATATGGATACGATAAGAGTCATGTTAGGATTGCTAACATGGTTCTACCCTACTTATGATAGGATCTGTGCTTTAAAAAATATTTCATTTGGAGTATCAACTGAGTTGATAATGAAAATTGGCCACCTTAAAGAGTTTCTAAGCTCACGTTTCAAGCGTTAGCTGTTAGCTCGGAGAAAAGGCTAACGCTAGAAACGTCAGCTTAGAAACTCTTTACGGCTGCCAATTTACATCAACTCAGTGGTGAAAAACAAATTATCATGTTACACTCCTCCACCTATGCAGCATCAAATTTTATTGCGTTAATTTAATTACCCTGTTATACTCTCCCGCTGACGCAGTACCACAGTTTCTTTAGAAACTTACCCCCTTTTTTCATTTGGAATGTTTGATTTCAAATCACCGGAAAAATGATATTCCATTTCATGTTCCTCTCCTATGATTAAGGTTTGATTGAAAAAATGCACAGCTGGCTCGAAAAGGAGGAGAAACCTAAAGCCCAAATACTACGGTTTATGGTGAGAATTGAGCACACTGAGTCATTTTTAAAGTGGATTATTCTTCTGTGAAAATGGATTTAAATTAACAGGAGTGAATTGAATTGAATCATGTAAATATGTTTGTATTCTAGGCCCATCTTGTTTTGTTTTTGCGATCAGCTGGAATCGAATCTGAGGTTAGTACTGCGCACAATAATTCTTTACATGTATATGCTCGTGTAATGTTAGATATGTTATGGTCGTGTGTTTTGCCATGTAGATTTGAAGATTGTAGTCTCAAGTAGGTATGAAGGCAATTTCTTTGTATTGTAGTGTGTATGCTTATCCAATCTCGACATTTTTTGATGTTAAGCATTCTACGGAACAGAAATGCAACTTTTTTGGAATATTTTTTTATTAACAATGGACATTTGACTCAACGCTTGCTAACAGATCACCTGTTGCGCATAATTATGAATAACTCAAGAGTTAATTTGTTTATCGAGAGAATGAGCCTTCCAGGACTACTTTCAACGTGCATATAGCCTTTCTTTAGAACTGGATTATAAGTGGCTTTTCTACTTTTTTCCAAGTTTATAGGTGAGGTATCTCAGAAACTTATTTACGTTTCTCTTTTCTCTTGTGTCCTGACAGACTGATTTGGATAAATGTGTGTCCATCCTGAAAGCTTATGTTCAGGTGTGTACTTCCCTTTTGAAGGTAGTGTTAAATGAAGTGAAGTTGGCCTAACACATACATTTTTGAGTTCAAGCAATGGAGGCTTCATTAAATATTGATACTTAATGCTTGCATAGCTATATTTTGAACAGTGGTGTAAAAAAAAGGTACAGTTTTCTTGCAGTGATCTCTCAGTTTCACCGATATACACTTTGCCGCATTCACATGAGATCTTGTAAACGACACCGTCTTGTTTTAATGGTTCCAGGGCGTCTTGTAAGGGAGAACGGTAGTAGATTTAAATTCCTGCGCGAGTTCTTTGTTGGCTGTTACCCTTATTACTTTGTTGGCTGTTACTCTTCACCGCTTGATGAAGACTGGCATTATTGCAGTCGAAACGTCGCGATCAACATCAAAAGTGACTCTATCGTGAGACAAACGAACAAAGTTCATCTCCTATCTTACACCACGATGAACAACCAACACATATTTTATTACAAAAACCAACTATGTTGTGTTTTACAGAGTTACTGTCTTTTATATTACGTTCAAATTTTTATAATCTTTCTTCGTTGTAGACACTAATTGAGGAGAAACAAATTGACCTGGTAGCGACCTACGTTGCTACTCTACCAGCAGACATTCAAATAGAAACCTATGCATACTTTTTAGAAGGTAACTTATATTTTGTAAATTTTACGTCCATTCAATGAGCAGTTGAAAAGTAAAGTTTTAGGGCAGTAAAATTACTCAGAACTTAAATTCTACCTTGCAGATATAGTTGACATGAAAGAAAGACAGAAATGTTTGGAGTTAGCAAGCAGTGCTGGTGGGTGTGTTTATATCATCTGTACATGCATGTTTTGTAATTATGACAATAAGGGGTAAATCGTTTACATGTGCCACGGGTGTCAGACATTTACACCATGAAAGAGAGGCGCAGTTGTTAACTTCATTTTGACACAGCAAGCAGATAGAACCTGTCCGTTGTACTCTGTCAAATAACGACGTCTTGGGTAGAGCTGTAATCCATACAGCGCTCTAACCAGCTGTGGAGCCATGGGAAGCTATTCGAGTTGATAGCTCAGCTGCACCGGCATCTTAGGATGATCAGGCGTTATCTTAACTACCAGTTTAAAAGCATAAATACAGAGATGATCTCTCTTTCATCAAAAACCTTAATTTCGCAATTCAAACCTAAAGTTTTAAAACGTTGCACTCGATGTGTTTGAAATTGTTTGACAGCTACATGCAGGACGCTATCGTATATGAACCTGATGTTAAACGTAGATCGTCATCGAGTTCTTTATTTCTTACTGGTAGAGCCTTCGACTGCGACCTAAATTGGTAGGTCTGAGACTCAGAATTCTCAATTTCTGATCTTTGTTTCATTTTCTGCGTCGTATTATTTTTTATTTTCTAGGCTTGGATGTCCCGTTAATAACCAAAACGGTAGTTGAGTGCATTCGAGGGAAGGTA